CTTGTAATAAAGTTTATAGCCTTTATGGTTTAAAGAATCACAGTATGACCTATCATTTAACCAGGTTTCACTGCAAGCAATTACATCAAAACCTGATGCAGAAAGCATTGACACTAATTGATCATAATGTTTAGCTAGGCTTCTGATATTAATATGGACCACCGAAAATTATTATTCATACTTAAGTATTTAAGATTTTCTAGGTCATATTGCATATTGCAAGTGATATATGCACCAATGCACCCACGAACCTCCCCATCAAGATCGTCCAATTCATCCAAACCCATCCAAAAGCGATAGACCTACATCCAACATCCATGATAAGGCTAACACAGTCTCATCCCAAGAAGTCATATAACTGACGTCTTGGGACGTCTTTTGACCATACGTCAACATCCGCCTTTTTAGGGTACCCTTAAACGTCGGTTACATGACGATCCCGGGCCGTCATACAACTGACGCTTTACCTTTAACGTTGGTTAGGTGACGGGGTAGGTTTAGGGGTAGCTTTAGGTCTGGGGTAGGGTTAGGATCCCATAACGTCATCTAACCGACGTTTAAGGGTACCCTAAAAAGGCGGATGTTGACGCATGGTCAAAAGACGTCCCAAGACGTAAGGCATCTAAACATAAAGCATTCAATCCTAAGTACAACAAAAAATCAAAAGAAATACATACACACTGCACTCTCTTTTGCACCTTGCTCCATTTACACCCACGTCCACACACACCCTCACATCCACACCCACTCCCAACACAAGTAGATTCATGTAGGGCACAAACTGACACTTTTGTACCATTTGATGGTAATCTCAACAGCCACATTTATGGGTATAGTTAATTAGTCAATCTCTGGGTATGCAGCCTATTCAGGTAACCTCACAGTTCACCAACCAGCCAGTTTAAGGCAATGTCTTAACATATTGCTTTGCTTCTGAATCAAGCTGGATGTTTTTTCATCTTCAAAATAATCAGCCCGTTCTCATCCCAAGGCGTCATATACTGACGCTTGTGTCAATGCGTATACATCCAATGCATATGGCACCCTTTAGCGTCAATATGAGACGCAGATAGTGTGTATATGGGCCAGAAGGCACCTCCTAGTGGTCTAACCCTATCCCAGACCTAAACCTACCCATAACCGAAGAGTGTTATATTGACTCTAAAGGATCCCATGATATGTGTTGGATGTGTATGTATTGGCAGAAGAGTCAGTATGTGACGCCTTGGGATGAGAATGCGTTGAAATATCGCCTACTCTCCACCTACTGACTTAATGCCTAAAAAACATTATGGGAAGATGGGAGCAAGATGGGATTTAAACTTTGTTGGCTGGAGACCCACATTTAGTTTGAAGACAAAAAACTGACCAAGCACAAAGTTCTCTCACCATTCCTGATTTCTAACACACACACACACACCATGTTTGCCATGGTCTTGTGGCTATCAAAGCAAAAACGAAATCTGCTGCATTCCAAATGTAAATTGCTCAAGCTTATTTTGTCAATTAGATTGAACGATCTGGAAAAAAACAACACACTTGATCGGCTTGGTCCAGCTCAACTTTTTTAGACACTGGATTTAACTAAAGCGTATTGGCTAGTGCTGTCAAATGATAAAAATATTTAATCGCGATTAATCGCATTGATGTCATAGTTAACTTGCGATTAATCACAATTAATCGCACATTTTTATCTATTCTAAATGTCTCTTGATTTTTTTGTCCCATTATTTTTTCTCATTTTGATGCAGTTATCAACATGGAAAAGTGGATCGGCTTGCTTTGTGCAAATATTTTTAATTGAAAACAACATTGGTATATACAGTGTTCAATTTAACACAGTCTCATCCCAAGATGTCATATAACTGACGTCTTGGGACGTCTTTTGACTATACGTCAACATCCGCCTTTTTAGGGTACCCTTAAAAGTTGGTTACATGACGATCCCGGGCCGTCATACAACTCACGCTTTACCTTTAACGTCAGTTAGGTGACGGGGTAGGTTTAGGGGTAGGTTTAGGTCTGGGGTAGGGTTAGGATCCGATAACGTCATCTAACCAACGTTTAAGGGTACCCTAAAAAAGCGGATGTTGACTTATGGTCAAAAGACGTCCCAAGACGTCAGTTATATGACGTCTTCACTAACATTCTTACTTGGAGCAAATAATCTCTTAATGTAACACTGTCCATCAATAAAAGGTTGAAAGAAATACTGACGAGGTCCTGATATTGACGAGGGGGCGGAGAATTCGCATCAGCTGTGTGTGTGTGCTTGGCCAGTGTTATTTCATACTGGACGTGCTGCGCGATCATGATGATGATGACTCAGTTCACAATGACAAAACACACAGATCACTTTGGTCTTGTCAATGGAACCATTTGGCAACTTTTTAAAAGTAAACTTTTATTTCAGAATCTTATTGGCCGGACTGACGGCCAACCCAAAGAAGTGTGCGGTTTGGTGCTTGGAGTTTGGTGCGTGCACAGCTATATGGGCTTCCACTTGGGTCATGGACAGGTGCATCACCAAATTATTAAGACGACAGCAGTTGCAACCTGCCCAAGACTCAAGACCAAAAAGTAGGTGAGGCAATTCCTGGGGTTGGCAGGATATTACAGAAGGTTTGTGCCTAATTTTTCAGACCTCACCAGGCAACTGACTGACCTCACTAAAAAGGAAGTAACAGATCTGGTCAAGTGGACGGAGCAGTGTCAGCAGACGTGCCGGACAGGGGACTTGGAGCGGTGAGTAAGTTAAGTGCAAATTGACATTAACCTGTGTCTTGTTGCAGTGACTAGAGAAACCGGTTAAAAGCCACAGGGAAAGAGGAAACAGACAAAGAGAGACTGATTAAGGACTCCTGCAGACTGGATGATTTGGAGAATGATCTGATATTTCATTGTCTGTTGATGGACTGAGTTTATTGAAGTGCACTGAGTGCAACTTTGTTTTGATTAGTGAAACAGAAATAAAAGCACAAGCCGCAGTAACGCCGACCCTGACTTCTTTCCTCAACTTGAATCGAGTTACACCTCACAATGCCAAATGAAATATAAAATACAATCAACTTCCCCATCTAACTATCTAAAAACAAAGAATAAAGTGAGCAAACAAAATTACGTCTACCTCCTTACCTTTCTCATATTTGTATACAAAGCACTATTTACAGACCAGAACAAACTTGAGAGGTCAAATCAAAACCAGTGTTGGTAAGCAATGGGGTCAAAATACCAAAAAGTTTCTTACTTACAATTTCACTCTCAGAAAACAAACAAAGAACACAGAACTCTTAACACTAGAATGCTTGTCTAATCACACATTTTAAGGTGTTTGAGACAACGAGCACACAACACTTCCAAATACAAAGTTTCCCAGAGGTAAATACAACTTGAGAGGGTGTTCACGTCCAATTTCCCACCGTGAAACTCGTACTATAATTCTGATACATGAAGGCAGCATAAGACTTGTTCACAGAGAATAATACACTATTTTGCTGCTCGGATAAATGTATCTTGTTTTAAAGCTACACTGTGTGATTTTTACCCCCATCTAGAGGTGAAAAGGTATATGACCAACCAGTGAATATTAGTTTCTTGTCCTCTCTATTCCGATTTCGTTTTAACTCCTACGGTGGCCAATGTAGTCCAAGTTTAACATGGCTTCCGGTTCGACCTCGTCCATGAGTGTTAACTCAAACGTAAACGCGAAAGGTGAAGCTTGAATTAACGGAAATGTCCCTCTGTACTTTCAAGATGGAGGGGCAACATGGCGACCGACATTAGAACCCCTTACCCGTATGTATTTTCAATGGCATATTATACACTCACGAGAATACTTTATTACTTGAACGAAGTAAATATACATTAATGAGCACATATATTTTTGAAAGAACTAAGTGTTTTTAGCTAAGAATAAACTAAAAGAGTTACGCAGTGTAGCTTTAAAGGATGTTTCGAATTTTTTTCCTGGCAAGCAAGATATTGATTGTTGGCTGTTTTTTACTTCAAAACAGTGCTGAGGCAAAACAGTAATCAAAAACACAACATTTATACCTTATGTCATGTGTATTGTTTATTAAAAAAATGTGTGTGTGCAATTATACGCCCCAACCAGGCGGCTGATGAACACAACAAATCATCAACAGTTAAATCAATTTGCACAAATACACACCCTGACCTGTTCTGTTGGAGGTTTGCCAGATGTGACAGTGTAGGAACAATTGCCTTTCTTACATAAGTCTGTTAATTCTTCCTGCTTAGTGATGGAAAGATGCACATATACGTCAAGGGGATTTAAATACCTGGCTGACTTGTTGACAACAAAACATCCTGTGAGATATAGGCTACACTTATCTACCCATTCTCCTTCTCTCATTCACAAACCCCCACACAACTTCAATCACAAGCTAATTGCCTTTCCCTCAAAATAAATAGGTCGACACAAGTGTCTGATATAGGGAAGGATGCTTGTTTTCCTCTGCACACAAACAAGGGGGCATGTTTGTTCAAGCCACAGTTTTGCCAGAGCACTTCTTGTAGAGTGTTTGATAAGTTCGTCAAGAGCAGTCTCTGCCGTTTCTGTTGCTCCAAACTGAATCCTCGCAGGGCTGAGCACTCTCCACCAATGCACACAGGGATTTGACTTTGTTTGTGAGAAAGCTGTTTCCAGGCTGTTCATACACATAGTGATAGAGGTGTGTGTGCGCACACACACACACTCTCAGAGAGAAGAATGAATATGATAACCAAATAAATTATTAACACTTATTTTAATTAACACAAATACATGCTTTTTATAGCCACACAAACTCTCAAATGCGCACTGCAATGTTACCTTTGGAGAAACAAGAGGTGGGGCGTGTAAAACCCATCCCTTGTCCTTTACCCCATTGGTGAACACCATGCAAGCACTACAAGTTCCTCCCCCTCTAAAAGCACACACACAAACACACACATGCACACTTAATGCTGCAATCCTCTTTGTGAAAGTGACGCGCTTCTGTCAGAAACAGAGCTTAGCTGAAGTGAAACAGGGGGAGAGAGAAACAGGCTCATTCAATTTCTGCTTGACTGCCATCCGGTTAACTGTCTGGTCCTGTAGGATTTTCTTTGATATGTTTTTTTTTTTTTTTTTTCTAGCAGGTTTCTCATCGGGACTACAAAAATCACACCCCACCACAACTTTTTGGGAAGTTTGCCAATCTCATAGTGGACATTTTCATTTTTGGATTGAAAGCTATTGATCAGAATTTGTCCAGCTTCTTTTCAATTGCTGCAGATAAACAACTTTGCACTCGCACCATTCTACTTCGGCCTGTGGTTGGAAGATGCTAATAGCTTATGCAAATTAGATACAAATCTAAGTGAGGACTCCCATATCTAGCTCTTATTATTATTTTATTTTGTATTCTTTTAAACTTTGTGGGAGAGTTTAAATCTAAAGTACAATCTGGTGTATGAGCAAACTGAGAGGTGGTCTCAGGTGAGGTGTGGGAGACAAAAAAATAGGTGTTATTGGAAGGGTCGGTGGGGCTCAAACAGAGCCAAGGTGGAGGACAACCTGCTGGATTTCGCTGAAATGGACGCATATGACCGTTATGTGGATGGGGACAGGGACAGCTACCAGATTGACTACAGGCGTATTGTGGGGGACATGGAGCCAGCCAGGCCACGGATGTCGTTACGAGACTCGGAACATCACTTTCATGGCTTGTTTACCCATAATACACTACATGGACATGGGCATGAGACGGCTGCCCAGCGCTACAATGCCACCCGGATACAGGCAGGGTATGAACCAGAGAGGTGAGAACAGTGCAGATCAATGAATGAATGAATGAATAAGCAGGTCTTGGTTTCTATTTCTCAAAATTCTGGACTATTTTAAGACATTATTGTACGTAGAATAAAAACTATTTTAAGACATTATTGTAGATTATTTGATTAAATACAATAGAGATGGACATAGCGTATAAGACACAAATATACATTATGTCTATGCCCATTATATATACACATGAAAATTTCTGATGCAAAAGCCTCTAAAAATGAGATAATGATATTGAGAAAATGCATAGTATACGCATATAGCATAGTATAGTATCATACTTTCACTTCAAACTCACCAAATCCCAGCCTCAGCCCATTCAGAAATGGGTTAATATTAAACTAAAACTTTAGACGCACTTAGGCGCTTTTGCATCTGAAGTCTTCACATAATGAATATACATATTTATTTATTTTAGGCAGCAATAATGAAAATAATATTGACCAAAAATATTTACCATTTTCTTGAATATATATATATATATATATATATATTCAATCAATATGTTTTTCATTTAATAAATTATTACAATTATTAATAAATTATTATTATTATTAATAATGTATTCTGACCCATTAATAATTAATACTGTTTTGGGGATAACTCATATTGGTTTTGGTCCCCTTTTTTTGTGTATGTATGAATTATTTATTTATATTTTACATTTGTGTTGTGGTGAGAATGAATAGAATAATAATTGTGTTTATGGAATAATAGAAAAATAACAGCTGTAAATGAGTGGGACCTTTTGGGACCTAAATCATTTTGACCTTTATTTTGTCCAGTCAAAACAAGTGAAGATAATTTATTATAGTAATTTATAATGTATCTAGTGCAAAATTAATTATCACCAAAATACAGAATCAATCCCTATAATGATATATTAGTGAATTAATAAGCATTTAAAATAATCATCATGAATAAATAAAACTGTCGGCATAACCACTTAGAGTCATTTGGGTGTTAGACGCAGAATATATGTTGAAACAGCTCAATGCAGTGTAACTCTATCGCAAAATTCATTACACCTAAATGCAGAATACATCAATATAATGATATATTAGTGAACAAATAAGCATTTTCTTGAATCATGGTTTATTATGATTATGATAGTGTGCATACACTTAAGCTGCACATGCACGAACGTCATTGGATTGTAGTGGTTCTGAGACTGTGAATAAAATAATAGACAAAGCTTAGTTATGATAAAGTGTTTTTGCTACATAACTATAACATTACAGTTAAGAGGGTGAGTTCACCCAAAAATGAAAATGATGTAATTAATTCCTCACCCTCATGTCGTTCCAAACTTGTAAGACCTTTGTTCATCTTCAGAACACAAATTAAGACATATTTAATGAAATCCGAGAGCTTTCTGACCCCCCATAGACTGCATTGTTATTATCACATTCAAGGCCCAGAAAGTTAGTAAATACATAGTTAAAATAGTCCATGGGACTATAGTGGTTCAAACTTAATTTTATGAAGCACAAAAAAACACAAAATAACGACTTTATTAAACAATTTCTTTTTTTTTGCGCAAGAAAAAGGTATACTCAGGATACTTCTCTGAGGGCCTCATCTCTCATTGTCAGGGAGTTTCTGTGGTTGACACCTCTGCCCTCAGATGTTTACTAGTATTTATCTGCCTCAGAACTGCAGATCTTTAGCTTAGCTTGGCCACAAGAAGGAAAATTTGACTTTTAGAATGTACGACATGACCTAACAATCTACAGTGTGTCTGTATAAGCTCTTCAAAGCACCTTTCACATCTATGTTGTGCATCATCTGAAATATTCTCTACTACGGTAACTGTATCGTGCTGCTCAGAAGTGAAACGTTGGTGTACATCAAATGAAATCTATGCCTCCCTTCTCATCTTTTCTCTTTCCCATTAGAGTCGGCTCTTTTGACAGACGAGAAGAGAACTACTTTGGATTACATTGATAGAGCACTCTTTAGGTCTAATCTGCAGTATAAATCCCATAAGGAAAGAACAGCATGCCTGTGTGTGTTGAGAGGGCAAGATTAAATGTCCATCAGGAATAAATTCAACTGTCAGCATAACCACTTAGTTATTTGGGTGTTAGATGTGTATGTTAAAAAGAGCCTTTAAAGGGTTAGTTCACCCAAAAATGAAAATTAAGTCATTAATTACTCACCCCCATGCTGTACCAACCCCGTAAGACCTTCGTTCGTCTTCGGAACACAAATGAAGATATTTTTGATTAAATTTGAGAGCTGTATAACTACCACATTGGCTCCTAAGGGACTGCCTCTTGACGGCCCAAAAAGTCAATGAAGAAAATGTTTAAATATCCCAAGTGACTACCGTGGCTCAACTATATGTTTATCAAGCGACGCGAATACTTTTTGTGCGAAAAAACAAACAAAAATAACGAGTTTATTCGACTATTTTTTTTCTTTCTTGTAGGCCAGAACGAGACTTCCTTATAGATTTCCACGACGCATGCGCGAGAATTGCGATCTGAAGTGGTGTAAGCTGGTGTACGCAGATCGCAAATCTCGCGCATGCGTCGTGGAAATCTATAAGGAAGTCTCGTTCTGGCCTACAAGGAAGAAAAAAATAGTCGAATAAACTCGTTATTTTTGTTTGTTTTTTCGCACAAAAAGTATTCGCGTCGCTTGATAAACATATAGTTGAGCCACGGTAGTCACTTGGGATATTTAAACATTTTCTTCATTGACTTTTTGGGCCGTCAAGAGGCAGTCCCTTAGGCAGCCAATGTGGTAGTTATACAGCTCTCAAATTTAATCAAAAATATCTTCATTTGTGTTCCGAAGACGAACGAAGGTCTTACGGGGTTGGTACAGCATGGGGGTGAGTAATTAATGACTTAATTTTCATTTTTGGGTGAACTAACCCTTTAATGCTCTTTAATGGTTCTGGGATCTAAATGCAGTGTAACTCTAGTGCAAACACTGAGTTATAACCAAGACTTAATTAATCATTAAAGCCTAATTTGCAACGGATAATACAAATCACTAAATTCCACTGAGTTGTTAAATACAATTTTATTAATTTTATGTGTAGAAAACATAACACCCCTAATGCTTTGCAAAATTGCCTAAAAAAGAATGAATAAGTCAGATATTAAGAGCTGTTAGATAAATTGTCAAGCATGAGGATGTTTTTGAATATGAATATGTTTTTTTTTATATTCTAGGTGGTGATACATCAAAAGAGCTGTTTATAGTTTGGTTAAGGTCTCCACCCAAAATAATAAGCAAGTTAGAATGTTTAGACTTGAATTACTGAATTGAATTAAACCATTTTAGGTTATTTTTAGCAGTGTTAAATCCATAAATGTTAAACAGGACAAAAATATCATCATTTAATGAATCATTTAAGGTAGGCCTAATTAATAATGGGCTTGATCAACTCCCAAGACAGCCTATTGGCTACACCAACATGATAAAGTATATGCAAATTTCATTCTGGAGATTTCTAAACACATTCTAAAGTAAAACCATTATTATAATGTAACACAGATTATTTTTCAAAATGAGAGATTATAAAAAGTAAAAACAGGCAGGCAGGTCGGCAAGAGGTCGGCGCCCCTCATTAAACTACAAATCAGACATGTAGAAATTTGCGGTTCAATTCTTGTGTCCACATCCTAAATAGTAAGCCTATGTGAGATTTAGAATAACCAAAATATCTTGCAAAGAGTAGCCCATACCAAACGTCCCTGGATGGTTTACTATCTCTGGTGGATTTTCAAGTGTGTATTCGCTAACAGCTAATATTGCACTTTGCGCTTTGGAAAGCCATAAGCCATTGCGCTTTGGAAGAGGATTTGGTTCAGATCTACAAAAAAACTACAAACTATGGCCCAAGGCCAACAAAATTGTGCTTCGGATGAGGATTCGGTTCAGAGCAACAAACACAAATAAAAATGTTAAAAACTACAAAAATGGTGGATATGCATGCACAAGAGGTTTAGAGAAAAGGGTTTTTTTAAGTGATGCTAACCAACAATTCCACAACAAAGATTTGATTTATGTATTTATATACATTTTTCTTTTACAACTTTTATTTAATGCATTGCTCAAAACTTTTCAAAATATGACCAGAGTCCCCTACAGAGCTCACAGCGACCCACCTGTGGTAAGTGATGGTCTGTGCGTTCACGCACAATGGAAAATAAGATATTTTCCACTTGTGAACTGGTATTTACAAGTGTGTTGCGTTCAAGTACTTTTGTTGTCGTAATGTGGTAAAAAGATCGAGATCCAGACCTGTTATTTAGCTCAAACAAACTATTTTAGATCGCTTAAGTCATCTGCAACAGCAAGAAAATGATTTATCAAAACTCAAAAGTTAAATAATATGCTGTATATTTTCTAGATCGTGAATAACGTTAATATTTTCACCATTCACGACACTCGCGGTGCTCTCCGCCATTTTGAAAAGGTCAAAGGTTATCTAATCTCGGCAACTCGAGATAAATTAATAAATTAATAAAAATATTATTCCATATTCTACGAGTTGCCCAGTGGAAATACCCATAGACAGTAAAGGGAAATACCACTTGAGGGGGTGTTCATGTGCATTTTCCACGTCAGATTACCATAGCCCATGAACGCAGAAAGTATAGGATACAACGAACATTGTTTAGGCTACATTGTTTGAACTTACTTCCAAGTCGCTTTAAATACACCAACAAAAGCGGCGTACTTATGAAAATTCGGTATTCAAAAAAATGTAAAAATAAATTCCAAAAAACAAACAAACAAACTAAAAAAAAAACTGGTTTGGGGAGTGTTCAACGACCCAACCTTTTCTCTTTCCCGAATGTGTTCAAATGGCATGTGACTTCAGTTGTTCACACGGTTGAAGGTCTGCTGGACACACGGCTGCGCGTCTCATGATACTTTCATCCAGAGCAGCGTATTCACCCTCGTCAGAAGAACACTGATCTGCGGAACTAGAAACTGCTGTTCCCCGCGTTGATATGTAATGGACTTTAATATAGCCACCATGTGATTCTGTTCTGTACACGAGGGTGAATATTCAGCAGAAAGAAAGGAAGTGTTTTCATAATTGGTCCGATACTCGAACCTGTAAGTGGATTCATATTTGTTTTTCTATCTAACGCGCTTAACGAATGTTTCTCGATGAGAATGAACGCCAAGTTAGTTGCAAGTTAGTCATTTTGAATTATTGCTTCTCATTTTGAATACATTTCCATTTAGTAGTTTTTTCCTACTATTGCATGTTACAGGAGGACACTGTTATTTCTGCTTGACATATCAGTTGTTGTATTGGTTTAATGTAGGATGACGTTGTCAGTGGAGTGGATGGTTGGCAATGAGCTTATGACAAAGTTGAAACCAAATTTTATTTGCATGTATTACAACCTCTCTTTTGTGTGTATGATTGTAGCATGGCTGATTACCTTATCAGCGGGGGAACTGGGTATGTGCCAGAGGATGGACTCACTGCCCAGCAGCTCTTTGCCATCGGTGATGGTCTCACATACAAGTAAGTCTAAAAGATGAGGATCATGTGAACAAAAACCCTTTATTTTTTCCTGATTCCCTGCTTTGTAATCAGACACATACGTACACACACGTGCTGTCATACAGTAAGTCAGATCGATAAACAGGGACAGCATAATGTCAAAGCAGTTCCTATCACGTGTAGTTTCACTTTCGCACACACACACATGCACTCTAGGTAGGCATCTCTCTGGACATCTGTCAGTGAGATGGCTCTCAGCTCCATGGCAACCCTCAGAGCATCTCCATAGCAACGGGGAGCTCAAGTGCTTGGTCCCAGCACATGCAGCCCATCTTTATGGGACGATACAGAATCAAAGTGCATGTGTGGGTTCTTTTTTGTCCTTGGTTTTCTCTCTTACTCACGATACAGATGTAATATCAGGCTGATTGTGTGTTTTAATATCAATTAGAAATACAGCATGGGATTTTATGAACATTAGACCTTTTTAAATGCTGTACACCACTGCATTAAATGAGCCTGTTTGTGTGGGAATACAGGCATGTGCTTTCCCAGCCTTCTAAAACCCTTGCTAACAGAGCAGTGGTCTCTGTGTCTATTTTTATCATGCTGGCTGGAGTGTTTAATCTGGTCTAATGGAGGTTTTATGAGCGTTAGGCCACATGGGACATGACACTGAACTATGCCTTCTTCTCACACATCCTCCTGAGACAGATAAATCCAGTCCCTATCAAAATGTTATAGTGCTTTAAAGTAAGGGATGTTGTTTTAACACTTTGTAATTGTAGCCATTATACACAGTGATTTTAACTGAAGTTAGATCCTAACAACATTAACCACTTTTCAGTTTTGGGGTCTGTAAAGAATATTTTGATTTAGCAATCCTTTATTAAATTGACTTTAAAATATTACTGTTTTTACTGTATTTTCGATTAAAGAAGGCCTGGTAAGCTAAAGAGACTTTCAAAAACATAAAAATATATTACCAACCCTAAAATTTTGCATAATGTCTGTGTAAAATGAACCTAAATCTCTTATCTTATTAGTTTGCCCACACTTTTTCAGTACACTACTGCTGCTTTAGAGACTAGGTGTGTGTGCGTGTGACATTGGTGATACGGTTAAGAACATTAACTGGACGTCTCTGTACGACACACCTTAAGTAGATTATATAATTCCTCCTTGACAAAATCAGAGACGTACGCATGTACAAGTGCATCATTTCTGGCTACTCAAAGGATTCATCCTACAGGCAAACACAAATATATTATTTTACTCATGCATTGCACCACAGTAATCAGTCGGTTTACACTATTGTTCAAAAATTTTGGCTTGGTCAGATTTTTTTTATGTTTTTTAAAAAGTCTGTCATGCTCTTCTGGTGCTTAAGAAACATTTCTTCTTGTTAACTTAACAACGATGACACCAGTTGTGCTGCTTGATATCATTGTGGAAAACCATGATAAAAAAAAAAAAGAATAATTCTTTGAAGAATTGACAGTTCAAAAGTTAAAATTGAAATCTATTATACATTATCTTTGTCTTTACTATCAACTTTGATCCATTTAATGCATCCTTGCTTAATAAAAGTTAATTTCTTTAAAAAAAGAAAAAACAAATATATATTACTATCACTAAAGGTATTTTGAAAATTTTGTTCCAAACCTGTACAATATTTTGAAAAATGTTGGTAATCAACATTCAAAGGAAGTCAGCTCTCAGCTGTCTGGTTACCAACATTCTTTAAAATATAATATTTTGTGTTCAACAGAAGAAAGAAACTCATACAGGTTTGTTAAGTGTGAGTAAATGATTACACAATGTTCATTTTGGGTTCATTTTAAGCCTAGTCCCAGACTAAAATGCATGTTTGACATGAAAGAAACTTTACTGTTGCTATCAAAGTTACTTTACTTTTTACTGAAAGCAACTCGCACTGATTTTGTCTCAAATTGCACACCAGTAATGTTTATTTCTAAAGCACTTTTAGAAAAGGACTTAAATGTCCAAGTTAAACTAAGGCCTACTCCTGGATTAATCTAAGTCCTGTTTGTGAAACCAGCTCTGTGTTGTGTTTTCCCCCCTTTTTTGACACAGATTTGAGTGTTTGTATAAGCTTTCTGTAATTTTGATAATGTCCTGATTCATAAATTGCTGATCTAAAGGTCATTGTTGCCTAACTCTGCCATCTGCCCTTCCTCATTCAGTGATTTCCTGATACTGCCCGGCTTCATTGACTTCACATCTGATGAGGTGGTGAGTACCAATGCTTAGCAGAGGTTAATGACATTGCACTTGTATTAAAGTATAGACAATTTAGTGCCAAGGATAATTTTTGATCACTGTCGGTGGAAAAAAAGAGCTCTTCAACTATCAATGAAGCGGAAGATCTGCAAAGGACAGTATGTGTTAACATGGCTGTGTTAGCATCCATATAGTCCCTGGTGTGCTGGGCATGTTGTCACAGGCAGTGAAGCTTGTATGTGTGTGTGTGTGTGTGTGTGTGTGTGTGTGTGAGAGAGAGAGAGAGAGAGACAAGGACGAAACAAATATCAATCAATTCCCTTGGAGCCACAACTATAAACACATTTTTAATTAAAGATGCAGCAAATTTACTTTCCAGCGATATATTATCAGCAAATAGCTTAGTTAAAACTGGAAATCACATCAAGTTAATTTGGAATATTTTTGTTTCTTGACCTTATAAGATTGGTTCAGGGTTTTTAGGGATATTTGTGTGTTTGCTTATGTGTTATGTGATTGTGTAATTGGGAATTTGGGAGTCTAGTTAAAGTGTTTGTATTTTTCCCAGTAGACCAGGGGCCCGTTTCAATAAGGAGGTTCAACCAACTCTGAGTTAAAGCTTGAACTCAGAGTTGACTTACCCTGAGATGGGAAACTCTGAGTTTTCGGTTACAGAACAGCTGAAATGAGTTAGTTCAATCAACTCTGAGTTGACCGACTCTGAGTTAAGCGCTTGCACCACAACTATAAAAAGCCATTATCAATGGAGCACAGATATTATGAGTCACCATGGCAACAGCGCCAGACAAAAAGAGGTGTTTATTAATTACCAAGTAATCTAAATATTGTAATTTAATTAAAGGGATTACTCTTAATTCTTCTGTAATTTAAAATAAAATATGATGCAATTACATTAAATAGGCCACTACATAAACCAATTAAGTATAAAACAATAGTGGATTTAACATACATTTTTAAAAGGTATATTTTTTATGTAACCTTCTTCCTCTACACACTTTGATAAATTCAAGAATAATTCATGCAATTGTATATTGTGAATTTGAAAGAATTAAAAGTGCAGTTTCTTGTCTCTCCTCTTTGTATTAATCAAGTGGTTGAGGTTGAGATTTAGCAATTAGTAATATGTAGACCAATACTTTCTAGAGATAGTAGCCTGATTATTACATTAATCTAACTACACCGTTGAAGATGTCAGTTAATAATTCATAACTATTTTAGAGTAACTTACTGTTATAATATAGTAAACTTACTCAACCTAAAGTAGGCTACTATTACTTTGATAAAATTTTACCTAAGTTAAAGTAAAAATACCAGTCTAAAAATCCACTCAAGTAAAAAGTAGTTAATTTAAAACATGAGTAAAAGTTGCTGAGTAACTTGTGGGGGTGGGGTGGGGGACTCCCCCATGTGGGGAGAGTTGAGAAACATCTCAGAAAATATCACGGTTTATGGTATTAAACAATTATTAAATATATAAACTGCATTCTTAAATTACGGTTATTATTATCATCAGTTAAAATGACAGTTAAATAAATTAAACATTTGTTCAATAAAACATATCAACTAACTTCAATAATTGATTATGAATAAGATTAACATCTTATTTTTTATCATTAATAACTTATTAAATTATGTTTGAAAAATAAGTGAGTTCTATTAAATGTTTTTTTATTCCAATTTTTTTAATGATTTAATAGAAATATATTATCAAAAACGGTGGTAATCAAATAAAAGTTTAGCAAACGTTTTAAATCCTTTTATTTTTTGGCAAAGTGCTACAAAACAGATTTAGTCAATTAAACCATGGACAAACAATATATATTCCTTAAAGAATGTGTAAATACATTTTAGTATTATTGTTGGTGTTTAACAGCACTTCCTCTTTAAAAAAGGGGAGGAGACCGCAAGAAACTCTGAGTTTACTGAAGAAAACTTGCTCCCGACCAGGTTAGGTTCACGGAGTAAGTTACCATGGTAACTGACTCTGAGTATAAGTTACCTCTCTTTCAGAAATGGGCTTGACTTACTCTGCTGTCTCAGGTTTAACTTACCTCCCTTTCTGAAACGGAAAACCCAGAGTTTCCCTCATTTCAGGGTTAACATACTCGGAGTTTTCACTTAACCTCCTTTCTGAAACAGGCCCCTGGTGTATTCGCTTCCTGCTGATGTAAACACAGATACACAACGCTGGTTGTGATTTCTTTAAGCACTTCTGAGAATTATGCTGAGCTACGGATAATGATGGGACGCAGGTGTCAGAGAGAAAGAAAAATAAAACATGGCAGTGTGTCTACAATTCGAAGGAATCAGTTGAAGGGACACTCTGTGTTAGTGTTAATTTAGTGTTCATATAGTGTTCTTCGAGGCAAGTCACCTTTATTAAAATATACTGTATCTTTATGCAATACTGATTGTTTCAAAGGAGCTCTTCAGTGATAAAAAGGAAACCAATGATGCAAACAGACTCAATTCTGACTCTAAAAATACAATAGCAAACCTTTATTCAGCTGCAATTATTGAGCTGAATTTTGTTCAGTGTTGATTCAGTTCACAAACTGTGTAAAGTTAATTGATTATTGAATGATTTTATTTCATCAATAAATTAAACGGCTCTGGGGAAAACAGTGATGTCATCATCCAGCTCAGTTCAGTTCTCATCCAATAGTGTCAGTGCAGTCAAGTCAATATATACAAATATTAAGTGAGAAACCCAACTGCCCCCCACCCCCCCCCCCCCCCCCACTGTCAGGGGGCCAGTTCCTGTTTCATTTCTTATGTCAATGTCCAAAAGTATCATAAATTAGCTTAATTACTCTCATGTCGGTTTTCATAGACACTTTGCCCCCATTAGATTTTTCGTAACGGTCATGTGTTATGATGTCAGGATTTGACCTCTGCTCTGACCCGGAAGATAACCCTGAAGACGCCACTCATTTCCTCTCCCATGGACACAGTCACAGAGTCCTCCATGGCCATCGCTATGGCTGTAAGTAACACTCACATAAACTATATATTTAATCCAGCAAAGTTGAGATTGATTTTCCATTTAATTCACTGCTTTGTCCTGTAGCTCATGGGTGGAATTGGAATCATTCATCACAACTGCACACCTGAGTTCCAGGCCAATGAGGTCCGGAAAGTCAAGGTCAGTCATATGATTGTTGAGAGATGTGTTTTTTGGCAGAATTGAATACAAATGTAACAGTTGTATTTTGTAAATCTGGTCGGCTGTTTATGTAAAATTCACAGGCTTTTTTTATTTTTTTGGTTCAATATATACTTATAAATAGCAATAACTGAAATGTTTTGTATTTGTCATACCGGCAGAAATTTGAACAGGGCTTCATTACGGACCCTGTAGTGATGAGTCCACGGCACACTGTCGGTGATGTGTTTGAAGCAAAGGTACGGCACGGTTTCTCCGGCATCCCGGTTACTGAAACCGGCAAGATGGGAAGCAAGCTGGTGGGCATCGTTACATCACGAGACATCGACTTCCTGTCAGAGAAAGATTACGACAGGCCACTGGAGGAGGTTTGTGATTAAAATTGTCTAATTTAGCTTTAATAATTTATAGGTGGATTCCAATTTAAGTGTTGTTTCATAATCTAAGCGTAATATAGGCACTTTTAAGTGAAACTGAATGTAGTGCAGAACTTGATCCATCAAGATTTGATTGAAATTTTGGCCCACTACATTTGTTAGAAATTAATATTTTAAGAAATGAATACAGTGCTGAGATTTTAATAAATTTTATTCAACAATGATGCATGAAATTATTTAAAAGTGTAAGTAAAGACTTGTTACCAAAAATGTATATTTCAAATAAATTCTATTCTTTTGAACTTTTTTTCAAAGAATCCTGAAAAAAAAATGTATCATTGTTTTCACAATAATATTAAGCAGTTCCACATTGATAACAATAAGAAATGTTTCTTGAGCAGTAAATCAGTATATTAGAAAGATTTCTTAAGGATCATGTGACACTGAAGACTGGAGTTAACAGAATACATTGCATTTTAAAATATATTTAAATTTAAAACAGATTTAAATTTAAATCTTGACCCCCAAACATTTGAATGGTAGTGTATATGAAAGATTACAATGTAAAATATACACATTATTCACTAGAATGTAAAATATCATTGATCACTGATGAATCGAATCACAATAAAACAGGTACATTTATTAAAGGTGCAATATGTAAGATTTTTGTGATAAAATATTCAAAAAACACGTTAACAGTGTGATATATTCATGCAGTTGTGTACTTGCATTATCCCAAAAGTTTGTAAATCCAGAGAAATTCCAGTTTTAAATAATTTCTCATCCTTTGTCATTGCCTCATATCACTGACGTAATATCCGCGCTATCCTCGGTTTCTGCTTGTAGAAACCATAGATTCCTCATTAGCGGCCATTTCATTGGGCTGCTATGCATCAGCTGCTAAAGAGGGTTCTAAGTATACATATCTATGATACAATATATTTTTTCAAATGTACTTTTAGTACAATTGTTTTAAACTTGTAGAACTGCACAGCATTGACTCACAATATCATTTGACCTATAGTTATTTCAGTAACAGGCTAATATAGCATTACATTTCACTGTTCTTGCAGCTAATTCATTGCGATTATATAAAATTGTGTGATCAAACGTACAGGTAATACAAACTAATTTATTAGCTGATACAAAATTTATATGATTCGTGAATTCCATAGCCTACATTCCTGGATAGTGAAAACGACAACTCCCATCGTTCCACTCTCCATTGCGTCATCAAGCTTCGTCTTTGTTATTGTTTTGAAACTGTGACCTTTGGTGGCGAAAAAATTACAGATCGTACCTTTAAGAAAAATAAATAGGGTAAATTTTGTCCTAAATGCTACTAATATCTGTGAATGATAACAGTTTCTGAATGATTCATCTTCAATCCTCCAGGCAATGACAAAACGAGAAGATTTGGTGGTTGCTCCAGCGGGTGTAACGTTAAAAGAGGCAAATGACATCTTACAGCGCAGTAAAAAAGGTATGAGCGTGAACTTCTGACCTGTTTGTGTTGGGATGTTTAGCACAAGCTTGCTGATCACATTCCTGTTTTCTCCTTCAGGTAAACTTCCTATAGTGAATGACAGCGATGAGCTCGTAGCTATTATAGCTCGTACCGATTTAAAGAAGAACAGAGACTATCCTCTAGCCTCCAAAGACTCTCGCAAACAACTCCTGTGCGGCGCTGCCATTGGCACCCGAGAGGACGACAAGTACCGGCTAGACCTGCTCATGCAGGCTGGAGTGGATGTGATAGTTCTGGTGGGTACAAAGGGGGAATGGGGTGACCTTACACTTTAGAAGGACTCAGTCCTATTTAGCTTCCTGCAGCACATTTTCTGCATTCCAACTTGTAATTTGGACAACTGCAACAGGACTTGAAATTAGAATTTCAATTTCTCATGCAAAAATCCATCATTTGTTCTGGCCAGATGCAAACTTGGCAACACCCAAGTAGATTAGAAACATTTTTAAACAAATAAAACGCATCAACACGTCAAATTTTAAACATAAGATGACAAAAACATGTTTAGCACATGTTTGCAGACAGATGTGTTAAACATGATGATAATCAAACACACTGAGCACATGCAGTAGTTAAACTTTGCTTACAGTCAAACACCTGCAAAGCTAATAATACCATTGCTATTTTGTTTTTGTTCCATGTGTCAGGTGGGGGAATAGAGCATATGTGTGTGTAGGGCCAAAAGTATTTAGAATTAGAAATAAATTGAATCAAAGTGAACCTGAAGTGCTTTGCTAATCTAAATATTCTCATAAGGCTACATTTGTTTCAATCAAAAATACAGTAAAAACAGTAAAATTGTTATTTGTTAAATTGGAATGTATTCCTCTGAGCCCAAAGCTGGATTTTCAGCAGCCAGTACTCCAGTTTTTAGTGTGACAATCATCATAAATATCTGTCACTTTGATCAATTAAATGCATTGCATATGCTGAATAGACAAAATGACTGTCCCTAAACTTTTGAATGGTAGTGTAACCATATACTTATGCAGATTTTAATTTTGCATACTTTGTATCGGGTCAAGGGTCAATTAATGATGCTGTGTTGGTCAAACTAATTTGTCAGACATCATACACAGTAACAGGTGTTCTTGATAAATTTGCCAAATATTGACCTAATTGTCTGAACAATGGATCTGATTGTATATTTGCAAATGAAAGTAAAGGACAAATGTGTGGATATATGCAAAGCTGTAGCCAAAAGCTACTGTCATACCTTTTGGCTACATCCGTAATCAAACATGCCTGAACAAGTTAATCAATTCTTTGGCTTTACTGGGAAATTAATAAACAGGTGGATTAGGGCAGGGTTGAAAAAAATCTTTTACAATTTCCAAAATTGATCTAAAACAGCAATCTTACATTAAGTGTGACCTCTTGCTCTTAACCCTACATGATATATGATGGATTTTCTGTTGTTCTGTCCCAGGACTCTTCTCAGGGGAACTCTGTGTTTCAAATCAGTATGATCAACTACATCAAACAAAAATACCCAGAACTACAAGTGGTGGGAGGAAACGGTGAGGCTTTTTTTGCCCTTTGTGGTGCTTCTTTTTCTATAAACTGAGGGTAGCTCGAGTAGAGTGATATTTGACGTATTATGGATTATTTCCCCAAGTTTCTCTTCAGTTTCTTATTCTCTTGTGTGCAGTGGTGACTGCTGCTCAAGCAAAGAATCTTATAGATGCTGGGGTTGACGCTTTACGAGTGGGCATGGGCTGTGGATCCATCTGTATCACACAGGAAGGTGTGTGTGCACTTCTTACTGACTTTGGAGGACAAAACTGCTCTGGAAAGTGCCAAGAATTTGGTTAAATATGGAAGAATTTTATGAGGACATACTTTAAAGGGAAAATGGTGCCTTTATTCACTTCGAAAAATGGCAAAAGTTTTATTTTGGGGTTAGTGTTTTTGGGGATTACTATTGTCATCTATTTTATATATAGAAACTCGTTTCTGCCACAGAATAAAACATTTTAAAAGATAATTGCAAGTTTATATCTCACAATTCTGACATTATAACACGCAATTGTGACTTCATGTCTCACAATTCTGACTTTTCTCATAATTGTGAGATATAACCAATTGCAAGAATTTTTTTTTTATTCTGTGGTGGAAACAATCTTCCATAATTTTATTTTAATTTATTCTAGACAAAATGAATAAAATTACCTTATTTATATAGCAATGCAAATGTGTATACTGTATGTGGTCATACAAATGGTATCTTTATTCACTTCTAAAAATTATTTTAGGGTTAGGATTATTTGGGATAACAATTATCTATTTTATTTATTTATTTATTTTGTTGAGAACAAGAGAAAATAATGAGAAGTTATTTAGCAATATATACAGTATATGTGTGTGTATCATTAGTGATGGCGTGTGGGAGACCGCAGGGCACGTCTGTATATAAGGTGGCTGAGTACGCCCGGCGCTTCGGGGTTCCAGTTGTTGCAGATGGTGGTATTCAGACGGTTGGGCACGTTGTCAAAGCCCTGGCGCTGGGAGCATCCACAGGTGTGTGTTTATCTGACTGATTTGCCTGAACGATCATTGTTATTAATGGCTGGGATTTGTTTGCCTAAGTTTTACGTCTGTGACCATCCCCTTCCCTTCGGCCTGTTTTGCTTTAGTGATGATGGGGTCATTGTTAGCGGCAACCACAGAAGCACCCGGGGAGTATTTTTTCTCAGATGGTGTACGACTGAAGAAGTATCGTGGTATGGGCTCTTTGGATGCTATGGAGAAAAACAACAGCAGTCAGAAACGGTACTTCAGGTAAACCAGTCTTTTGCTCAGATGTCTGCATGTGTACAATTGTGTGACAATAAAGTATCTCTTCAATTATAAAAAATAATAGATTTTGGCTCTGTGCACAGTATGAATTTTTTTTTTTTGTACATTTAATTTTTTTTTTTTTTTTTATCTGAAAGGCATGAACATTTTCACCAGTGTCATTTCCAGTACATCTCAAATGTGTGTTTAACAGCATCCTTTGGTGGAAATCCTTTTTCTTGCTAAGACATTTTAATTATCCTAAATACAAAGAATTAAATCAAATAAAAAAAAAATATATTATAATATTTTTTTTTATATGAATAAATATTGAAATAATTCATGGTTATTTAACTCTTTGTTTTGGACTTTATTTGTCATATTTTATAGTAACAATTAATATTTTAAATGATAAATAAATATAAATTATATTTACCTTGATTTTTCTTTATTTTGTTTATACATCACATGCATTACATTTCATTTTATTAGGGGCAAAATAATTGTTGTGGAGGAAATGATACCAAAATAATTGGACAGGGCTGATTTTTGAAAGATTATTATACTTGTTTTTCATGCAATAAAATATTGAAATGGTTTATTTTTAGTTCACTTTTTGACTGTTGTGTAGTAATTTATTGTAACAATGTATTAATTTTAAGTTTTTAGAGTTTAGGTCTGAAACTATACATAAATAGTAAAAAGTTAAAATAAATGATGAAAGCATTTTAATGTGACCTTCATATAACAAAAATAAAAAAATAAGGTAAAAGTGTATATTAAACATAAAATAGACACCTCAATATTTGAAGAAACACCTCAATAATATACATATCTGTTATAAATGGTTATGAATGCATATTATGAAAACTTTTGTATTGTATGCAATATATAATGGGTTGTGTGTGTGAATGTGTGTGTTTTCCAGTGAAGGTGATAAAGTGAAGGTAGCTCAGGGAGTCTCTGGCTCAGTTCAGGATAAAGGCTCTATACACAAGTTTGTTCCATACCTCATTGCTGGAATTCAACATGGCTGTCAGGATATCGGTGCAAAGAGTCTGTCCATTCTGCGGTAAGAGTGCTCTTTCTCTTATAGACATCTGACAAGCTTGACCACTCATGTTTATTATCTTTGAGGCCATATATATGTGAGTATATGCTGTATATTACACACATTTAGGGATACTCTTGCAGGTAGTTAACTAAATGAACTTTTAGCAGATATACACCTAACCAAGTCTGTCTTTTCTAGACCAAAATGGACACAACTTTTAGTAGATATACACATTTAAAAGTATTTTCTTGTTCTTCTGGAAAAAAATGAACAAAAAAAATATTGATACTCATTCTGCACTAAAAAAGTTTCAAGTAATTTTCATGAGAAAATTCCCTCTTTTTGAATTATAAATATCACCTACATCCAAATAGCGGTGGCTAGTATCAACTGGTTCACTGTGTCTTTGGTCGTGCTAATATTTTCTGTCTCAAACATCATTTCATTCTGAAAGTGTCCTCATTGCTTTCATCCATGGTATCTGATTTTGCCAAGCTAAGTCATACACGATTCAACTCATTTTTTTTTAGCTCAATTTAATGTAATTTAAGTTGAAATGATTGTTGAAGTTGATTGTACATAAAAATTTAAGGCAGCAAAGTTTATATATTTTTTTTTTTTTAAGTTTTTTATACTGAATGTTAACTATTAACCAAAGGTTACTGGCTATATAAAAGAAGACAAGCTCTTTAATATGTCTCTCCCCAAATTCCACAAACAGAATTCCAACTTGAAAAAGTATAATTTCTGTTTTTATGTATATCTGGTTATTAAGTCTCACCTTCGTTACATATAGATCGATGATGTACTCCGGAGAGCTGAAGTTTGAGAAGAGGACAATGTCTGCTCAGGTTGAGGGCGGAGTTCATGGACTGCATTCGTAAGTCTCCGCCCACTCACTTAGCCCCACCCACCTGACCTACCATGTTTATGTCTCTTTCCTCACAGCACATGCCCTTAAAAGAATGGCTGTAAACACATTTCCCTTCCTTAGAATTCTTATCATTAACATAAAACTAAAAGTTTAGCAATTCCTCCCAGAGACCCCTAGAGTAGACCGTCCCTTCTTAAGTTGTCATGGAAAAGTAGAGTTTACGTATGAAAATGTCTTCTCTTCCTTTCTCTTATGCTGTCACCATAGATATTCTTTTGTGCCATGTAAGTATTCATCCCTCATGTCTCTTATAATAACGTTGCGTTCTGGTGGAGGGGATTGTGTTGTAAACACTGGTATGGTCTGGGCTCTTTAGTGGGCATAAAATGAGACTCTTTTAGTTTCCTCTTGCTGTTGCATCATAGAGACAAACCTTCGGTGTCCTTCTGTGGTTATGTACTCGTAACACTGTCTGAGACTTGACTTTGGTAAAAAAAAGAACACTCCTACTTTTTAAGGGATAGTTTACCCAAAAATAATAATTCTGTAATTTATCCACCCTCATGAGATCAAGAATTTTTGAACTTTTCTCTTCTATTCTATGGATGCATATGATGGGTTGGCAAGCTCCAAAGACAAAAAAAGTAAACTAACATTCAAAAGTTTGGGGTTGGTAAGATTTATTTTTTTTATGTTTTCGAAGAAGTCTCCTATGCTCTGCATTTTTTGATCGGTTTAAACTGTATCATGATTACAGTTTAAAATAAGTGTTTGTTTTTTTGTAACTAATTTCTTATTATTATAACTGCTGAAAAGAGTTGTCCTGCTTAATATTTTAGTGGAAACCATTGATGCATTTTTTCAGGATTATTTGATGAATATAAATTTTAAAAGAGCAGCATTTATTTGAAATAGATTTAAAAAAAAAAAAAAAAAAAACGTTATAAATGTCTTTATTGACACTTGATCTTACTGACCCCCAAATTTTAATTGTGAATTTTTGCCAGTGTAACAAAAATAAATAATCCAAATGACTTGTGCGCTATATGCTATATATCTTCTGTTGCCTTATGATAAATTTGTGTGAAGAACAGATTGAAATGTAAGTTTTAATTCAAATATGTATTTATTTGACGTTTATGAGGCCAATGAGAACTCGTGCATCTCGTAACCGATTGAATAATGATTTCAATTTGAGTCTGTTCCTTGCTCAAATTAACTTTCATGATACTTTTATGGTGCTTTTTATTTAATTTTTTGGGCAAACTCTTCCTTTAATTGGCTGTGCTAATATATTAGTATAAACCCCTTAATTAGGACTATAACTTTGAAAGTTTATACAATATAGCAACATTAATTAATAGTTCTTTTCTGTTTCTGGTAGTTATGAGAAGCGGTTATATTGAGCCCGGCAGCAGGGGGCACATGCGAGCAGGACCCAATGTCCCATCACCAGCCGTTACCAAACACAGCAGCTAAACTCATTTCTTTTATCCTCACCCCTGTACTTTTTCCTGATGACTCTTGACTCTAGATGAACAAAGCTAATAAAACTGTCTGCTTGTAATAAAAGCCAGCAACAGTACTGAATGTACTATCGACTGTTTTGATATTTATTTTCGGTTCTCACTGTAAGAAACTAGACTTGGCAATAGAGAGATTATTTTCAAAATCATATGAATGTACTACACCATCTGAAATACATGTGTGTATCTGTGTGAGAGAGTGTGTATTAGGGTTTCTGATACAGTATGTGGTATATATGGTATGTTTTGTCAAACTGTCATGTTCAAAATGTTCTAATTAAAATTGTCTGTAACTAGCAATAATGCTTGTCGTGGTATATGAGAAAATCATGTGCATACCACATTGCCATTAGAGTGTTATGAGTTAAATGTAATCTGAGAAATCTTTTTGTTTTTTCCAGAAGGGCAAGTTTGCCGGCTGCTTGTGTCACAATGCTTTTCAGACTATCCATTTAGTCACATAGCAGTAGAACTATGTTATTTTATGGATCAGATTATCAGTATCAGCCTTAAAATCAGGGATTGTGTACTGTTACTCGCCTTTCACTAGTCAATAATTTAGACAGACATTGCTCATTTTTTTAAGTTTATTTTCATAGTGTCACACATTTGCATCATTTAGATATATCAAACATTTTACAGTATATAAAAGTAAGCAATTGAGATGTTACAAGGCCAGAAGTGAAGGACAGTAAAAAGCATTTGCTGTGAAAGTGTGACACTTTCAAATTTGGGCTCCATTTTGTAGATTGAAGACTGTTGTGTTGTCATTCTGAATATAATACAGTTTAATAAAGAATGTTTTATAAACTGTGTTTATTATTGTGTTCCGATAGTATCAGTTTCAGTCTATTATACTTTGCTTAAATATTATGTGTATGGCTTAATATTTATATTATTAATGTTTAACAACATTTTTATATTTTAAATGGATTATTTAAATTGCATACACTTGTACAAATGTACATGTATACAAATGTAATTCAGAAAACTTAATTGTCATTTAGGAGAAACAGCCACTGGGCCATTTGCTAAGCACAGAGAGAAAAAGCATACTGTATCTTAAATATTTGCCAAAAAAAAAAAAAAAAAAAAAGTCAACAGTGAGACGATCTTAGAGAATATAAGCTGCTTTGTCTTTTAGTAATTAGCTTTTTTATGTTGAGCTTCTGCTGTAAACACGTGCACTAAAACATACAAAAAACAAGTAAGCTGTCACAACTTCATGTTATTACACATCCACAGCCAACAGAGGGCATTGTCTTTGCACCAATATGTCATTAAGCGTATTATAGGTACAGGGTAGATCTTTATGAAGCGCTTTATTCTGTAAAGACGGAGGCTATGTTCAAAATGGTTTACTAGCAAATTGCTCCAGCCTGTGCAGGTTATATAAATATGCATTATACAGCAAACAAATATTTCCTGTTGTTGTCACATGACCTTTATTTTATGCATTGTACAGAAAATACTGAAGAATACTCACATACTGAAGAAACAACGCAAGCCTTATCCTAGCATGCTATTCTGATCATAGCCACAATATGCTGCATGTAAATTTGCAGATAAAATTTTTTTCAATAAGTTTATGTGACATGTACACAAAATAACTAATTGACATTTAGTATTTAAAATGAAACTGCAGGGATTTTTAAGGGTTTTCATTGTTATCTACACACTGCCTTTTGCTAATGACATCTTTAGCGTAGGCCTCATTCCAGAACGTATCGGTTACCTAATGTAACCTCGGTTCCCTCTAGAAGAGGATACGAGTATTGCGTAAGTTAGCTTACGGTATGGGAAAGATTAATCTTTTCGAGATATTGAAGCCAAAAAAATATCCTTAATTTCGTATTCATTGTCAACGCAGTGCAGCGGCTAGCAGACCTAGAGCAGGCAGTCTAGCATGCTCATAGGCTGCCCTGCGGGAACTGCAGCATCCTACCACCGAGCCAATGTGATGTCATGTCCAATGAAGGACACTCGCGCCTTCACAGCATCATAGCCCGCCGAGTATATACGCTGGGCGTGACTTAACGTATATAAGAAGGTTACCCAATTCTCGTTCCCTCGAGGTTACGTTAGGTAACCCATACATTCTCTTACGAGGGGTTCTCTCGTATTGCGTAAGTTAGCTTACACTACGGGAACCCTTTGTCGACGCCGTGCGGGCCGAGCATCCACTCATGAGTCCCAGGGTTTCCCAGGGAACCCAGATAAGAGGGAGAATAAGGCGGCCAGCACTTGTACATAAGCACTCATAGGGAATACAGAGCAGCGACGCTGGTCTGTATAATAGCACATAAACATTAGTGCAGCTCAACCAGAAGAGCTAGGACACATGAGAGTAGCCTGTGCGCAATCATATCTGGACAGAACGTACATCTCACTTAAACTAACAGAAGTTTTGTAACCTATAACTTCTAGGTTATAAAACCTAAAAAAGGTGGACGGGGAGGCCCATCCCGCTGCCACACATATGTCATGAACAGAAATTCCGCTGGACCATGCCCACGATGAGGCCATGCCTCTAGTGCAGTGTTTCCCAACCCTGTTCCTGGCGGCACACCAACACTGCGTGTATTCTTTGTCTCCCTTATCAAACACACCTGATTCAACCCATCAGCTCATAATCAGGTGGGTTAATGAGCTGATGGGTTGAATCGGGTGTGTTTGATTAGGGAGACAAAGAAAACACGCAGTGTTGGTGTGCCGCCAGGAACAGGGTTGGGAAACACTGCTCTAGTGGAATGAGCCCTAATGCCCAAGGGGCGTTGCAGACCTTTCGACGCATAACCGGCTGGTATAGCGTCCACAATCCATCTGGACAGGCTTTGTTTCGAGTCGGGGAGACCCTTGGTGCGCCCACCGAATGAAACGGAAAGCTGCTCCAAGTGCCTGAAAAGGGTGGAGTGCGCAGTGTATAGAGGAGATTCAACCATGCGTGCAGAGACCAGCACTGTGGAATGGGATGCTAGATTGAGCTGCGAGCTTGAGAGAGGAGATCTGTTCTCACCGGAATCGCCCATCTGGCTGTTTTGTCAGCTCCGGGAACCAAATCTGATTCTCCCAACATGGGGCTATAAGGAGCACCAAGTGGTGCATTTCCCTTATCCTCTTGATTACTTGTGGTAACAGAGGGATCGGAAGGAAGGCATATAGAGGGTGGTTTGGGCTAGATTTGGGCCAGCGCATCCTCGATCTTTGAAAAGAACATCGGGCAGTGAGCGTTGTCTTTTGACGCGAATAGGTCAACTTCCGCTTTGCCAAACAGGCGTCATAATTTCTCGACTGTTTGGGGGTGCAGCGACCATTCCCCTGGGGGAAAGTTGTCCCTGGATAATTTGTCTGTGCCGTCGTTCAGGTTGCCTGGCACATGCGCAGCTCTCAGCGAGTGCAGGTGATGCTGAGACCACGTAAGAAGGCGCTCTGTCAGATCAGATCAGGTTCCTGGATCTGATGTCGCCCTAACGGGTTACGTAGGACACCACTGACATGTTGTCTGAACGGTGAACATGGTGGTCTTATATGAACGGGAGGAAGCGCTTCAGCACGTTCTTGGCAGCTATCATTTCCAGACAGTTTATGTGAAGGAACTTCTCCTGGTCTGACCACTGGCCAAAGACCGGTCTGCCCTCGAAGAGAGCGCCTCAACCTGAGTTGGACGCATCTGTCGAGATGACCTTTCCATATGACACAGCTCCCATCATCAATCCCTGCTGATACCAGTCGGCCACTAACAAGGGCTGCAAAATCAAGTCATTTCACCTTTTTACCATGTTGCTTAATTTAACATTTAAGAAAATTTCAGAAAATTCAGAAAATTGAAATAGTCTGGCGAGGTGGGGCCATGGACTGGGACATTCCTGGGATGGATCTGCTGCGTTTCCATCTATTGTTTCGTCCATGGTTTTGTCTCTTATCTAAATCTGACCATGGAGTTGACTTTGGCGGAAAGCTGAAGGTGATTGCTGATAGGCTGTCCCAATCAGTGGCACCTGCACAAGCCAATCACGTTTGAGAGGGAAACAACAATAAGACGCTGTGAAGGCGTGAGCGCCCTTCATTAGACATGACGTCACGTCGGGCTCAGTAGTAGGCTGCTGCAGTTCCCGCAGGGCAGCCTATAAGCACACTAGCCTGCTCTAGGTCTGCAAGTTGCTGCACTGCGTTGACGATGAATACAAAATTAAGGATAATTTTTTGGCTTCAATATCTCGAAAAGATTAATCTTTCCTCTAGCGTAAGCTAACTTACTCAATAAGAACCTCTCGTAAGAGAACAAAATGTTACCCAAGTAACAAAGCTGCCACAAATAAGTGTTATGATCGTGTTGTAATGAAATGCAAATGAGTTCTATAAGCATGTGTCTCTATACAGTAGTAACGTTGCCACTGAGTGTTTAGGTGATCCATGCTGTAATAGCAAAGTCAAAGACTCATCATAAAACATGTTCATAAGTGCTAGTTTTATTGCTGAAAGGTAAAGTCTTTTGATCAAGTCAAGCAATTTCAACAAGATTATATGTAATTTTTCAAATATGGGATGTGGGTTTCAGGGAGTTTCTCACATTGATGAAGAAAGAACATCGGCCTTTCAGTGGTTGCTGTTTGTTGTTTTGTCCATGCCATGTCTCCTAAAACAGAAATTCCTCTCAGCATCTATTTTAAGAATAGTTCTGTACATTTGAGTAGATAGGGCTGAAATTACTTAAGGGTGTTGGGTTAGTTGATTCAGAGACTTCTTCCCCTATAGGTCGATCGTATCACTGCTGATACTGAGTGCATCTATTTGCCTGCAGACGTTGACGAATTCAGCCTGAACGGCAAGCTCATCAACATGAGAAGTTGTCTCCACATCCACGCTCCCTCTGGAGGATGTAGATCCCAAGACTGTGTATCGTCTGTGGAGTTGCTGCCCAGACTGAGAGTCCCTGCGTTGGCTGCTCTGAGACTGCTGTGCTGAGTTTAACCCACTGCAATGGACTGAGACCTGAGCTGGCCTTCCAGATATAGTGCTCCATTGCCTGGGTCGGTTGGGTACAGTAGCGGGGTCCACATCCCCACAGGAGGCAGTGCGGTATAAGCTAGGGTCATTGGAGATTCCCCAACAAGGTTGTCCATCCGGGGGTCCGCGTGTGCTAAGAGAGAGCCTGGAGGAGCCAAACAGGCTATGCTGGAACAGGGCCTCGCTGTTCAAGGCCTCGTCGATGCTTCGTCGCAGGTCGATGGGTGAAGGAGGCCGAAGGTCTGCTGTGGAGTCCACGTCCAAGCTGGCAAAGGAGGATGCATGTGATTCTTTGCTCTTCTTTGCGGTGTGGGAAAGCTGTGTGGAAGACACATGCTGAGGGCTGCTGGGATAGTGGAGGTCTAAACCATCAGATTCGCTGTGCGGAAGCTCCACCAAGGTGTAGAGAGGCACACTTTCACTTTCCCGCCGTATTATTCCCTCACACAACCCCAACTTCTCGGCGGGCCGTAGTGACCAGCCACACCGACTTGAGAAGATGGGTTTTCCCAGTGTGGTTCCTTCCGTAGGTTGCTTTTTGAAGAACCAGCTGCAGCCACCAGGTTTGGAACGGGGCACTCCACAACACAGAAGGGGGTGAGTGATAACAAGGGCGAGGGTGAGACAAACCCCTGTTTCACACACTCGGCAGCTGAGCTGGAATCCCCACCAGGGCCAGGGCATCAGGCCAACCATGATCCCACCAGTTAGCCCTCCTGCGTTGAGCATGGCATAGAGTCGGAGACTGCCACATGCTAAGAGAAAGAGGGCAGAGAACACCCCAGCCCTGGCTGCCCTTTCCCACATCTGTGCTTCCGTGAATGGACACCTACTTGCTTGGCATGATGGCCGCTCAGGAGAGCTCTCGTTCAGCCTGTAAATGTGCTTAATGTCTGGCCGGGCGCAGCAGTACAGAAGCAGGTACGTGAATGACAGGAGAGAGGACATCAAGACGAAAGCTGCAGGCGGTAATAGAGGCACAACTTGCAGGGTGGGAAAAAGTTGCAGTATTGCCATGGAAGCCATCACTATGGCTATGTGCAGCAGCACTAGGGCAGCCAACAGGCAGGTGCTGCGCTGCAGGGTGTTCTGGGAAAGTAGCTGGGTACAGGAGCGAGCAGTTAGCAGTAGCATCAGAAGGCCAAAAGATGCCGTTAAACAGGGATAGGCAGCTTCGTGAAGCAGTCGTGCCCAGACGACGGGAAGGCGCTCTTTTTGGCCGTATGGATCGTAGAGGAGCCACAGGGCTCGGCTGGAACCTGTCAGTAGCTGGAGAAGGTGGAGGAGACTGAAATGGGCACATCCAGAGGGCCAGCGCAACGGTAAACACATCAGGCTGAGCATAGACAGCACAGCCACAAGCGAGAACACGCAGCTAAGCCCGTATACCTGTAACTCCCAGGCCAGGCCCCACGTTGCCATTGCAGCATTCCAGTCAGTCAGTAGAGGGACTAACAGAGGCGGAGTCAGGGCTTCGAGAGCTGGGGTTATGACACCAGAGGGTGTGGTTTCATAAACAGGAGGTGGAGTAGACAGAGTTTTGTTAGTTGAAGCATGATTCTTCGAAGAGTCAGATGACTGACAGATCCCAATGCCAAACAGGTTGCAGTCTGGAAGTGTGGAAGACTCACGCCAGTCGCCACCTGGAGATGCTGAAATACAACATAAAATTTGGTTTAAGATGCACTTAGTGTATATTTCAACTTTTCAAGTGACAAAAAAATTAAAAAATGTAAAAAGAAATGAATGTGCAAAACAATATAGATTATACAATATTCATATTATAACTTAGTTATAGTAAAAAAATTAGTCTTACAAGGTAATCTAGCTTAACATCTGTTTATGCACTCATGAGGTTATATTCACAAAACACAAAGCTAATGATCTCCACAAGCAGCTTATTAATTTTTTTGTTTTGTTTTTTTACTGCACCTAAAAATGTTACACTTGAAACAGCACAAGAGGAATTTAAACCACAGAGAAAACACAGAACAACAAACCACACACTGATGTATCAAGGAGAATCCTGGATCTCCAAGCATGCAAATCTAAAAAACTAAAACAGGTAAGTAGATTACGTGCTCCGTATGAAAGGCTTTAAGCAGTAATATGAGAAAATACACCATCAGTCATATAAAACAATGACTATGTTAATTAGCTGGGGAGATGTGGAAGTAGGCTGTTGTAAACGGGCCACACACTTCATCCCTGATACACATTCACGGCACAGATAAGAGGGCATTGACCCTGTTGCCGTTCTCATGAGTGAGACAATTTAAAAACTAGAAACTGACACACTTTCATGATATTAAATCAGATAAATATGCCTGCATGGAAGTGAGAAGGAGGGGCTTCTCAGTGTGTTTATTAATATTGTCTAATTTGTTTTTTTTGTTTTTTAAAAATATCATGCGCTTAATGTTGATCAAAAGGCACTATGTTTATTGCAGGGTTAAATATAGAATACCAGTAAAAAAATGTACACTAGTAATGGATTGGTCCTTTAGCATGTGTTAATTAAGGTCAGAGGGTCTGGCTTAACTTTCGCCTCTCAATATTGAATGATTAACCTTTGTTCACACTTCACTGGAAGATATTTTTGTAATTTTCTAATGGAAATTTGTTTCAGTCACGTAAACAAATTGTCATTTAAGGCTTTATTTACCTAGAAAAAGTTAGCCAATATCCATACCTAGTTAGTATACAATTCTAAATATTAATGATATTATTTAATTGTATTTTATGTAATAATGTTTTTGAAAGATCTTATGGTTTCCAAGGCTACATTTATTTGATCAAATATACAGTAAAAACAGTAATATTGTGAAATATTATTACAACTTTTGTATTGATCTGAATATTTTAAAATCTAGGATTAGCATTAGCATAGCAATTACTTCAGTCTTCATTGTGTTGAAATGTTGAAATCAGTTTTTGCTGTTAATTATATATTATATTATATTATATTATATTATATTATATTATATTATATTATATTATGAGAAAGCTGTGATTTTTCCTTGAGATTTTATATTTGATTCACCAAAAAGAATAGCAAAATAAGAGTAATTTGTGTGTGAATCTGACCACAAAACAACATATGTTTGTTTTTGCATGCAGTCTAAAAAGAATAGCCTCATAAGAGGCTAAAATGATGAAACCTGTTATATGCAATAATAATGAACCAGATAAAGGATATATATTATCATTCAGTGGCTTTGTAAAGCACTGGCAAGCCATGATTGTGCTGTGATCACCACCAGTCAAATATATTTTAGAATAGAGGTCATTCTGACAATGAAGGCTTACCTGCTTTAGGATAGGTTTCAGTGACCTTGATCACTGTGGTGGTCGATTGGCTATTTTGTTCCGTTTTCATTTGGTCAGGACCCTCACGTTCCTCTCTTTCAGGGTCAGATCTTGTTATATTGAAAGTCAGCTTTGTCAGACTGTCTGGAAGAGAAAGAAAAGATTAGAAACCTGTTCTTTAAAAAGACAAGAGGAACTGAGAGCTAATGCTAGCTCAAAAGTTACCGTGCCATTTTCCATTTAATTAAACCTGCTGTTGTTCTAATTTTTTACCTATTAACTTCAGCTAAACTTTCATTTCAAAAGCTTAAAAAAAACTAAATTGCATTCAGTTTCCCAATGAGTCACTAGAGGGCTTGTATCCCACTCACATCTGCAGTGATGACCGGCTTGTTCGCTGCTGGAATACTGATATTTTCATTGCAGCTTGAGGAAAAAGTTGATGCACCATTAATGCAGACATTATATACAGACGTTTTTATGCCAATACAGCATTACCAAATAAATGTAGTAGAAGTACAATGATACCAATATCCCTTTATAACAGAATTTCCCCATTCTATTCAATTTAAAATGTCATTTTTCTGCAGCGCTGTTGATCCGCTAAGATATCATACCTGAGTAAAAGTGAATTTACTGTCTTAATTAAAAGTGATGTAGTAAAAAGACAGACATGTACAGTGAACTGCAAATAATGGCAAATAAGTCCTTGAAGACGAAGGATACGCATTAATATGAGGAGAGTTCTCTGCATGAAACACCTTCCATTGCATATCAATGAAGAACTGCATTTCTCTCCGATATAGGAAATTTAATTAAATGAAATGTGGACGATTTTAACTGTGACAAGATCATTGACAGGCCAGTTTACTGTGAGAGAATGCGACAGGGAGCAACCATTAAAGGGATACTCCACTTTTTTTTGGAAATAGGCTCATTTTACAACTCCCCCAGAGTTAAACTGTTGAGGCGTAATGTTATGATGCAGCACCTGAAAATAGTGGCGCGTTCCAGGCAACCTGTAACCCTGATTTTCAACCTTATACCCGTGAAAGTACACTGGAACGGCAGTCAAACCCGTGACTTCCCACCCGTGAACTCGTACTAGATCCATGTACTCCCAGTTACGAGTTCTGATGTCACATAGCCAGCGAACCTATACAAAACTACAATGACAGCCCCTACGGATGCAGTATTTCTGCAGGCGGTGCACGGTGAGAATACACTTTAGGACAATATAACGTAACTAGTTTTCAGTCCATTGAAGGCAAGAATAAATTAATACCAAAAACATTTCCAAATATACAAATAAAGTAAAATAATAGGTATAACAGCTTATCTTGCCTCTTTTTCTTTTTCTTGCCTTATCTTTTTCCTCCTCAGTTTCCCACAAATAAACAAGGAGTAAGCACCTTTGGCGTTAGAAATTATGACAAATGCGCATGAGCCCCGGTTCGTCATGCTGGTTTGTTTACATCTAGCTACCACAATTCCTTGCGCTCAGGTAGTTTGGCGTGACTGACCTGAAATGCTACAAAGTCGTAAGTCGTGGGTTGAAGTCGTCATTTACGTGCTCAAAAACCTGCCTGGAACGCAGCATAGTGCCCAGCTTCCAACGTGACCGGAACTAAGTTTGTATAGTCATCGCGCCTGCTGCACTCATGGTACGGCAGTGAAGTTTCTTGATTATTACGCAAGAATGAGAGTAATAGTTCCCTGCATATCAGCCTAGAAAATCGCAACTTTACATTTTCCGTCTGTTTTAGTGCACGATGTAACTATAGAAGACTCAAGTTTTATAGGAAAAATATCGAAACACTTTGGTAATTTTTTGGGGGGAAATGCTAATGGTCTTGTGCACTTCAACAGTGTATGCTAATCTATGCTAAAAGTGGTAATGCCAGAACCGGACATTGGCTGAATGGATTCAAAAAAGGTAAAACTCAACAGTTTAACTTTGGGGGAGTTGTAACATGAGCCTATTTACAAAAAAAAAAGTGGTGTATCCCTTTAAAGACGCACTTGTGAAGTGAATAGTCTCAAACCTTGTGTACTATTTTGCTACACACACCCAAAAGTATAGTCTCAAACCTTGTGTACTATTTTGCTACACACACCCAAAAGTACCTAGTGCTTTTTCTTCACAAAAAGAGTACATACTTTTAGGGCGTAGTATAAGTAGGCGTGAGACGCAGCAATATACTGTGGGATTCACAATTCACAGATTCACAAACAAATGACTCTCATGAACCGGTTATTTTTAATAATTCCAAAGCATGCAGCGTCACCAGAGTGATTCACAAATACTCAAATGACCCAGATCTTTTTTTTAATTTTTTTATTTGTGAATCATAACATAAAGTGTTACAAGTAAAGTGTAATTCCCAAACAAATTGCTCATAAGCCGGTTTAATAAGGTAAGGTACCGGTTCAAATTAGTCTGACAAATCCTTCACTAAAGAGAATCCAACAGAATGCTTAATGAATCAACATCTGACTCACTGTAAGTTATTATTATTTTCAGTTACACTAGTTGTTGAAAAAGACATATCAGCTTTACTTAAGCATTCTAGCTTCACCAGTTAAATTAGCTATATGGCTATGCTGTGTTATCAGCACCAGACCAGCATGAAGCTATGATCCCACAATGAAATTCCAAAAAGAAAATCAGCTCATTGAAATACTTTGTCTTGCATTATACTTTCACACGCTATCAAGTTGACTTTGATGTATCGTTAATTGGATTACCTGTAGGAGCATCTGTCAAATCCTTTGTTTCTTCAGATGGCCACACAAAGTCTATCAGCCCTCTTGGCAAAGTGGTACCATCTAAGGTTCCTCTGGCATATGGTGTTTGGGTAGCACTAGAGGATTTCCACAGCATCTGGTAGGTGCGAAATCTTGTTTCAGCATGAGTCTGAGGTGTATGAGTCTCTGTATTCCAAGCATTCGGTGTCTTGGACTCTGTACTCCAGGCCTGAGAAGGCAAAGGCTGCAGTGTTACCAGTGCAGAAGATTTAAGTGATTGGTCAGTATTTCCTTGCTTACTAAAATTTGGCCAATCAGATGCTTCCGTTTCAACTCCTTCTTCATCATTCTGGATGTCTGAAGGAATTTCAGTCTTAGGGGAAGTCAAAGATTTGATCAGTGGTGTTTTTGTGGCTGGAAGTCTTGAGAAACCACGATTATCCATTGTGACATAGGGGTTTTGTTCAACTAAAGGGTCCATCTCAAGGTCTCTGCTAGACTTCTCTGATTGTAGTGCATTTGGGGATGACCTGAGGATGGTTGGAGTAGTCGTGTCCATTTGTCTCGGTAGGAACGTCCACAGTGAGCTGCTAGCTGGCTCTGGGTCAGTGCTGGCCCAAGCTCTTTCATTTCTATTTAAAGATACAGCATATAGACTGTCACACAGCGAGAAACTGAAGAGAAGCAGTAGAGCTTCACTGTGAGGGGTCATGCTGACGCTCCTCTGAAGAAGTTACACCTCACAAAGTCACCAGGCTGTCTACTTTTGACTTTCACATTCTGCGCAGGTTCTGAAAACAAAAACAAAAGAAACATTCACAAAATGGGTCACTGGATTCAAGTGATTTCAAATAGGCATGCACCAATATTAAAAATCTATACTTATTTGAAAAAAAAAGTAATAAAATAAAAACATATAAATTAGTATACATCTATAATTCTTTGCAAAATAATCAAATGAATAAAATAAAAATGTATAATTCTAAATCTATATGTACAAAAAATATTATGTTTATAGATTATTTCTTCTTCTGCTTTACTACTTTGCAATATGTATATACGCTAGAGGCTGCAGTCTTTAGCCTCCTTGTTAGAGCGTCTGACTCTGGGTTCGAAGCCCGTGCAGAGTGGGGCGAGTAGGACCTGTGTGAGAGGTTACATGGGGCCGTGACCCGGATGGGACTGAGGTTTAGGGGGGTGAGTGTAACGGAGGTCAGCTAGTCACTGTGCAAGTAAACCTCACTCCTCTAATCTCAAGAGGTGCCGACTGATGCCGGGCGAGTAGGACCTGGGTGAGGGGTTAAATATAGACATATGAAAAAGGCGTTGAGGATAGTGTTATGTTAAGATTTAAATATCCAGTATTGGCCTGATAAATTTTCAAATACCCAATAAAAATCCAATACTATTGAAATCAGGGATCCACAATAGATTGTTTATCAGTCTATATCTGTAATTTTATTACATGTATGACATCATTTGATAATCAGTGTGGTCCTGATTATTGTGTATCTTTAATGTCAGAGAAATATCTTCACATGAAACTGGGCATATTTTGTCCCCCAAACAGCGCCACAAAGTGTGTTGAGTGGCAAATTACAGCCAGAGCTCTGAATTCACACACCATCAGATTATAACTCGATCCCCTCGAGTCATGTGACCCATTTCAGAAAAAAATTAATTGTACCTCACAGAAGAGGATGGCAACCAAACACACACTAATGTTTCTATATTAATCAATCCTCATTACTAAGATTGCATTTATATTGTGACGAACAGTTGGCAATTAAATTAGATTTATGTTGAATGATCTCACAGCTGCTGCAGTGCACACTCTGCTTCTTAACTCACACACACCTTTTCGCTTTCTTGCCTTTTTGCTTTTTAACTCATTTCTCAAGACTCTTTTCTCTTATGTCTCCTGGAGTGGATGCACAATTTATCATTAATATATTCTGTGCAATAGAAAGAGAGAAAGAGGGGGATGCTGGTCTACATTCCCAACCAGTGCAGCACTGTTTAATGCATCTTCTCTTCAGCAGCAGCATCCAGTGACACATTTCCACACCGAACAACTGAACTCACATACACATACATGCATAGACATAAACTTTATGTGCTAGAAGAATTGTGCTCACCACGGGACGCATGGATGAAGAGTCTTAAACAGGAGTAATCCCTCTCTCCCTGTCGTCCTGCTGCGGAAAGATTTGATTCTGTCTGTGCTTGCGCACGCCTGTGTGTTTTAGTGCTCCCCCTCTCTTTCTCTCTCTTTAACACACACACACACACACACACACATACTCATCTTTCTGCTTTTCACATGAACACACACATGCTGCCTGACACACCCCCTTTTAGTATCCCATCTCCGTTCTCTCTCTCTCTCTCTCTCTCTCTCTCTCTTCAGGTGTCTGATCCCTCTCTTCTGATTCAGTTAAGCTGCATCTCTAGTTCCCAGAGCTGGATTAGCCATGTTAGGTGTTTTCCTTTCTCTTACATCACTGAGCACCAGAGCAGGTCATATACGCTGCAGTGATGCTTCTAAAAAGGAAAACAAATACATTTGTACAGTACGTTCACAGCTGTAAATAGAAGAGGATGAGCCTCTCCTCCCAATTCAGTTAAGGCAATCAATATACAATATTGAATGCAATTTTCTGAATCCCACAGAGAGAGTCAGAGATCAATGTGCAGCAATAAATCAGAGAGCTAAAATCACTGCTACTCTATTTTTCATCATGGTGGATTGAGATAAAGCATTATGCCAAGAAAAGCCCAACCAGACTACTTAATCATTTATGTCAATACATCACTGGACCAGTACCAAATCAGAACTAAACCAACCTGGACTTGTGTGACAACATCATTATGGTTTAAATTGGACATTTAAACAAGGATAGACACAACAACTGAGGTTTACAAGAAGCTAGGCAGTGTATGTGTACATAGCATGTAGCATTCAAAAGTTTTGAGACAATATTTAAAGGTATAGCGGAGGATTTTCTTTTTCCGGGTGGGTAGTCTATACTATTGGTCCACCTAAGTGTCAATCATTCTGGTGATATGTTTACGTAAGGCCGTCGTAGGCTACGTGCTCATCCCTATGTAGTTTTCACTTTCAGGTGTATTATGTCGGAGTTACGGTTTCAGCCATTCCTTTGAAAATGGCTGAGGGTCGAAAGAGAAAAAATGTTTACGAAGTGTATGATAAGAAGAGAAAGGCCGCAGAATATAGAAACAAGACCAGAGTGATTTTGGGTGAATATCACACGCTGGCGTGCGCTAAAAGCACAGGTTGGGCTTCTCACTGATGCCGCAGTCGCAAAGATTCTACTAGACAGGTAAAGTTTGTCATGCTATTTGGAGAAATCCATTTAAAATCACTAGTAAAAGTTAATGCAAGCTACAATGCTAGCCCTGGCACGAGTCATGCACCGCATGATTCGCTCAATTTGTCTAAAGTAGCCTTTTGACCAAAATGGTAAATGGTATCACGCTGAAATATTCTAAAATCTTGTGTGTTTATTATTACACAAATGCAACAAGCTACTTCTCCATATGCAACTAAGTATAAAAATAACGTATTAACAATGAGAGATATTAGGTTAAGGACCAACGTAATAGCACTGCTTATATGTTGCTGTAACGTAATTGCGATTTGCAAAATAGTTTCCTCAGAACGTATTTCGTGTGATACAGGGTTGCACATATCATGTCTTGAGTCCTCGGTCACTCAATCGATCAGTATAATAAGTAAATAAAACACGGAAAGGCATTTGACATGTTGTCTTTTATATGAATATTTTTGAGTTAGTTTAGAATTTGCAACATAATTGTGCAAGGCGTAATAGACGTTCCCTCTCGGGAGCAAGAGTGTTGTGTTTGTGCATGTGCATTTTTTTTTTAAAAAATTGGAGAGGGCGGGTCTTCTCTAAAATTCGGAAAGATCCTCCGCTATACCTTTAACAATTGTGAATTCCACAAAAATATTACAGTAAGCAGTACAATCGTTTTCAACATGGACAATTATAGTAAGATGTTTTTTTCTTGCACAGCAAATCAGCATATTAGAATAATTCTTGTAGGATCATGTGATACTGAAGTCTGGAGTAATGATGCTGAAAATTCAGCTTTGCATCACAGGAATATTACATTTGAAAATATATTAAAACCAAAAACAGTTCCTTTGAAGTGTATAGTTTTAATTGAATAAACCCTATATTATATCTTTTACTGTAATAATATTTCACAATATTTCTGTTTTACTCTATTTTTGTTCAAATAAATGCAGCCTTTTTGAGCATACAATATTTATTTCAAAAACTTGACATTTTAGTAAGCTCAGACAGAAGTTGTGTTTTTTTAATTTTTATATGGCTACATGTTTTCATTGGCTGATCCTGATGGCATACAAATATATGTGGGTAAATGAGAGAGTGGCAAACACTTCATATTTAGAGCTCATAAACACTCAATACATATTTAAAGCCTTTCCCCATCAGTGAATCCAGGATGGATGGTCCATTGGGACGCACCAGTGTGTGGTCAGACAGAATGAGCAGGATGTAGATCAATCCTTATTTAAACAGACCCCGAGAGAACACAAACTGGGGCAGTCCCAAAAAAGATAGTAGTGAGAGGACTAGTTAGGGCTCAGGGAATATAAATGGATGGATTAATATAGCTGTGTAACACATTTCTGGTGAATCACACCAGTGACAGAAGTAATCTGTAAGTCACAATTCATCAGAGGAAATTTGAATTGACAAATCAATGCTGAATCCACACATTTTATTATAAATACATTCTATAAGAATATTAATTTGTTTTCACATATTCACATGTAGGCCTACTATGAAAGCATTGCTCACTGTATTTGCTTATAGTGTGTGTACAGGAAGGTACCAAATGAGCTGGAACTAAAAGGGGGTTTGGTTTGGAACAATGACCCAGATGAGCTGATCAAACATATGACATCAGCAAGGCCCACAGCCAGATCCCCCCAGGCTAGAGGATGCTTTTACTGCCCTACCAATCATCTGCATCAGTGCTGCTGAGAAGGGGGCTTATTGGTTTGGACCCATCAATGCTGAATTCTGCAAACAACGAAGGCAGCAACAATTCACAGCGCAGTTCAAATGGATACTACTATGAAAGAGTAAAGAAAAAAGTAAAGATTTCTCATGAAGGGACAAAACTGTCATTTCAAAATGGAAAAAAAAGCAGTTTAGCACAAACAAATTGAAGGTCCAAAAGAACCAAATGAAGACATAACCCCAAGCTTCAGAACCAAACCCGTCAGTTCAGACCCTGATACCACCCTGGGAAACGAAATGGTGTTGGATCCCAGCATCCACAGCTTTTTACATTGTGTTCCCCTAGCGTAAGATATTACGCAGTACGAGAGAACTACGCGGTTACTGACTCAACCTCAATTGACCTATGGCTAAGCCACGCTCCCTCCACTCACTCGGACAAACACGGCTCGGGCGCTATGGCAGCTGTCACAGACATTTCACAGGAGGCAATTGGTGATTTTTGGAGACAGAAAAATTATATATCATCTTGAAGTCACCTAAAGGGCATTAACTATGCATTAGAGGGTTATATTAATAATTGTATTATTGAGAAGGTCGATGAAAAGCTTCAGCTCCAGGCAGAGATGCAAGTTCCAAGTCATAGTGTAAACATGATAAAATTATCGCATTATCGTTGCCATCAACGTTTGGTGCTACAGTATTTACATGAATCATTCAGCAAAACCTTGTTAACATTTGTTATCTTGGTTATTACAGTAACAGATACGTTAATGGAGCTAATTGACATGATGTACAACACAGCTAGAAGCTAACGTTAATGTTTTCTAATGTTAGGCTAACGTTACGTTAGAGATTTTAAAGATAACGTTCAAATAGGTTGTCGACTTAACGACATCCTTGTTTAATTAATCCGCGTTTAGTTGGTGTTGTGGTCTAGCTACAGCATAACTTTATCCAGAGCAAACACTTATCTCGGTTGAGATGTGGCTTGGGAAAGGGTAAAAAAATACACACCATCGCCCAGCCTCTCAGGAACCTAGTGTCAGTTGCATACCCCATGCACACCGTTTGACCATTTTAAACTTAAAATAACAAGAAAAAAACGAATGAAAACTGACTAACTCCAATGCATTTCAATGGAAGTGGAAGCAGAGAATGTCCGAGTATATTGGGTTAGCTGCGCACTGTGATTGGCATATCGCGTTTGAGGGCGTGGCTTAGCCATAGGTCAATTCTCTCTAGAAAAAAGAGAACGAGTACTTCACAATATCTTACGTTAGGGGGAAAACCTCTTTTCCACAAGATATTGAAGCCAAATATTATCCTTAATTTTGAATTAATTGTTGTTAATGTTGTGGCAGCATGCAAATTGAATTTAAGTGCAAATTGAATTTTATTGTTGACGATAACCCCTTGAGATGAAACATCTCGTTTTCGAGGGGGTCCTCGAGGGGGGTATGCAGACATAGGAAAGATGGCTCACGTGCATATTGGCTGTCCTGCGGCAACAGCAGCAGCCTATCGAGAGAGGCCCTTCGTGACGTCAGATCCAATCGAGGCGCTTCGCGCCCATTACGTCACGTCCTGCCGAAACGGGTATAGCCTGGGTCCTTCTCAAAAAATGTGCATATTGTGATAAAGTTCATTAACTAAAGTTCATCAAAAACTCAAATTTAACCATTTTACAGATGCTAACATTGTCTTCAATGGTGTTCAACACACATACCTCTGTTAAAATCTCAGAAAATTTGGTTTGGGGTTTCATGACCCTTTAAGCTCATCCAGAGTGTTGGGTCTTGTGTCTCTCAACTTTCTCTTAACAATATCCCACATATCCCTCAGAAGAGTTAGCAGGCCAATTGAGCACAGTAATATCATGGTCAGTAAACCATTTACCAGTGGTTTTGGCAGGTGCCAGGTCGTGCTGAAAAATTAAATCTTCATCTCCATAAAGCTTTTCAGCAGTGGAAGCATGAAGTGCTCCAAAATCTCCTGATAGCTAGCTGCATTGTCCCTGCCCTTGATAAAACACATTGGACAAACACCAGCAGCTGACATGGCACCCCAGACCATCACTGACTTTGGGTACTTGACACTGGACTTCGGGCATTTTGGCATTTCCTTCTCCCCAGTCTTCCTCCAGACTCTGGCACCTTGATTTCCAAATGACATGCAACTACTGAGCAACAGTCCAGTGCTGCTTCTCTGTAGCCCAGGTCAGGCACTTCTGCCGCTGTTTCTGGTTCAAAAGTGGCTTGACCTGGGGAATGCGGCACCTGTAGCCCATTTCCTGGACACACCTGTGGCTCTGGATGTTTCTACTCCAGACTCAGTCCACTGCTTCCGCAGGTCCCCCAATGTCTGGAATCGGTCCTTCTCCACAATCTTCCTCAGGGTCCGGTCACCTCTTCTCCTTGTGCAGCGTTTTTTGTCACACTTTTTCCTTCCCACAGACTTCCCCCATGAGGTGCCTTGATACAGCACTCTGGGAACAGCCTATTTGTTCAGAAATGTCTTTCTGTGTCTTACCCTCTTGCTTGAGGGTGTCAATGATGGCCTTCTGGACAGCAGTCAGGTCGGCAGTCTTACCCGTGAATGTGGTTTGGAGTAATGAAACAGGCTGGGAGTTTTTAAAAGCCTCAGGAATCTTTTGCAGGTGTTTAGAGTTAATCAGTTGATTCAGATGATTAGGTTAATAGCTCGTTCAGAGAACCTTTTCATGAAATGCTAATTTTTTGAGATAGGAATTTTGGGTTTTCATGAGCTGTATGCCAAAATCATCAGTATTAAAACAATAAAAGACCTGAAATATTTCAGTTGGTGTGCAATGAATTTAAAATATATGAAAGTTTAATTTTTATCATTACATAATGGAAAAAATGAACTTTTATTACAACATGCTAATTTTTTGAGAAGGACCTGTAAAAACATCTCGATGGGCTTATATAATCTGTTTTTTTCATCGCCGAAGAGAATCAGAGCGTGTTGCAGGCACAGCAAAGATACACTGCACTTGTTCCCTTTTCTAGAGAGAACCGAGTTTACGTTAGTATTTAACTTGTCGTTAAATCAACATAGATTTTATTGTTGATTCCGCAAGTTCAATATAGATTATAGGCCAAAAGTCTAATGAACGAGTACTTATGTCCTTATGTCTTACCATAGATATATACACTAGACCTCACCTGGGGGTTCTAAGCATGCGTCAAAACCGCCGCCATCTTGGAACAGGGGTCTTGTCATAGGAAGTAGCTAGGTAACGCTGCTATCTCTGCCTTTACTTCGAATTCATTGATGGTGGCGGACTTTTGTGCAGCGTATGATGTTCACGGATGAAATCTGAACTAGGAAGAATGTTTAAAAAAAAAAAAAAAAATGTTATTTCTGGAATCAATGATAAATACATGTCTGACCGTTGGAACAAACCAAAAAAACAAGAAAAATCGCATTCATGATGATTTATGGTGATTTTATTTGCGTTAGACCTGTGTCTACTACATTGACGCTGATGCATTAAAGTGGAGGGGCTCCCCTGTTTCAAGATGGCGGCTCTATTGACGCATTCGTTCTAATGAACTGCCGTATCCAAGGTGAGGTCTAGTGTATATGTCTATGATGTCTTACAGGTTAGGCTGTTGTTGGCTGGAACACGCTAGCATTCTGCTATTGTGTGACGTCATCCCAGTTTTGAACGGATTTTTAGAACAGATAAGTGAACTTAAAAATGCAATTTTCAGCTGAGTCTATTATCTTAGCCCTCCCCTTTGAATGCAACTTTCAAATTACTTGACAAAAAATTAAACACATGAGTGTTTAATTTCATTAATTTTTTTAATTATAAAAGTTAATTTCAACTTTTATAATTAAAAAATTTCACATGAGTTTCACCAGAGAATGTCTAATCGAAGAGAATTGGCACTGGCTGGTTACTTCCGGTTTCTGGACTGGCTGCAGTAACACGTCTCTGTCCATGCGGGGGCGCTCGCGGTCGAGTGCAGAATGAATGGGAGTCAATGGGGTTTCACCGCCAGAAATCCACTTTTCTCAGGATGTAATTTTTTGTCAAGTAATTTGAACGTTGCATTTAAAAGGGAGGGCTAAGAAAATGCACTCAGCTGAAAATTGCATTTTTAAGTTCACTTATCTGTTCTAAAAATCCGTTCAAAACTGGGATGACGTCACACAATAGCAGAATGCTAGCGTGTTCCAGCCAACAACAGCCTAACTTGTAAGAAATCAAAAGGACATAAGTACTCGTTCATTCGACTTTTAGCCTATAATCTATATTGAACTTGCGGAATCAACAATAAAATCTGTTAATTTAACGACAAGCAGGTGAAAGAGACACATTTAGCCGTTTAGCCCCATAGACTCCCATTCATTCTGCACTCGCTCGCGATCACCTCCAGTGGAATTCTAATGGAACTGCAACCAAGATGATGCACAACGGGGCTAATAGGAAGTACCAAGGCTCTACGTAAGACGGGCTCTGGTTTCACGCGCTCACAGCGTCACCCATAGACATAATATATACATAGACGCCTTATTGGCCGCTGGAGCGTACGTCAACGGCGCCGCCATATTGAGGAGATCAACTTTCCCATACCTCTCATACCGGGAATTGAGAAAAATGCCTGTTTTGTGCGTTGCTTGGGGCTGTAAAAATCGCCACACAACTGAAAACAGCTTTCGAGGAAGTACCTTTCACAAGCAAGACTGAACGTTTGTTTTTGGTTGTATTTGGTCATGATTTAATTAGTAAGTAACGTTTAGAGATTAAATACTACTGTTATTGTGTCACGCAATGTAGTTTTAATAGTTTTTCAGTCGACAATGTAGTTGTTTAAAGCTCAAATATGTGGTTTGTTAATAAAGATAGAGCCTATTTAAAAATTTGATCTGAAGTTTTCGGAGTTGCTGCGCCCCCGCCTGGAACAGCCGTACCACGGCCAGTGCTTCTGACGGTTGCCGCTGGCTCGGATGTCTCTAGTCAAGAGGTTAAACATGAGATATAATTCGTATAATTTGTGTTTATCTTTGGTCTCATTAATCTATTAATGGTGCCCTGGTAAATAGTTTTGGCTGAAGGCAAAGTAAAGTTTCATAACTTTATATTTAGGCTATTTTAACAGTATGTTTGACTGAAGCCATAAACATATACACTAGACCTCACCTTGGGGTTCTAAGCATGCGTCAAAACCGCCGCCATCTTGGAACAGGGGTCTTGTCATAGGAAGTAGCTAGGTAACGCTGCTATCTCTGCTTTTACTTCGAATTCATTGATGGTGGCGGACTTTTGTGCAGCGTATGATGTTCACGGATGAAATCTGAACTAGGAAGAATGTTTAAAAAAAAAAAAAAAAAAATTATTTCTGTAATCAATGATAAATACATGTCTGACCGTTGGAACAAACCAAAAAAACAAGAAAAATCGCATTCATGATGATTTATGGTGATTTTATTTGCGTTAGACCTGTGTCTACTACATTGACGCTGATGCATTAAAGTGGAGGGGCTCCCCTGTTTCAAGATGGCGGCTCTATTGACGCATTCGTTCCCATGAACTGCCGTAGCCAAGGTGAGGTCTAGTGTATATGTCTATAGACTGAAGCTACTTCTGTTATAATGGCTAGCCTATTACTGATCAATAAAACTGAAATTTAGCACAAAGAGCTAAATATTAAATATATTTTGTGTGTGTGTTTATTCTCTAGAAATGTCTTATTCTATTGCTATTATTATAGAATTATTAATAAACTATTATCAATATTTTTACATGTATTCATTACCATTTTATTTGCTGTATACTATTTGTTTATTTTATTGACTAAACTATTTACTAGTACTTTTCACTTTATAATTTCTATTTGCATTGCACTACAGTTGTACCACAACATATGTATTATCATAAATGATCCATCAGTTATCAATATTATTGCTAAAATCTGGTCAATCACATAAAATGCTTTTTCCACAATGAGCAAACTTAAATATCTCAGTATGGGGATCTTCACCATTCTTATCCAAGAATGTTTTTTTATCCAGAAAAACGCAGCTCGCCCGTTTACTTACATTTAATTACAATGCAGTCTTGACCTCCGCAAAATGGCGGACCCGTTGACGTATCGCAGCAACGTTCCAAAGCGGCCAATAGGGCGACTATGTATATATTATGTCTAGGCGTCACCGATCAACTGGTGCTTGTGCACGCTAGCATCTGCCCCACCTCTCATGTCCTGTCAGCCGCAGGTTAAAAACGCCCTCATATAACTCTTAGATGTATTTATATATGCACGAAGTTGTTCAAATATATTCACACTTTTTTGTTTTGTTGTTGTTGTTTTTTTTTGCTTGCAGGCGCCTGTCACAGAATTTATAACAGAGCGTCCCCGGTCTCCCGTTGCTCGTGCACGCCAGCATCTGCTTCAGCTCAGCTCTCTAGTCCTGCCAGCAGCCGCAGGTAAGAAACGCACTTACATTTGTGTGACTGACGTTGGTTTGGGATACTGTCATTAAACGTAAAGCCTGTTTACACATAGACTGACCAAAGATCTGTGACAGTTTATGTAAGTGAAAACCCGCAGCAGATTTGTTTTGGTTTTACCCTGTAGTTTGGCGTTGCTAACATGACAGTTGAGTTAACGTTGTCATGCCAACAAGTAACTTAAGTTACTAAACTTCCACCGGCTTCTCAATGTACTGATAAAGTAAAGCCGAAATTGTGTTTTAACATTTATAAAAAGGGCTGTAATGCGGCTAATTATGTTAGCATGTTTGAATTAGCAAGATTTCGTGTAACGTTACCAGACAGCAGTGATGATAAGGCTTGATGATTATCTGGGTTTTTTTCAAGACTGTTTTTTTTTTTAACATGTTGACTTTGACCTTGCGCATACGCATTTGACACGCATAGTTCACATAGACTGGATTCAGGTACAGGCTGTGCTGTACAGGCTGTGCTGTACAGGCTGTGCAGTACAGGCTGTGATTCATCACAGACTGTGATGACGCGTTTTTATTGTCAACAACATGTTCAATGTGAAAAGGGTCAAATTACCACGATGAGCAGCAACAAGAAAACAGGCAGTATCTGTTGATATCTGCAGGCAATATCTATCTTTGGACCATTACACATTTGGCTTAATGCAGACAGAGTGAGCCATTTATTAGACCTTCTGCCCAATTCCAGTTGGCCTTTCTTGATCAGTTTCTAGGACATTGACAAAGGGGAGGGGAACTTCAATATTGATTAATACATATATTCAGTGTTGGGCATTTACTAGTACATTACTGTTACTGGCCCTATATGGGAATATATGTATCAGTACATATAATTAGGTGTTCAAGCACGAAGTGCTGAAAACCTATTGTATTTGCTAGAAAGAAAAAAAAATCCCCTAAAACGCATCGTGCAGCCCAAACCGTAAGGCCTGGAGCTCTGAAACTTTGTCAGATGGTAGGGCCTCATCTCCTTTATCAGCTTGAATATTGTATGTTCATTGAGAACAAATTTATATTTTTACTCGCACACAAAAAAACTTTCTGTGCCAATAAATGCTTTTATGGGAAATCTTAAAGGGTTACCTAAGGGGACAGTCCATACACCAAAGGGCCAGGAACACCAAATTGAAATATCTTGAATTTGAAATTTTGGGAAAATGTACCAGATAAAAACATCAAATGCTTTGTATAGAAATCTAATCAACAAGAAAATGGATTATAACACTGTACATATCAGGCAGAGATGGCTATCATAAGATCAAAGCAACATTATATGACCTTGGGGAGAAAGCATTAAAGTGGACCAAAACAGACAAATGATAAATTAGATATTGGTAATAACATTTCCTATAAACCTAAAGAGTTTTATAGAGAACTTTGCACATCCCAAGTGAAGGATGTGTCCCAAAAAGAAGCTCTTTTCTCCTCTGTTGACACACCATTCTAATCTGAAGAAAATAGACTTAGCTTGGATAAACCATTTTCTTTTTCCAAACTGAAATAAGCTATACAATTATTGCGTAATAAATCACATGGGGCGAATGGCTTCCCCACTGAATTTTACAATACATTTAGAGATTAGCTTAATCTCACTTCTCAATACGGACTATAAAATAGTTACCTGGGGTAGCCACTTTCCTTGATGCCAAAAAGCCCAGACTCTCTCATTGGCTGTGGGTCATTGCCGATGTCATTTTCTGTCAGAACACATTTCACACAGCAGGATTTTGAATCTCCGTCAGGTCCAGATATTTAGTATGCCAAATAGCTCACAGGGACAGGGCGTCTTTGATAATTCACACTGCGTGATTGTCAATCATGAAAAGAAGCATCGATTTGCCAATGATTACCTGCATTTGTCTGCGATTTCGCAAAACCTGTTGGTGAGTAAAAATCGTGCAATGTGAACTCGGCATTACCTTGATCTTCAAATTCAAAAGGTTTCCACCCCCGGCTCTGAAACTGTTATTCCAGATTATTTTACACTGTATAAGGCCATCCTTAAAAATATTTTGGTTTTTGCTTATCGTGACGTCACTGATTGGGTCTTCAACCAATGCCTTTGGGCGCACCATTGCAAACCTCATTCTGATACAGGTTATAGACCACAAACAATTTGAAATCTTTGTCAAAAAACATGTTTATTGCATTAATTCCAGCTGCATTCATTTGGGGAAAAAATTGGCAGAATCAATAAAAAAAGAAGCCACTAGTTTTAAATGAAAGTGGATTTTCAGAGGGAAACAAATAAATTAAAATGACTAATCTCACCAGCGCCGCGCCAACCTATAAAACATTTTGTCTTATACTTTTACCCACACATCTACACATCGACGTCCGCTGAGCACTAAACCTACCCTATACCCTAGCGCATCTACAATCGACGTCCGCCGGGTACTAATCCTATAACCCAAGCGCATCTCCAGTCGACGTCCGCCGGGTACTAATAATTCTAAGTTACTTGTTCTTGCTGCGCAGCTTAAATAACAGACAGACTCCAGCAAATGTCCTTCTAATGCTTTTAATTACGGCCAGGAGAGTTCTCGAGCAATACTCAGGGAATCTCCCAAGTAAAAACAAGGCCGGTGGATCTCAGACAAATTCCATTGAGAATCCCACCGAAAACACTCATACAACAGTTTTTATAAATAGGGAGGTATGGCATAATGACATTAATTTCATTGGTTCTTCATAGGTAGACTGTTTTGTTACTGGGTAGAGGTGACTTGATTCTAACTTAGTCATCGGTCTAGTTCCATTTCCCATATTTGTTATTTATACACACAGTCAGGTGACACACATACACTTATCTGAAGTACAGAATGTCTTAGTACATTGTGTCAGAGATTTAGCTGGTCAAATGAGGTCAATGTTAAAACATGGTTAACTTAATATTCAGTTTAAAATTTTCCACCACAAGACGGAACACTCACCTTTGCAATTTGAATGTAATGATGCATTTAAAAGTTAATGGCTAAATGAATGGCTCTTTACAAAAGTTTACAATGTTGCTGTAGATGCAATAAAATCTAGCCAACATTGAATTAATACATTTGTCAGGTTACATACTGATAATTAATCACTCAAACCCCTTTATCTAAACCTCTCTACTCAATTGCTGGTTGCTATGTCTGTATTTTTATTTATTTATTTTTTTTTTTTTAACACTCTTCACTCGTGTTTGTAGTTCTAACCGAATCCTCGTCCAATGCACGATGGGTTGTGGGCAATAACAGCCGATCTGCACTTCGAATTCTGACCGGATAGTAGACCATCCCGAGCCTCTTTGGAACACTTATTTCAACACACTGTGATTTGGGACATCCTAATTATATTTTCTAATACTATTTAGGATGGATAGTATTCGAATTGGGATGCAGATTATATGCCTATTAAGTAGTTCTGGCATATTATGGAATGGTTGATTTTCTTTTAGTGCAATTTTGTACATTTCTGTATGGGATGTGCTGTTTTATTGGTCAGTGCGGTGCTGGTGAGATTAGTTTGCACCGCGCTGACCATTGGGTGGCGCAAGCAAACACTTCCTCCCTGCGCTATCGGGTCTGTCACAATACTTAATATAATATTCTATACTATAATAACACAATACTTACTATAATATTCTATACTATAATTCACAATACTTATTATAATATAATTTATATTATATTATTTTATTACATTTATATTAGTTGTTTGAAGAGTAAAAAAAAAAAAAAAAAAATCAATCTTTATGCAAGTTTACAACCAGCAAGTCGGTCGGACTAAAAGGAAAAAAAAATTATAATAATTGGGTCGGTCGGGTTACGGCCATAGACTAAAAAAATATGGACGTAGTATCCGTGACGTCACCCATAGGTTTCTGAAGAGCGTTTTTGAAGCCTAAAGTGGGCGGGGCCGGCCGTCGCCATCTTGGCAGTGCGTCACCTCTCGTCACTACCGGATAAATTAAAATGGACAAAGAGGCGGGACGTGGGTGGGGCTGAGGTACTAATGCTATGTTACTGCCCTCGCGCTGAATTGACAGCTGATTGAAAAAGTAAAGCCAATGGTTAAAGTTCATGTTTTTGCCCTTCAAAATATTATAATAGTTAAGACGTAACTAAAAGTTACTTTATTTTTTTATCAACTTTATTAAACTCACAAGGGGCAATTAGTTAAGAGCATGTATACAACAGTACATAACACAGATCACACACATTTCTCACAACATACAAGCAGTCAACTATGTGCATCGTGATGTATTATTATTCTGCTAGTTAAAAATGTATTAATTACTTACAATATTGCTCTAAGCTTGTGCATGTGCAATTCACCCTCTTCACAGTCGTCTTGAAGGGCAAAATTAGCGATATAGACCAAAACAACTATTTGCCACCAGAAAAGGATGCAAATATTAGCCTGGCTGCGCCCTCCTACGCACTTCCGCTCAATTTCATTTTACTTCTGTACTACGTCTGGGATCGCTCCATATCCTTAGGTTTCCACAGAGCCATGAATACATGGCTCTGAATACATGGCTCTGGGTTTCCAGAAACCAATTTTTTGTAGGACCAATCAGCGAATAGAGGGAGTGGCTGAGAAAGATGACGTTGATGTAAGCGCGTCAGTTTCAATTCAGAAATGGCAGCGGAGAAAGACGTGAGAAAAGCTATTCGGTCCGTTGTTGGAAAAGAAACTGCCGAATATACAGAATTTAAAGCCGGATTGTTATCGTCTAACCTCTTGTTGCACAACTGAGGACCAAGTGAAGGAGGCAGAAAGTTTGGAAGTTTGTGCTGGGCAGTTCGTGCACGATGACCGTGACATTTTGGACGGACGGTTTAGCCCGGTGTTCGCGGTGTTCGGAAGCCCCGAGTCCTGGCTGCTAAACTATGGTTGAAGATCCGCTCAGGAGGATGTCAGTCGCTCATATTCCCAACTGTAAATTTACTGATTCTTGTGATGAATAGAACATTTTGAGCCCTTGTGCACCCGTGCAGGAGGTTGGTGTGTCAGTTTTACATGTTGTAAATCATACAAATTGGTTGTGATTTAAAAAAAAAATAATTGTCATAAATAAAAATGTGAAAAACCATACTTTGAAGATATTTGATTTTCAGTTTTAGATGGCAATGGTTGATTTGTTTTACAAAAAAAAATAAATGCCACATAAAAATGTACAAACACATACTTTGAAGACCATAATTAAGGTAATTAAGAAACAATAAGACGTAATATGAAAAATTGTTCTTTATTACACATCTGCAGACTGATCATTCACTGTAGCTGCTACAGCATTTGCTGCAGATCAGAAACGACCACAGCGGCGTATTTGTAATGATTAGACACAGCTTCCACCGTTGAATGAATATATCACTGTCCTTCGTGTCAAATATACATTTCGAATTAATAATTGTTCCTAGATTAACAAAACCTGAGGCGCTCGTTGGCTGAAATCCTATTGTAAACATAATCCTCTGATCATTCGGACTTGTTGTCGGACTTGTTGTTTCCAGCCATTTCGGCGCGTGACATACGTCACTCACGACACCCCGTTAGCGATTGGCTATGGCAGATCGTGAGTGACTTTGGGCAGATCCAATAGATTTGAACTTTAATAGTGAACCCGCCTACAAGGAAGGAAACGTTTTTCAATGGAGCGGTTCCAGACTCTATGTGGAAATGAAATGAACTAGAGTCTGGTTGAACCAGGCTATGCAAATATTCCCAAACTAAAGGCGCTTTTCCACTGCATAGTACAGTACAGTTCGGTTCGGTACGTCTCAGTTGTGGTGCTTTTCCACTGCATGGTACGGTACAGTACGGTTCGCTTCAGGTCGCTTTAAATGGTACCTGGTCTGTTGAGGTTCCAAGCGTACCGTACCAGTACTAAAATGTGACGTGAAACACTGCAGATCACTGATTGGTCAGACAGAATCGTCATTCCCTGCGTCACTACTAGCGTCATTGGATTTGCGACACGAGACACTTTTTTAGCAGTATTTTTGTTTTGCTGCCATCAGCCTCATTTTAAACACATTTTTCCGTCTAGCAGTTAAAAACAACCACATACCGAGAATCAGGAACACCATTCCCTCGATAGTCTCCATTGTTCCTGTGTTGTGGGTTTGAAAATGTGGCGCTTTTAAGATGATGTCATGGCAGTAGAGGCGCGCGCAAATAACGATCAGTCCCACACACTTTGAAGGGGTACTACTGCGGTGGAAACGAAAAGCGATCCGAACTGTTCCGCCCCGAATCGAACCGTACTGAGCCGAACCGTACCGTACTATGCAGTGGAAAAGCGCCATAAAGGAGACACCCCTCGCTGCAGCCTGTAGCACGATGACGTAGCTGGATGGTCCAATACGTAGTGGATGGATGTGTGTTTTGGTGACGTAATTTACGCATGCGCAGTGCCGATCTCTGATTATAATTCGAATGCATTGGTTTTAAGTGATATGTAAGCTCAATATTGTACTGAGATGATGTTCAAACTGTGTAGTATAATACTGTTAAATAATTATAAGTAATTATTGATGAATAAGTAAGGAAAATGCTAAAATAATAACAGCATGGGGAAAATAAATCTTGTAATAATAAACTCGCATTTATGTTATACATTCAGAATTGCGAGAAAAAAGGTCCGAATTCTGACTTTATAGCACACAATTGCGACTTTATTTCACACAATTCTGTCTTTATAACAAGCGATTGAGGCTTTATTTCACCTCTCTATAACATGCGATTAAGGCTTTATTTGACCTAATTCTGTCTTTATAACATGCGATTGAGGCTTTATTTCACCTAATTCTGTCTTTATAACATGCGATTGAGGCTTTATTTCTAGCAATTATGTCTTTATGACATGCGATTGAGGCTTTATTTCAAGCAATTCTGACTTTATATCTCACAATTCTGAGAATACTTTTGTAAAGACACGTTTAGCCATTACGTTTTAAATGCATCATTATATTCAAATTGCAAATACGAGGAGAGCATGCAAGACCCACAACTGGCAGATGAACGTGCTCCGAAACGGTAGAAAATAAAATTAGATAGAATGGAGGATTTGAACTGTGACAAGATGATTGACAGGGCAGTTTACGGTGACAGGATGCACGCAGCACAAAAAGAGTACATACTTTTAGGGCGTAGTATAAGTAAGCGAATTGGGACGCAGCAAGGGTTTCTTTACCATAGTCTGAAATGGGTGTCAGATATGAAGATATAAAAATGCGTCATTTTAGAGGAGCAGGGCTGTGAAACGCACTCTTTTAACTGATTCAGACAAATGCAAGTATTCAGGCAATACAGCACATCGTTCATCTAGAAGATTAGATTTTTCCTTAAGCTGCAGTTATCTAGATTTCAGGTGTCTTTGAGCGGATTTCTGTGGCGGCCGTGGCCATGTAAGTAAGTTGGAGCCAGATGTGAAATTTTGTAAAAATTAACTGCTGTTGTTTCCACTGTGCTCTTTCTCTAGCTCATCTGCTGTCATGCTTTCCAGAGCGGTTCCCATGGCTGGGGTCACTGCGCACAAGATCAGTAAATACATCACCTTCTTCGCCAGTGATGTCGATGGGACTCCTGCGGCTAGCTTTTCACCTGGTCACCCTAAACCTATATTGCTGTTACTGCCATGGCTGGGCTCCAGACCGCAAGCCTTTGGCAAGTACTGTGAGATTTACTTTCGCAAAGGCTTTGATGTACTCGTTGTGGAAAGCGAAGTGAGACAATTCCTGTGGCCCCGTTGGGGGTTGGAGTACGGTGGCCATGTCCTGGATTTATTAGAAAGCGAGCGCTTCTCACAGCGCCCCCTAGTGATCCATGCTTTCTCCATAGGAGGATATACGTTTAGTCAGGTTCTTGTTCATGTGGCCAAAGATACCCAGCGTTACCAAGGCCTGACAAACAGGATCAGGGGTCATATCTACGACAGCCTGGTCATGGGATCACTGGACCATATGGCCAAAGGTATGTACAGAGATTGCAATGTAAAGTATGTTCCTATATAATCCTTTCAGTCAGCACTGCTAACACTTTGGGTTTGGATGGTACGATCAGAATCTTGCATCATGTTATGATTTTTTTCATATGATGTATATTTTATATTATTTGTACTGTAAATTCGAGTGGTAATGTTTAACATTCAACATTCAAACTTCTACATTCAAACTGTACAAACAAATCTTTCACTTATTTCATGTACAATAAATGACATAATAGCTACATTAATGCATGGTATCTACTACAATATCACAGATGTATTAAAAATGTAAAACTATCTTCTATTTTAATTAATTTTAAAATGTCATTTATTCGTGTGATGGTAAAGCTGAATTTTCAGCATCATTACTTCAGTCTTCAGTGTCGCACGATCCTTCAGAAAACCTTCAGAAGAGGGGTGTCTGTTTTATCTGTTTTTGTGACTAACGTTTCTTTAGTATAACCATGGAGTATAAAATTCAATATAAATTCTCGGTATTGCATTGGACCGTACGATCGGCGGAAGTTATCGAGCATCCTTAATCCTTCACCGGAAATACCGCCGTGCATAGAGCCCATCATAGGCTACGTGACAGTATCATGTTTTTTTTTGTCAGGTTTGATTTCAAAGTTGATTAAAACTAAAGTAATATACTATTTCATATACAATTTTACATATCCCTAAAGTTATGATGTTGAAATATCATGCTTGTAAAATAAAACCATATATTTATTATGTCAACCAAAGTACTACCTCATCGAAAAAAAATATTTTTTTTTACATAATGTAATTTGCAGTGCATAACACTACTGCTTGTAAAAACCTTAAAACATTTCACTCAATGTGGAGATAAACGGTACTTTTTAAACATGTAAAGTTGGTATGATTTCTTTTAATGTTTTTGAAAGAAGCCTCTTATACTCACCAAGGCTAATTTGTTTTGGGTCAAAAATACAGTAAATCAGAACTATTGTGAACAATTCTTACAATTTAAAATACATTTTGTTTTATGTTATAAAATGTAATTTATTACTGTGATGGTAAAGCTGAATTTTCAGCATCATTAGTTCAAGTTCAAAGTTTTATTGCCATTTCAGTACAGGTACATTGAAATTCCTGCGTGTTTCTCAGAGTCAGGTTTTAAATGGAATATAAAATAACAAAAACTGTATATACATCTCACATCACATTTAAACTGCAAAAAATGTAAAAAAAAAAAAGATCTTTCTTAAATAAATACATATTATAGTAAATAATAATAATACAGCGCATACAAAAATAGAAACTCTAAATAGAATAAAAAAATACTTGCACTGATCATTACAATATTTAAAAACATGGAGTAGGGCACTTTTTGCCCTCCTTAATGCCCTCCTAACAGTGGCTGGAAAGAAGCTATTAAGGGGGGGGGGGTTGATTGCGATTTCACTTTTTTCATTTTAAATAGTGTGTAATGTTGCTGGTGTGTAATGTTGCATCCTATGACGACAACAACTTTAGACGCATTTGTTGTTGAATTGGCTGACATTGACTGAAAAGACCATTTGCTCAAAAATCATAAAATACACTTACTGTTACTGGAGGTGACGGTGGATCGCAAACAGTAGATGACGATCCACAGTTGAGGATTAACTTTTAAGCCACAACAACAGGATTAACCCACGACAGAACGTTTACGTTTCCAAGAGACATTACCGGTGTTCTGACATTCCATCCTACCCGTCAGATTGTCCTACCAAGGCTTACTGCGCATGCGCACATCAATAATACGTCATTTTTTGTCACGCTGAACAACACGCCCATAATATTTTACTACTTGCGCGAGATCTTCTTCATCTGAGGTAAGTTTTTCACTATTTTTGTCAATTATTACTATACAAAGATATATAGCAGTAATGAGAACTGTTTACTCTCACATTCATACAAAGCAAATTCATATTAGCATTTTTTTCATGAAAACATTAACGTAAAATCATTCTACTCGTTTATTTCATACTGGTAGGACAATCTGATGAGGCATTTTGCACTGTAAAATCATACTACTCGTTTATTTCATACTGGTAGCACAATCTGATGAGGTAGGCTATTTTGCAACGTAAAATCATCCTATCGTTTATTTCATAGGACAATCTAAAGAGGTAACGTTACTTTGCACTGTAAAATCACCGTAACATGGCCTAATAAGAAAATTCGGCAAAGTTACACAGAAATATTTTATGTAACTTAGTCACAGACGCGAAGCAGAAACGCTCAGTAGGATTTTACGACGAGGTAGGATGAACCGATAGATATGGCTATAATTTTGCGCTACGGTAGGAAAATCTGACAAGGTAGGACAGATCGACAGAACACCGGCTGTCGTTGAAACAATGGAAGATGATGTGTACAGATCACCGAGGGCGGGGCCTATGCCACAACCACACTGTCAATCAAACCCCTTGCTCAATTCTACGTCACAAAGAGCTGAATCTTAGAACAGCTCGTTCTGACAGTGCATATGATTTATTGAGATACATAATAGGTGCCCTTTAATGACTCCTTATAACGTACTTCAAACGTCTCTTATAATAAACTGATTTTCTCTAATTTGTAACCAGGCACTAAAGCGTTTACCCATAAAACTAGCTTTGAACCAATCGGATCGCTTGGGTCCTAAGTTGGGACTCATCTCTTCACCACACCGGGTTCGAGTCTTTCGTTCTTCCTGTCAGTCCCATAGAGTCTAGGTTGTCAGCACCAGAAAGAGAAATGATTAGTTCATCTCTTGAGTTCGGGTTCGGCCGGGTCCGAGTCTTTCGTTCTTCCTATCAGTCCCATTTAAGTCCATGCTGTCAGTACTGGAAAGGGGAATGATTAGTTCATTTCATAGAGTCTTCGGGTTTGAGTCCTTCGTTCTTTTCTCATGTGACTGGTCTCTCGCATCAAAGACAACATTGGATTTGTATTATTGACTGCGTCTGAATGTATATTGTGATATATAGGCATACAAAATATGTTCAATAAACATTATACACAAAAGTTCCATTATTCCTTATTATTGTCCCTGTCCGTCTCTTTTTTATAGGCTATTATGCATCTGTGGTGTGTTTTATTATATATTATACATTAATTAACTACTATTATATTATACATAATCTACGTGCTTGTTTGTGAATTAGTTTGTAAAAAGTTTGTGAATTAGGCTATTGCATTCGGTAACAGGACTCCACAGGATACATCCACAAGCTCCCAGTCTCTCTCTCAAACTGTTGTCAGCACGGCCCGCTTATACTACATGCGGTTTCCTCACACCAATCACTGAAATCACAGACAGGTGTTTGCCATTTGAACTTGGCCCACTTATTCACCGCTCAGCTCCGTCCCCGCTTTCCCACTACAGACTTCGCTGAACCACGCCCCCCTCGCCACAGGCGTTAAGTATCCGTTCAACGTGTACTACAGTTTAGCCAATCACAACACACCGGCCTAAACTAACCAATCTGAGCCCACTGCCTATTTCTGAGGGAGTGGTTTCATAGAATCAGGAAGTCAACCAGTCGTTCAAAGGACAGAGGAGAACGCGGCTGACAACAAAGGTGAAATTTATGAAAAATAAGACTTTTTAAAAAAGAAAAGACACAAGTACATGCTATATTGCACACCATAAACACAACTATGCAAAGAAAAAAAGCAGTAAACCACCCCTTTAAACAAATGGGCCTTGTGGGTACTAATGCTCACAGGCCTACGGTGTCTCGGTTTATAGCCTGTGTCCACCCATTTAAACAAGGCATAAGCTGGGTGATGTTTGTCCTTAAGGATGCTCTGTGCTCTCCTTCTACAGCGCTGGGTATATATAGTGTCCTTGGAGGGGAGGTTAGAGCCCGAGAACCCTTTGCAGTGATTTCCTCTCAGTCAGGGTGGTGTAACCATGGCACACTGTGATACCACTGGTGAAGATACTTTTAACAAGGCCTCTGTAGACATGGGTTAGGGGTTGACGTTGCGGTCCGGCCTTCTTTAGTACTCTGATGAAATGCAGCCTCTGCTGATCTGTTTTCACTGGCTCTCTTCACTCTCCAGTCTTCAGTGTCACATGATCCTTGTTGTTTGTTTTCCAGGTCTGGGTAAAACCTTATTTCCCCGGTTTGAGCATCTCGTGAGATCGACTGGCCTTCTGTACTTCCGTCTCTTTAAACACCAGACGGTTGACTACTTCAACTCGGCGATCAGTATTTTCTGGAACACTCCTTTGATGGCACCTTCTCTCTTCTTTTACGCTGAGAACGATGTATTGTGTGATTACAAGAGCTTGGAGAAGATGATGGAGGATTGGAGGAATCGGGGCCTATCTGTCGAGAACATGAAGTGGAAAGAGTCTATTCATGCAGGGCATCTGCGCACACATCCTCAGGAATACCTGGCCACCCTAGATAACTTTGTGATGTCTCTCAACATGGTGCCTCTAAAGGCCAAAATGTGAACTCTGAACTGGCATCATCTGCTTCCATTAAACATCAGAAATTGCCTGAAGTGCCTGGTTTGACCGTTATATAGACATTCTCTTTAGTTTAAGGTCGCAAAATTTACTTGTTTCTCTAACCTCTTCAGTCTGTTGAAATATTTATGCGACTACATGTAATAAAGACCATACCACTGGCATGTTGAGTGTGTAATACTACATACAATCTATTGATAAGTGACCGATTTGGTTTGTTGTAATACAATTTTATTCACAGTAAAACGTGGCTATGACCCACTTCACCCTATGGTTCTATGTGTCACTGGTGGTGCTTGGGGAGAGAGATACCCTGATGAATAGTTGTAGGTGTAAGTGCTAGGTCTACATAAATGCCATATTAATACATTCATTCATACACAACACTTATTATTCATACTCCTACACAAGACATGTGCCCGTTTTTTCAAACACATTTCGAACCAACATGCTGATCACCCGGGCTGATCCCCGGTGATCAGTTTTGCACAGATTTTGCTCATCTCAAACAAGTCAAATCTTTGATCTCACAGGTGTCTGATCCACTGCGAGAAGAGAGATCTGTCCATCTGGCCTGTGATTTCTTCACTCCTCCCCTCACTGGAGCCGCCTATTCTCGACTACATTTCAGGCGAGGCAAGGCGGATCTCAGGCCTTGTCCACATGGACACGGGTATTTTTATCCACAAGTTTCCTACGCCCCATGAGGCTTTGCATCAAAAGTGGGCGCGTCTTCCGGTTTGAAGTAAAAGTGCGACAGAAGTGCTAAAAAAAAAAAAAAAAAAAAAAAAAAAAAAAAAAAAAAATCGCCAAAAACGGGCTTCAATAGAGTGCCGAAGTTACCGACGTCACTCTGTAGGCCAAAACGCGGAAGTGAGTTAGCATTATAGCACTACGGTTCCCTCGCTCTAAAGCCTATGGGATTTTTGAAAGGGTTTTTGCTAAATCGCCTGAAATAAGGTCTGTGGTGAATAAAACCTTTTAATAAAATATTTTCACATTTTGATCTATGACATAGAACACACAGTTATAACCTGCTTGTGGTTTTATAAACTTTATTGTGTCTGATTTTGTTTTTTAAAATCTTTATATAGGCTTCAAAATGTATTAATTTTGGATTAACTTGTAAAGATCATCTTGATTAACAAAGAGTTGTGACCTTATTTTTTGCGATTTTCCAAAAGTCTATGGGAAAATGCATTGGTTTTCGACCAAGGGAACCCCTGCGCCGCTAGCTTCCGAGTTGTCCTACAAAGTGACGTCATCACTTCGGCACTCTATAGTCACAATGGAGTTCCAATGAGATCGCTCTGTCCATTTCTTTTACTGTCTATGGGGCAAACCTGACGTCAAATGCGGCGGATAATGGCACACACTCCACGCGAAAAAATTAGTTAAGATCACCCTGTAAATCAACAAGATCATCAAAAAAAAAACACTTCATTATCAAACAATATCAAGTTGTACTTCTAAACAGTTGCAACAGTCAGGCTCACTTAGCCACCTAAACTCATTGCAAATACATAGTGTAAAAAAACAAAAAAAACACTATAACATTACATTAAATAATGCTTAGTCATTCATACCCTTGATAAAGTTTGAATTGTGTAAATCCAGAACAACTCACGTCTCTGTAGGAGTAATTCTATGTCGCCCCCTCTAGGTGGCAAAGTCACTTTCTCAATCCCACAAAACTGTAAAGAAGTAACATCGTGATTCAAAGTTACAAAATGTGTCGCAACTGGATAATTCATATCTTCTTCTGATCGAACTCTTATGCTCACTAATTCGTTTTCCCCACATAGCCAATACCACACAGAAAACAAATGAAATAACCACATGAGTGAGAATGAAGAGTCACGTGCCGATTTGGGCGGGGTCTGAGCCGGTTGGCCATGATGGTAGGAGACGCTATCGGTTACCAGGGGCAACGCCTTTAGAACCCCACAGAGACTCTACCAAACATTCCAGAGCTCTTTAATTTTCGCGCATTTATTATTTTCGCGCATTTATTATTTTGGCAGGACAGAGACGGATCTAACGAGAAAAAGGAAGAAAGTAATGCAAAAAGATAAGGCGAAAGAAAAGGGACCATACAGGAACAAACTCACACAAAGCGCAAAACAGCTGTATTTGGAGAAGCAGCGTCAAGATATTTGTTATTTTGCACTAAAAAACAGTATTATTATTATTATGCTGTCCATGAAACTTATATTGTCCAAATATACATATATTTCAGTTCTCAATAAATACTGTTAAGCCATACCCAGATAGCAAACTGACATTGAATCAACGTGGAAATATGACATCGAAACAACGTTGATCTGACATTGTTTTGCTCATCGAATTAACGTTGAACCAACGTCAGACGCGTCATTCTTTCAAAACTAACGGAAAATCAACTTGAAATCAACGCGTTGTTTCAACGTTATGAAAGCAAACCAATTTTCGATTTTCATTTAGCTTTGAAGAATGCCGCGTCTGAGTTGGTTCAACGTTAATTCGATGAGCAAAATCAACGTTGTTTCAATGTCATGAGAGACGTCGTTTCCACGTTGATTCAATGTCAGTTTGCTGTCTGGGTATGAATTTGTTTCAAACATTTATTTCAAAGAAATAAAAAAGTAATGAACTAGGCACTCAAACAACACTTTTGCGTATGTTCGCACAGCAAACAGTGAAAATTGTATAATAAAGGCATCAGCCAACCAAGCAATCCGGCGCGTCTCCTCGTCTGTCAGGCCAGAGACTCCCTGATATTGTGTCCATTTCGGCAACCTAAAAAACTGTATTCCATTCCTATGTTTTCCATATATCTCGTGTGAGTTACTGGAGGAGTTTTTTAACGCAGCAGTTACTTCCAGGCATGGTAAAACAGTGCGTATTGCGAGAAACTCCTCTACTACCGAGCTAAAAACACACGTAAACGATACTATTTTGCCGTGGGAATCCTACCAACATGGCGGAGAGGGGAGGCTATAACGATAGTTGCCCTTGTGTATACTAAGTAGGGGTGACTAACTTAGGTGAATGTGTTGTAGCCTAATACAGGAAAAAAAAAAAAAAAAAAAAAAAAAAAAAAAAAAAAAGAGTACTTTTTTGATTTTCTTGTCTTTTTTTTTTTTAACAGTTCAGAGCGTGTCTTTATTTACTGTATTGTGGGCTGCATTGAATGCTTCCTCAACCCAATCTAAAGGGTAACCTCTGTTCAAAAAATTATTTTTCATGATTTTAGATTTCTCAAAAAAGTCGGAGTCAAAATGACAAATCCTCCTCAATCTGTAGAACTGACTCTTAGGCAGTCCTTTTTTTTATTTTTTTTTTAGAAAAAAAGGATGAAAGCGAGTAACAGTGTTACGATCAGTCTCTTTAGTAAACAGAGTAGTCAAACAACCTTCGTTCTTCTGTACCCACATATCAAGGAAGTGTACTTTAACAGAATTAATTTCAGAGGTAAATTCCAAATCATCAACCAAGTTGTTCAAAAATGTAACAAATTCTCGAGCATCCTCGTGATCACCCCCCAAAAATACAAAATATATCGCCAATGTATCTGTACCATTTGATGATCTATAGAAAGGGTTATTCTCTGTATTAAATACGTAACTTTCTTAAAAAAATCAACATGCATATATTGGCATAGTTAGGGGCAAAGTTCGAGCCCATTGCTGTCCCACACTTAGCCTATCTGAAGAAGAAAAAAAATCAACAAAACTAAAATAATTATATTTCAAAAGATAGGAACCCATCTGGATAATAAAGTCTGAGAGTGGGCTAGAGTCCATAATGTCTGAGGGCAATAAGTCCTTTTTCGTGCGAAATGTTAAACTTGTTATGTCCAAAGTTAACAATAGGCTACAGAAATGTCCGGTAAATCATTGAAACTCATAGATCTTATTGATGCAATTGGTAGAATCTCGAATGTAAGATGGTAACGAATGAACAAAAGGTTTTATATATATATAAAAAAAAAATCCACGTAGCCTACTGCGATAAAGGGGATAAGAGGGAATTAGTCTGTGCCACAATCGGACGACCTGGAGGGTCAATAAGCCTCTTATGAATTTTAGGAAGAGTGTAAAAAACTGGTCTAATCGGATATTGACAATATACAAGAATTTAAACTCCGATTGAGATATCCAACCCTCCGTTTTAGCATTTGTTAAAAATGACAATATCTCTGATTGGTATGGGATCCCCAGGGAGCTTTTTTATAAAACTTAATATTCTGCAATTGTGCACGAATTTCGTGTTGATATTTTTCCGAATCTTGTACTACAATCAGCTGGTTTTATAATGATGCTTGGGTCACTTATCAATTCGGTCAAAGTTTTTTATCTCATTCAATGAAAGATTATGAGAGATTTTATTACTAGAAGAACAAGTTTCAATCACCTCTTGTTAGACCAAACGACAAAAAGTATGAATGGTGTGATTAGACACATTAGGGCAGAAATTACTTTTAGGTCTGAAGGGTGTCCTAGATGCACCATGACTCTGATTTGGAGAAAAAGTACGTAGTTTCATTTGTCTAAAACATTTGAACAGATCCACTTTTAGACCAAAGCAATTAACACCACTAGTAGTCCTTTAGAATCCCATTGAGAAATATTGATTAGCCTACCGTCTCTTTGAGTAGCTGCGGGTCCACGGTCTCTTGAACCTCTTCGACATTTCTTCTGGTCTCCGTGGAGGGGCTCGCCTGTCCAAAAAAGAAGAAGTCGGAGCATGTGCACTTGAATCACTGTCGATGGTAAACTCACTTTCAGTAGAATCACTCTGTCCATTAAAAAAAGTTGCTCCATTTGCGAAAAGATGATCCACGGACTGGTGCGTTGGCCTCTCGGGTCACGCTGTTTCTCATGTCAGGTAGCTGGTCTCTTAATTGTCCCATGGATAAATTCCGAAGGTAATCCTCTGTATCTCGTTTGTATTTTTTCAGCTTGATCTTTCAAGTAATCTCTGTATTTCTCAGTGGACGACTTGAGTCGTTTGTATTTCTTCAGCTTAATATCTTTCAAGTAATCTCTATTTCTCAGTGGACGACTTGATAGAGGAAAGAAAAAACTCGGAAGTCAATGTGGGAAATAGATTTAATCTTTTCTTCAAGTAGGACGATTTTTTCTTTCGTGGGTCTCACGTATGACAACATCAGCAGATACTTGTTCCACAATCAGATTAAGGATCAAATCCATAGAACACTTACTATTAAGAATCTCGCTCCATCTCTTTAAAAACAGTTTGTTCTGTTTGCACAATGTAGGAGGTTTAGGAATTCTCAGACCGTGTGGGATTCTATTGTTCCTCCAATATTCGCTCAGTGTTCAACCATGCATTTCGTTATGAACAGGTGTTACGGATCAAGTGGGGATCGTTAACAGTTAACTGGGGACGCGCGCGTGCACGCAGACAGTTTTACCTTGATTTCCAGCAGATGTTAACAGCGACAGATTCGTGCCCTATTTTTCACCGATAAAAACGAATATTTCACCAGTTGTATACACGGTATGCAAATAAAGCGCTTTGTTTTTGCAGGGTATATTATATCTCTTTGTATTTGACGCATTTTTAAAGAAGTTTAACATACTTTAGTGTCAAGCTCAGAAACCACGCCCATGTTAACAAGGGTCATTCGCTTTCACTGGATAAACAGACTTGTCAGCGCACTTGTGTTGTCATGAGTTCTAATCACAAATAACAAGATGTAGATTAAGTTAAAGTAGGCTACCTAAAAGAAACATAAATTGCAAAGTCATTTAAATTTTTTCAACAAGTTGCATTTTTCGATATGCATATAGCCTAGCCTAATTTTATAATGGATCAATTATTTTTTATATTATCAGCTTATTTTACTCTGAGGATATTTAGATCTCTTTTTTGAACAACCAGCTGTGACGCGTCCATATTATCCATATCATGGAAATTACTTATTCTTTCATCTAGCTCAAACAGTAGAGTGTTGCACTTGTAACTCCAAAGTCCTGGATTCAATTCCCAGGCAAAGCAAGAACTTATGAGACTTTAAAATGTGTACCTTGAAATTCAATAAGTCACTTGAATGTTGTGTAGCCTAACTAATGTCTTGCATTGGGCAGTTAGAGAACACTTTGTCTTTAGTGATTAAAGTCCTGTGAAAAACAGAGTGTATTACTGAAATAAGCAGAACATATGATATTGTGATGACTTATTACAAATATATAGCCCTGATATTCTCTAGCCTATGTCTAATTTTCACCTACATCACTAACCTCTTAATCGTTTGTCACCTCACGTGAATAGCACGACCCTCTCTAAAACAATAGGAAATGCTTTAATTGTTTACTTATTTGCTGACATCTTTAACAAAAGAAATATTACAGAATGGTCTATGAGTTTTATAAATAAAATATAATGTGTTTGGGCAACTTTTTATGTAATATAAATTATGCCAGTGCTCTTCGTTTGACTGGTACCATGAAATTCATTATTTAGCTCATGTTCTAACAATTTCTTGCTGATAATTTACTCACTCAGGAAGGTTTTCCTCAAAAATCTTAATTTCTTTTCGACTGAAGAAAGACATGGACATGTTGGATGACATGGGGGTGAGTACATTATCAGCAAAAACATTTTTTGAAAGTGAACTAATCCTTGAACATATTCTCTTTAGGTACTTGTTATTTATCGCATCATGTGCATTCATTGTTGTCATCTGCTATTTTTTAGGAACAGATTAAAAAAGGTCTATAGCTAAATAAAGTGTCATTATTGTTACTGGTGTCATTGTTGTTATAGGCCATAGACTACCACAACAAATTGATGTAATTAAAGTTACACAAATCAAAAACTTTGTAGGATAATCATTATTTGGCAGCTGCTCAATAAAGGAACACACAGAGAGGAGATGTGAAAATTTCTCAGTGAAGGTGATTGTGTGTTAAATTGCTCTTACCATAGAAAGGTAATACAACTGACATTTATTTTCTAATATAACATGATTACATTAGATGGAGAGCAGTAGGTATTAAGGCCAAACTGGCCAATGGGTAAGAAAAATGTATACACATTGCAAAACAAGTAACTGTTCTTCATTAGCATAACTATTCTAACTTATTCAGTTTGTTCATCCTTCCTTAGATTGAATGTTCAGAAGGTGAGACTGTGTGGTCAGACCTTCACAGATGGCAAAAACAGCTGTTCTGCATGCATGCACAATTGCCTATTTTTTTTTCTTTCTTTTGTTGCTTTCATAGGTCTGTTATAATGAATATGTTTGTTGAACATTCCCCTATATAAATGCTGTGGGTAAATCACTGGATCCATAAGCTATGGCTTATCAATTTTCACCACTCTTTATGAACATTTATGGAGTGTACTGTATGCTTTATGTTTTAACTCATTCCTCAGCAACATTAAAATTCATAAATAATAAATAAATAAATGCTTGACATGTCCCTTTAACCACAGCAGTTTTGCTGCTCAATATAAATTAAGCCACAAATTGGCATCATAACAATAATCTGCGAATACACACGCACTGCAAATACACAAAGTCAACAGTATAATTTATTTAATATATTTATTTACAGTTGTCATCAAAAAAATGTGGGCGTGGTCTGTGTGTCGCGAAATTAAAGCACATTAAAACTTCCCTTAAAGGCGTCTGAAACGTACAGCAGAGCAGCGCAGAGTAAACAACAGAGCCAAAATATGATGCAAACATTTAACAATAAAATGGAAAGCTTTGAAAATCTGCTCAGTGAAAAAATAGCTGTGACGAATCTGTCACCGTTTAACATCTGCTGGAAACCAGGTAAAACTGTCTGCGTGCACGCGCGCGTCCCCAGTTAACATGATCCCCAGTTGATCAATGGACAGGACCTCTTGGAGAGTTCTCCTGAGTCGTACTTGGCAAGTCTGAACTACCAAGGACGCAAGTCCAAACTTGTATAGCCTGGACAAAGTTTGGACACTCCTAAATTAGAGAATGTATCTGGGCCACTAGCCCCGCCCATTTCATTCATCTATAGCCTATACAGCCTTTTTCAATTTATGAATTAAAATGTTAGTTTTGCAAGTTACCCATCACATTTTTTCCCCGTAATTTCCCTTAACAAAATAACCTCATGACCATTTTCTCTAACAATGTTTTCCTATGTCCTGTTAAAAGATAAAATATATTTAAAATAACTCCCTTTGTGCTGCTTTGGCCAGAGGCGTGAGTGAGTGTTATGCATCTGGAGAAATGTGAAAGGCCTTTCAGGCCTGATCATGAGTGCAGGAGGTTGGGTGGTTCAGAGATGATCCGCTCCTCATGACCAGAATCCCTCTCAGTCCCACCAGCAACATGGATGACTTCAGCACACGCACCAATGGCGCAGGCAACACACTGTTTGGAGAGACTTTAACACAGGTGATAGAAGCAGCTTTACTTGTTTAAAGTTCTGGTTGGCATGTTTAATTTTTATATTCAAGAAAAAGTTGTTCCTTAGTTTGAAGTGTTTTTTTTTAGCAGTGGTGAAAAGATTAAAAGATTTTTTAATTGCTTTCTTGCTTAAGTCAGACAATCACAAGCAGCTGTTACATTATGCTTCAGAATTAAAGGGATAAATGAGCCTATGCACAATATGAACTTGGATAGGCCTATATGGAAAGATGTAAAAAACATAAACTAGTTAAATTGACTGCTTGTATTTGTTCACGTCAACTTTTGTTTTCTTTAAGAACACAGTTCTTAACCTGGCTATAGGTGGACTCGCTTCTCTGTTAGTCCTAGTGAGTATTGATGACTACACAGTACACACACACACACACACACACACACACACACACGCACGCGCACACACACGCGCGCGCGCCATTGTGCAGTTTTTATAGAAACTGTATTGGATCTCCTAACCACATTCCTGCCCCATCACAGAAAACTTTCAGTATTTTTATAAGCTGTTCTCCTTGTGGGGACTAAAAATTTCCTGCACATTTTGTATCCACAACGTAGGGTTTAACTAACACACACAGACACACACACACGCACACCGAAATTTCAGTAGTGTTTTGACAATCTAAATCTTACATAATTAACTAAAGGACCCTTTTATTTATTTTAAAATGTTTTTTTTATGGTGTTGGCCCTATGTATCTTCAATGATTACTGATCACGTGCATCCAACTGCAAATTGCTAGTTGTACTCTATTTTTTTCTCTTTTTCAGGTAACTATCATCAGTTCATTTGTCTTCCCTACTCCTCCTCCAACAGCATTAAATATCTTCTTTGTTGTCTGCATCATCATGATCTGTACCTCTGTATTGGTGCTGGTAAGTTTATACTGTGTGTGTGTGTGTAGCCTATAATATATTCATGTGTATTTAATTTTTTGTATTTAATTGTTTGTTGCAGATTTTCTGGTATCGTCAAGGTGATCTGGATGTAAAGTTCCGTGGTCTGATTTATTATTCCATTGGTCTCATTATCCTCCTCTGTCTGTGTGCCAACCTGTACTTCCATGATGTTGGAAGATGAGCACTCATACTGAGCACCTTCTTAATTCTCTCAAGCAAGTAGTTTATCTGTCAGAAGGGATAGTTTTGATTGTGTACATAGGTGATCAGATGCTTATTCAAACATATATCAGTTTATTTAAACAGTGCACCTTGTGTTTTTTATGCTGCATATTTGTGTTCATTATTTTCTGTTTCTGTAAAGAGTCATGCTAAATGCTAAAGTATTTCAGTAGTTCCTTGTATAAAATATTGTGATTTTTGTTCTGTGAACAATGCTGGTACTAAAGGATGTAGCCCTGACAATGAATAAAATATACATTTACCATATGTTTTGTGGGTTGGAGACCATGATGCCTTGAGTCTGGTTTTGCTCTTCAAGAAGACCAACTGATGAATGATAATGCTAAACCACTTTGAACCATCAAACCAAAGTTTGCATGCAATAAAACAATTTTAATCTACATTTTTGGACTTTTTCCAACTTTGGGATTTAAAATAATTATTTCATCGTTTAAGAAAAAGTATAGGCCTATTTTTGGTGCTGTGACAAGTTAGTAATTATAGGTTAACAATTGAATCACCTTATCTGTTAAAATAAATACTTGGGTGTTAGAAATATTCCTCATGGGCTATTCTCAATTAATAGGCTATAAGATCATGGAAATGATATGCATAATTAATAGCCTACAAGAACTTTGATAAAATAAAACGCTTTTAAATGCAGCATATCCCACATTACAGAACACCATTCATTATTCCTTTTAAACGACTGCCATCTAGCGGTGTGCAGATAACAATTGCAAACTCTTTTAATTATTATTAGTGAATGTAAAAGTAACTTTTTTGAATATTTATCTTGTTATCCGAGTTTCAGATGTTTTTATTATTGCATTTATACGATACGGTGTGTGAATTAAACCATGAATTTGATGGTCACCCTCAAAGTACATAGCTACAACAGGTGAGTATAAATGTAGCCTACTATGTGTAGTAGGCTACTCGTTTTGGATCTAATTAACACATTTGTGACGTAATTTCTAAGACTTCAAACCGGCTCCTTCAGATGACGTTCTATGTCGCTATCTGATATGATGGGACGGTCCCGTCATTCCGTTCAGCAAGCGATGGAGCGCACGAGGAAAAACATCGCTCACCACCGAAGGCGTTTTAAACTGAATTGTACAGCATGGATATGTTGTGTTTTCATCCTGAACGCGTCCACGGGGTCTTCCGCTCAAACGCGTCAGTGTACAGAGGTGAGACCATTCCTACTCATGTTTTTTGCTCAACTTACCTGCGTGCGTACATTGCGTTTTGTCCATTTTTGTCCAGTGCATGTATCTGTTTTTTTGTTTTTGTTTTTTTTAAAGCATTCGTGGTTGTTTGGCATGTATTTATTTGTACTTTTGCGGTCTCGTTACTGGCAGCCTATGTGCAGCAAGATGTATTAGCCTATCACACCTTATTATAACATTAACATGTGCACAGATTGAATTGAAAAAGGGAAAATTTGGTTGAGAAACATTTAAATTCTCAGTGGTAACTTGGTAGTTTAATTCGATTTCATCTTTATCATGGAAAAGTCACACTGATAGGCAGAGCCGTCTAACCCTTAAATAATGTCTTTAGAAGTTCTTGGAATGGTTCCTGTCATAAGAGAAAGGACTTTTGAAGTTCTTTTAGATTAGATATTTGAGGCATTTTTAGATCTCACAGAAAAGTGTTTTTATTTTTTGATATAGTGGAGCTTTAAGTTGAATCTTCACTGTCGGTTTCTCGTTAGTCCATAAACATGTATCCAAATCCATATCCATGGACCATGTGTATGTTGGTGTTCTATCGACAACATTTGTGTTAATTGGTATATTCTGGTAATTCTGCAGATGATATAACCAAAATGAGGGCTGCTTTGTTGTCTAAATGTTTTTCTTTTTCTTTTTATGATTATTGTTTTTGGAATAACACTTGGTGGAATTTCTTAATTTGGTTTTAAACTTTTAAAAAAATACAAAATGTGCCTGCTTAACATTGATGTTTATTTGTAATTCTTGGCTTTTTTGGTACTCTCCTCATGTTGTAGCTGTGGTGATTTTTCACCCTTTCATGATCATGTGTAATTTTGGCCTGTTAATTGTTAGATTTGAATGTTGTTTGTTTTCGCAGTGGTGAACAAACTGCATTGCCATACATGTTTGCAGTCAGATTAGAGTAATTTAAGCTCAACAATTTAAGATATCAGTTTATTCTCATGTCTTTTGTGTGTTTGATAGCCTACTAATGTATGTTTACTTGAACTTTTCAGCTTAAATATTGATTTAGAAGCTGAAATGCTCTTTGTCTTGGTATATTGATTGGTGTCAGATTGCTTATTTGGGGATACGCATCCCATTTAAAATATCTCTCATCTCTGAAATGATGTTAGAAGAATCTAGCCAGAGTACGGTATGTGTTTTATCTCTTATGATAAAGCGTTATGCTGATTGATGAACAATGTTCCAGTGGAGAGCTAGCTTAAGCTAAGATGATCAGCCCTGCGTGCCCATCTCAAAAGCCTGGTGATATGATGCTAAGAATAGCTTCCCTCAAACTGCCTTCACAGAGAGCTGAGCAACTCTTCAAGCCTTTGTTCATGGAAAAATGACTTAAGATTTTTATGTGCCCCATAAACCAAAAGATTGACTGCAGTTCTTGTCTATGAATACGAAACAATATCGCAGAATTGGGCATTTTTGGCTTAAATGCGTAAATGAGAAGGGAATTGTAAACAGTTCCAGCAGAGACACATTTAACATGTGTATATCTTTAATCAAGGTTGATTTAAGACAAGTTATTTAATACTTGCAAGCATAATTTAATTTACTTAATATTTAATGTACTTAATTGCTTATAGGGAAATTACATGCATTTGGAAGTGGGGTTTGACATGCACATTTGATTTCTCATTAGACCAGATCTGATTAACCATTAATTGGATAAGGACTAAAATATTACTCTTTTGTTTTGTGATAATAAACTATATTAAACAGAAATGATCCATTTTACTAAATAATTTTTATTATTTACATTTTATTATATATATATATTACAAACACACATACAGGCTGATTTTATGCAAATGGCTTGTACTAGGATTTTGTATGGTATTGTGTGTATATATAATATCAGAGACTAGATCTGTTTTCAGTTGTGTTTGAATGTTGACCCGCAGGGCATTCTGGGTTTTATTATCAGCTTCCTCCTGATGGCAGCCTTTCCTTCCCAATCACTCACTGGGTGCTGGAGGACCTGTAGGAATGTGGTGGTAACGAGATGATTCATTGGTTTGGCTCTTTTTTTTAAGTCTATGGTTTGGCTGAGGCCTAAATCAGTATATTAATGTACATTTTCTGTTATAATTGTCACCTCAGCTGGCGAAGATGCAGGGTTAACACTTTTTGGGTTCATTATTAACCTGTGAATAGGCCTAGCTTATGTTATATTATTGTTTCTCTGAGATTCAGCAAAGTATTTAAAAGATTAAAAAAGTAACTTTACCTTTTTTTGTTTTCCTTCAACTCATTATTCTGCTTTTAAGTAGATTCTTGCTGTAAGATGCTGGTTATTGGCTTTTTTTTCATACCAGTGACTCTTTTGAATATGAGGAGATCAGATTGACTGACTTTTTTTCTGCTGGTTGTTATGCCAATAGATACAACTGTTTGCGAGTGTCTTTTCACTAAATCAATTAATTCTTTCCTTTATACACATTTAAGGAATGAGTTGTTTAAAATAATTCCAAAAATGTTGTTCAGTTTGTCCAGGAGTCAGAAGTTGCAGTTCGTTCACGAATTATATCTGTTCACAAACATGTAATCCCAGTTCTTTCACCAAAGATAGATGTCAGTTTGTTCACAGACATGCCGGTTTGCTCAATTTGTTCAGAAATGAGAATTCACAGTTTGTCCAGTTTATTCAACAACAAGATATTGTCCCAGTTTGTTCATGAACGTGACATGTTGCAGTTTAAGATTTTTTTTTTCTCTTATGTTGTTTAGTCTAGTTCAGACAGTCTTTCCAACCAGTGAAATGCTCCGTCACAGTCTGTGTGCAAGTCATTGCATACTATAGATGTGATGAGAATTTGATCTAAAGTATTAATTCATAAATTAGACGCCAGTAATTTGTGGAAAGGCAAGGGTGCAGCCACAGCAGACTCAGGACAGATGACTCATGCATTTGTTAGAGTCCTGTTACAACCGGTTTTAAAGGGATATTCCACTTTTTTTTTTGGAAATAAGCTCATTTTACCACTCCCCTAGAGTTTTACCGTTTTTAAATCCATTCAGCTGATTTTCTGATATTTAGAAGAATATTACTAACCAGGCAGTTTCTGGTCTCATTGACTTGCATATACTATGAAGTCAATGAGAACAGAAACTGTCTGGTTACTTCTATTCTTCTAAATATCAGAAAATCGGCTGAATGGATTAGAAAATGGTAAAACCCAACTGTTTAACTCTGGGGGAGTGGTAAAATGAGCTTTTTTTCCAAAAAAAAGTGGAATATCCCTTTAATATCCTCTGCATTAAATCCACACAGTACTCAAGCGTCCATGTGCTTTACTCTTTTACAGTCTGACTTCACACACCCACAAACACAAGCTTTTTCAAGATCCTTGTTAAATTTAGACATGTTGTTTGTTTTCACAGGCGGACTACTACTTTCAGTACACGGAGTGTAACAGCACGGGGTCCAGATGGAGGGTGGCCATCCCTCTGATTCCAGGAGAATGTACCGGACTGCCAGACCCTGTGAAGGGCACCGACTGCTGTAAGTTCACATAGTGTTTTAGTCAGAGAGGAAGTTTATTTTATGGGAGGGTTTTGACTGAGATTGGTCTTTGGGAAATGGACATTTATTTGGCTGTTCATACTTGTATGTGTACACTAATGTGATTCAGTGCATTTTGAATGTTGAGTGTGGGCGTTTAAAGCGTTTTTGTCACCCCTTATCAGCCCAGAAGAATTTCCTCTTAGATAAAATGTTCATTGGCCCTGAATAATGATTCCTCAAACTTAACAAAGTCCCCGGCCAATGTATTCCGTTTTAGTCGTGTAGTTTGGAAGAACACAGCAAAAGGCATTCTGAAATCAAAATGTACTCTTTTTACTTTATTAATAAATTTAACCAATAACAGTCTAACCGTCACAATTTTCAATGAGATCCCTGTGTAAAAACATGTCTCACCCACCACTTTATTTTTTTTTTGCTGAATATTCTTTCTCAATTGGAAATGCATCTGATTTATATGGAAATTAAAAGCTTGGGTTTAATGTGGTTTAAAGCTACACTGTGTGATTTTTACCCCCATCTAGCAGTGAAAAGATATATGACCATCCAGTCAATATTAGTTTCTGTTTCTCTCAATTGCGATTTCGTTTTAACTCCTACGGTGGCCAGTGTAGTTCAAGATTAACATGGCTTCCAGTTCGACCTCGTCCATGAGTGTTAACTCAAACGTAAACGCGAAAGGCGAAGCTTGAATTAACGGGTCTGTCCCTCTTTGGCTAATGTACTTTCAAGATGGAGGGGCAACATGGCGACTGACATTAGAACCCCTTACCTGTATGTATTTTCAATGGCATATTATACACTCACGAGAATACTTTACTACTTGAACAAAGTAAATATACATTAATGAGCACATATATTTTTGAAAGAACTAAGTGTTTTTAGCTAAGAATAAACTAAAAGAGTTACGCAGTGTAGCTTTAACTATGGAAGAGGATTAGGGCCATGCAATAAAAAAATTAATAAATTAAAGTCGTTAAATTTTGAGAAAAATGTCGAAATACAATCTTGAGAATAAAGTCGTTGTGTTTCGAGAAAAAACTTGTTAAATTTCGAGAAAAAAAGTCGAAATACAATCTTGAGAATAAACTCATTCTGTTTCGAAAATAAAGTCGTTGTGTTTCATCAAATGTCTATATTATATCATTTTACAGCCTAACTGATTTTAGATCTAAATGAATTGCCATGGTACAGTTGCCCTCCCCAATACTTGGATTTGGTGATCGCTGTGGTCAATTAATGTTTTCAACGACATCTCATTAAACTGTATTGTACATTTGTTTCCATTCTTGTCTGTCAGCATTCTCGTGCAAGGCAGGGGAGTTTCTAGAGATGTCTGCTCAGGAGTGCATAAAGTGTGCGGCTGGCACTTACTCCCTGGGCAGTGGCCTACGTTTCGATGAGTGGAACAACATCCCTCCTGGATTCAGCAGCCTAGCAACCTCCCCTAATGACTCGCCCAACCGACAGCATGCTTCTACCTGCAAGAGGTCAGTTACTTTGGGGTCTTCAAAACAATCAAATTAATTAATGACTCCAATATATATATATATATATATATATATATATATATATATATATATATATATATATATATATTATATATATATATATATATATATATATATATATATATAATATATATATATATATTTTTTTTTTTCCCGTTGTAAATTTCTTATTGAAGAGGAAATTCAGAGTGGAACAGATTGGAATGCCTTTTCTTTCTTTACTGTTTCTAAATTAATATTTTTTATTTATTTTTTTATTTAGATTTTCTCCACATAAACAAATGTATCACGCAATTCCAGATACCATCAACATATCAAATGTATTTATTTATAGTCCTTAGTTAGTATAATAATTCCATCTCTCTCGTAAATAAAAAGGACCATGGAGCAAACAGAGACCGAACAAGGTTAATTCAAAGTTATTAAAAAGGAGATATACCATTTTTGCTTTAAATATTTAGTGTGTTTAAAAGGTATTGAGAAGAATGCATCATCTTCATTGGTGGAACACTAAAGAGAGTAATACTAAAGTCCTAATGCACATACATAATGTAAGATGTGTATATCATTATACTAATAGCTAGTCAGATGTCTAAAAATGACTGTTCCCAATCAAAGTTCTTTATTTATTTAAAGGGATAGTTCACTTTGAAATTAATTTTTGGTATGCTTCAGCTTACCTCAAGGGCATCCAAGATGTAGGTGTCTTTGTTTCCGCAGTATTTTCAATTTTGATATTTTTAGGTCAAACCGGTGTTGTCTGTCAGTCATATAATGCAGGTCTATGGTCACCACCTTAAAGAGCATGCACAGAGAAGTCCAAATTAAACATGATTTAATGACTCGTAAATGTAAGTACACATTGATGGCCCAAGATACGAAACGAGCGGTTTGTATGAGAAAACGAATAGTATTTAGATCGTTTTTACATCTTGTAACCACAGCCACCTCGAAGTGATCTGAGGGCGCGGGTGCTTTGGTCTGCACAAGTGCCGGAAAGCACAGGAAGTGATCTCTTTGGAAGTGAAGAAGAGTTTGCGCGAGCATACTTAATTGTTTTCATTTATCCTGGATAAGCGCACATTAGTATCATTTTGATTAGCCGTCCTACCTACAATCTTTTTCTGTGTTAACAATGAGTGAAGTACACGCGCGAGGAGATCACTTCCGGGGGTTTCCGGTGCTTGTGCAGACCAAAGCGCCCGTGCCCTCAGATCACTTGGAGGTGGCTGTGGTTACAAGAGGTAAAAACAATATAAATTCTGTTTTCTCACACAAACCGCTCGTTTCGTGTCTTGGGCCATCAATGTGTATCTACATTTACGAGTCATTAAATCATGTTTAATTTGGACTTCTCTGTGCATGCTCTTTGAGGTGGTGACCATAGACTTGCATTGTATGACTGACAGACAACAACGGTTTGACCTAAAAATATCAAAATTGAAACTGCTGCGGAAACAAAGACACCTCCATTTGAATGCCCTTGGTAAGCTGAAATTAATTTCAAAGTGAACTATCCCTTTTCAGCACACATTCAGGTTAAAGCATACACTAAGACTTATCATTGCAGGCATGAACACACTTCCAGAGAGATTAAACAAGTATTAACCAACCTTTTTTTTTTGTCCATGCATCTGAAGACTATAGTCACAATAGTGTGTGTGTTACTTGTGTATTTGAATGCTTTTAGTGCAAAGTGGGTTGCTCAGGGCTCGTATCTGGAGTCCAACAGAGATGATTGTACTGTGTCTCTGATCTACACTGTTCGCTTAAAGAAGCCGGGGTCAGTGTCCTTTGACTACCAGTATGTGGATAACAGCATCATCTTTGAATTCTTTGTAAGTTTGGATTCTATTTCTACTGTGGAGACATGTTTGTTTGAAAGATATTTTAAGACATCAAAATCAGCTATTCTGTATTGTTCAAATAAAACTGTATTGTTCAAATATTTTTGGACAGATTCAGAACGACCAGTGTCAAGAGATGGATCAGGATTCAAATAAAAAATGGATCAAATTGACAACTCATGGACAGTGGGGAACACATAGTGTGAGTCAGAAACTCACCCAAACTTTTTTTTGACCAAATGAATTTAAGTACACCTGCCAATTAGGTTAATAAGTTAGGGCAATAATAAAGTTGTTAAAAAAAAAAAAAATACATACATGTGTACATATACATTTTAAGTTCACGGTTCTCTGATGTTGGTTGATGGTCACACGACATGCAAGTAAACAGTTTTTTTTTCTTTTCCTTTCAAAAAGTAGTCAGATTATATTACCTTAAATGTGTAACGTAACGGATAACGTTACTAACTACAATTTTGTGATGTAATTCGGATTAAAATTTGTAAGTAGTTTACCCAGCAAAAAAAAAAAAAAAAAACTATATATATATCTGTATACATGCATTATACACAGATGAATTTTCAGCATCATTACTCTAGTCTTCATTGTCGCATGATCCTCCGGAAAGCATTCTAAAATGCTGATTTGGTGCTCAAGACATATTTATATTATCATCGATATGCATATTTTGTCAAAACTGTATTGAATCATTTCATAATTATTTGATGAATAAAAGAACAGCACGTATTTGAAATGGAAATCTTTTGTAACAATATAAAAGTCTTTTATCAATTTAATATATCCTTGCTGGATAAAAGTATTAATTTCTAAATAAAAAGTTTACGTTATTGTAATTTTTAGTTTGCAATCTTGTTTAACATTGCTCAAGAACACACAATGCCCAACTAAGTCATCTATACTGTATTCGAGTAATATCTATATGATATTTTCCTCATATGACCAGGTTAACCTGAAATCTGGCTCTAATATCCTGTACTGGAGAACTACTGGAGTCACACTCGGCTCTAAAGCAGTCAAACCAATACTCCTGAAGAACATACGGATAGAAGGTGAGGGTGCGCTACCTACGAGTGCAAGTTTTTCCATTTCAATTTGAAAAATACTCCTTATTGAAAGATTGTATGATGTCATTTTTCTCTCTCAGGTGTTGCGTACACCTCAGAGTGTTTTCCATGTAAGCCTGGGACTTTTAGTCACACCCCAGGCTCCTCCTCCTGTGCGCCCTGTCCACGGGACACATACTCTGGCCGAGGGGCCAGCTCCTGCACACCTTGCAACACGAAAACGCACTATGCCTGTAAGTGCATACAGTCATTTAAATACCATATAGGCTACCTAATTTAATTAATTCTGTTTTTTTTAAATATTTGTGATTAAAAATATCTGTTAATTAAAAATGTTTATTGAATTGAAATCAAATTGTTTATCGAATCAATTAAACTCTAAATTTCCAAAAATCACTTTTTAATTAAACCTAAATGATTTGTAAATCGGATGCGTTAGCTATCAATCCAAAGATTCACATAGCTATTGTGAACTAAGTAATAACCCCGGAATGAGGAAAAACTCTGAAACATAATCAGTCCAGTATAACATCTTCTTCCTCTACACTTATTGCACCCTTAAACATGCTCTCTCTCACACATCAATTAACTATTTTTTTTTAATTAACTCTGAATGGTTTTGCTTGTGTTAAGGCCCCTTCACACTAATAAGAATAACTACCATAGTAGTATCCATCCACACCAGTGGAAAATATTATGTTTATTCTAAATGTGCATTGCAGCTTTATTGTCTGCCACTTTAAATACTCGAGCTGAAAAAAAAAAAAAAAAAAAAAAAAACTTTCTGAAAGTTATGCCAACGATATTGTTTCTCTGTGCCGTTGTCATTATAGTTGTGGTTTGGACTATTCTTTTATATTTAAAATGATTTATTTATTGTTATCTTTATAGTTGTTCTTGGTGTAATGTGAGATATGATTCTTCTGTAATTTTAACAGTAGAAGGTTCTGCCATGTGCAAAAGTAAACCTCCATGCTCAAAGAAAGACTACATCCAGACCTACAGCACCTGTGATAAGGATGGAAAGGTATACACACACACACACACACACACACACACACACACACAGGTGCACCGGGGTAAAAGGCACATATGACTTTATTCTAAAATTCTGCTCAGCACTTTTCTGAACTGTTTTTGATGATGGTTGTGGAAATTTGGCTGATCCTTGCCGTGATCATGGACAGCAATGTAAAGTTGGTTGTGCGCTAATATTTAACGTTTAAAAAAAAGAAAATGTATTCGATTTTATGTAGCAAATTAGAATCGATAAAATTGAAAATATTAAGATGTTAGTCTCAAAATACAGTCAGTTTTTGTTCAAGGTGATTAAAGAAACAGTTTTTCAATTACGGAAGATTATGTATATAGTATTTTTGGTAAAAGGAACCTCTGCTAAAGGCAGGGTTTTTTTTTTTTTTTTTTTTTTTTAAAGAAAATGTATTAGATTTTATGTAGCAAATGAGAATCGATAAAATTGAAAATATTAAGACATTCGTCTCAAAATACAGTCAGTTTATGTTTTTGTTTTGTTTTTTTACAAAAAGAAAATGTATTAGATTTTATGTAGCAAATGAGAATCGATCAAATTGAAAATATTAAGACATTAGTCTCAAAATACAGTCAGTTTTTGTTCAAGGTGATTAAAGCAACAGTTTTTCAATAACGGAAGATTATGTATATGGTATTTTGGGTAAAAGGAACCCCTGCTAAAGGCACAATAATTAGCATGATAATAAATAGCTCTTTATCATCTGAATCTAACCTGTCTAACTTATGTCAGCAAATGGAAAATATCATATCAAGTTGGATGTCCACCTTAGAGACAATCACCATTTGATTAAACCATCATTAAAAATATAATATTAATAATTTCATATAAAAAATATCATTTTTATTGTTGCTACTGTAAAGCTTTATTAAATTATTGGATCTTATTCAATGCTTTCAGAATCTTACTTAAAAAAAAATCGTAAACATTGCAGTATTTATTATACAAAAATGAATTCCTTTTTTTATCAAAATAAATTGAAAACCGTTCAACCTTTGCTAAAGTGATTGTTTTTGAACAAGTATTAACTAAGACATTTTTTAAAAAACGCATTATTTTAGCTAAAGCATGTGTAAATTTACTGTGTGTGTGTGTGTTAAAAGGCCCACTTTGCCACCTCACACATTTATGATTTTTCACACAAAATCTGTTTCTCATTCAATGTTCAAAAAACTTTTTTTTTCTAAACTATGAGAGTAGTGAAAAGCATATTTTCCATAAGGTGTGCATTTAGCCTCGTTGTACCCCAGCCCAACACACACACAAAACAACTATCATTGTAATAAATTGAAAATGTTCATATTTTGAGTAAGTGAATACATAAATACTGTCTCTCTCATAGACTAAGGTCCTGTATAAGTGGCTAGAGCCTCGGATTTGTTTGGAGGCTGCTGCAGGTGCAGTAAAACTGCCACCTTCTGGTCAGCGTAAGCCATGTCCACCCTGTAATCCCGGTTTCTATAACAACCACACCGCCACCTGTTCTCCCTGCCCACCCGGGACTTACTCTGATGGAGTCAAAGGTGATAAATCATCCAAACATCTTATATGAAACATGATCATTTCAAAAGCATGCACATCATTTTAATTACATAGCCCAAGATATTAAACATGTATTGTGTGGCATCTGTAGCATGCCAGTCTTGTCCAGCTGGCACGGAGCCTGTCCTCGGGTATGAGTACAAGTGGTGGAACGTGCTGCCTGCCAACATGAAGTCATCCTGCTTCAACGTGGCCAACAACAATTGTGATGGCTTGAATGGTGAGAGATTACACAAGTGATGTATTTTATAGCCTATGGTTGTAATGCTTATTTTTGCTGCTAGATGTCGCTGTTGCGTCACTGATAAATCCAAATTGATTCTGTTCATTCTAGATGTTGTTCACATTTGTGCATAATACCTTCATATCTTTTGTGTCTTTTAGGTTGGGAAGTAGCGGGTGATCACTTACAATCAGGATCAGCTCGTTCAGATAATGATTATCTCATATTAACTCTCGTAGTGCCTGGATTCAAGTGAGTCTTCAAGTAGGCTACTTGTCCTCCTACACACAGCTACACTATTCAAGTGCCGCCCGCAGCATGTTGCGTTCATTATTGCTCATTAAAAACTTATATGGTTAGCATGGTGTACCTCTGCTGTGTGAGTTGATATTACAAGAAGTGTTTCATTACATAACCTCTGCATTCTGTGTAATCAGTCTATTGTTCCTATCAGGTTGCCCATGTCTGTTCAAGGAACATCTGGCAGTGAGTATGGACGGATCACTTTCGAATTTGAAACTAGCTGTACAGCTGACTGTGAGTTTTACTTTATGACGGTAAGTGTGTTGGTTTTCTCTCTTTTTTTTTTTTTTTTTTTGATAAGACCATTAATGTGCATTTAAAACAATGTTTTGACATCTACACACTTTCATGGTGTTTTGTAATACTTGGTAAGAGATGAAGTCATATGATGCTGTACAACGTGAATCAAACAACTTTATTTATTATTTTTTTAATTACATTTAAATGTATTACTGCATATTACATTCACTATTTATTTATTTAGCAGACGTTTTTTTTTCCAAAGGTGACTTGAAAAAGAGAATTGCAACAAGTGATCTTAAAGAGGCAATAATCACAAGAAGTGTTAATACAAGGTTTAAAAAAAATCCTGAATAGTACAAGTTAGAACAAGGAAAGCTTGACTACATATATGATCCACTTTCAATAAAGATTAATGATGAAAGGGTGAAATGCTCCTTTAAGATTGAGCCACTGTAGTCACTCGGACTATTTCAACAAAGTCTTTCATAACTTTTGGGCCGGCCAATTTCGATACCTTAAGGTTTTATTTTTTATTTTTTATTATTTTTTTTATTATTATTATTATTATTATTTTTTTTTTTATTAAATCTGAGATCAAGCTATCTTAATCTTTAATCTTAGTTAATCTTGACCTCAACATTTATCAATACATTTTAAGATCAAGTTGCATCTGTTTTCATTTTGCACTGTGAACTAACATGACTTATTTTAAATTTTTTTAACAAAGGTTATAAATACTGTAAGAATATATTCATTTTTAGTTAATGTATTTATGTAGGTTTCATTTGTCAGCATTAGTTAAGTGTTGTCAAAATACTTTGCGTACCTTTTTCCTTTTTGAAGTGTAAAATTTAGTTTGCTGTCATTCCAGGATGTGAAGAAAAGAAGCACAAATGTAGTTGAATCATGGGATGGAAGTAAAACCAAACAGAGTTACACATACGTCATAACTGAAAACGCCTCCGTTGTGTTTACCTGGGCTTTCCAACGCACCAGTCAGGCTAGTGATGTCAGTACAATACACAAATGCATATATTGTGTTTATAGAATGACTGTAGTCATAATGGTCGTTGTCACTGTCCATCAGGTGCGTCGTTATGCAAATGACATAGTGAAGATTTACTCTGTGTCTGTCACCAATGCCATGGACGGGGTGGCGTCAGCGTGCCGTGCGTGTGCCCTGAAGTCTAAGCAGGCTGGCTCCTCCTGTGTGTCCTGTCCAGCTGGACACTACATTGATAAAAAGACCAACCTGTGCCAAAAATGCCCTCCCAACACCGTCCTGTCTGGGCAGAACGTCTACGGCAAAGAAGCGTGTCAGCTATGTGGGCCGGGCAGCAAAATCAACAAGGTATTTAACTTTTTTTTTAATTATATAAAAAAGTCATCCCTTAGAAGTGTTATGTTGTTAATAATAATAATAACTACTAAGTGTCTGACGGTTCTCTTAAACGTTTACGTTTGTAGGAGCAGAGTTTGTGTTTCAGCGACTGTTTGTTCAAATACACTCACCAGAATCAGACTCTTCAGTACGACTTCAGTGCTTTGACATCTGCTGTGTCCATCATGAATGGGCCCAGCTTCACTGCGAAAGGCTCAAAATACTACCAACTCTTCAATATCAGCCTGTGTGGTGCTAAGGTACAATACACACACACTGAAATGAGCAGAAATGACATCACAGAATATTATTTATTCCATCATCTGTCTTTTGTCAGGGTCACAGGGCTGCAGTCTGCAGAGATAATATCACAGATCTACCCAATGAGGATGCTAAAGGTGGTCAGCTGGGCAGTTCAGTGGAGGGTTTTCTCTGTCAGTCAACGATTATTCCTTCAGATGGGCGGGGCTTACGGACGGCCCTTTCCTCTCAGTCCATTAGCCTGGCTGACACTTTTCAGGGTGAGAGAAATTTCAAACCATTTTTTTTGGATATTGTAGCAGATGTGCATGTCCATATTTCATTCATTTGAAATACTTGCTAATAGGGATGCCCAAATTAATGTATTTTATGAAATCAATTAATGTTTAACAGACTTTCCGTTATCAGTAAATAATGGAGAAAAGTATCCTTAATGTTTTATTTTATTATAAATTAATTCCCGGTGGGAGTTTTAACTAAAGTCATTTGCAGTTTAATCACCAAAGCTCAATAATATAAATTATGAGCAAAACACATTGTCACTGCTGCTGCTAACGTTTAATGAGAAGACAACCAAGGGACTGTGGCAATTAGAAAACATCTTGATGCGTTATTTATTTATTATAGTCTTTACTATCTGAGTGTACCTGTGATTATATTATCAAAGGATATACAAAATAATTTGGATCAAAAACTGAATCAAATACAGAGTTTTTCACACACATTTGTACATAAGTAATCATGTCACACCCCAATACTCCTGTCAGGAAACAATGATGTAATATTTTATGTTTATATTGTATGTAATTAAATGGGAAAGTCTTAAATTATTATTATTATTATGAAAAATATTTTGTTATAATATAATTATAGAATGTCTCAGGTGGAATTTGAAGAAGGCAGTTGCAACATGCAAACCCTAGAATATTACTGAATTGGAGGTCGTTACTCATGAGGAATGGGCTAAGATTCCTCAGAAACGCTGCCAGAAGCTGGTGTCTTGTTATACATCTCATTTGTCATTTTATAGTAGGTCATAACAGCAAAATGGTGTTATACTAAGTACTAAAGATGCTTGCCATGAAGGGGTTGAATAATTTTGAGTCTGCAGAACTCATTAAAAGTTGCATTTTCAGTTGAATTTGGGAAAACCACTTGAAACAATTGTTGTTGAGCTATTTTTTAATTACTTTGATTTGTTCATTGCAAACAGCTGAAACTGCATTTTCCATTTCCAATAAACCTGATTTGCAATACAACTTTTACTGCTTATAACAACTGTATGTTTTCAACCTTTCAGGGAAGGGTTATCAAAATCTAGATGGAATGGAGTATTTATATAAAAGCATTGGATAGTGTTGTATGATTCAAAAGTGAACCAATTTTATCATTAAAATATCAAAGTAAACACTTGGACATTTCACGTTTCATAACATATAATATTAGATGAGCAGTAGCAAATAAAAATGTGCTTTAGAATAATTCTACATAGTGTTTGTTAGAGTGTTTTAATTCACACTCTTAGTTCTAAAACTCAGCATATCTAAAACAAGCCTTTTGTTTAGTGATAAATATGATTAATTACTCAAATTTAAGGGTGGTCCTACTTACTAAGCACTTCCTGCTGTGCTGTCACCCACATGTGTCCTCTTGTGTGTGTGTGTGTGTGCCACAGGAGCCACAGTGGAGAAATCACTTAACGGAATAACTGCCAGACCAGAACTATTTCCATCTCCACCCAAGAGAATTCCAGATGTTCACTTCTTCTATCGGTACTTGCAATTACGTCATCAAACGTCATCAAGTGCCTCTTAAAGTTCCACTCACAGACGGTTGTCTAGGGTCTTAGTTTTAGGGGTTTGTAATAAGGTATGTTGTTTGTTCTTTTCCCTCTATTTGATGTGTTTATTGGTGTCTTTTATTTGTAAAGATCTCCACAGGTCACAACCTCATGTAAGAAAGGCAGAAATGCTGTGGTTTCATTGCGCTGTAACCTGGAGAAAACTGCGAGGGGAGACATATCCGTGCCCAGGTGTGCGCACCTGCTTGCATACGAAGAGTTCAGATGCAAAAGCCTCTAAATGCCATTTGAAATTTTCTTCTTTAATGATGATTTTTTATCAAACTTGTAAAATTAAGTTCAGTGATTTCACTTAAATGGCAATGATAATTACCTATTAATTGTTATTTAAGTGAAATTACTGAACTTAAATATACAAGTTTGATAAAAATCATCATTAAAGAAGAAAATTTCAAATGGCATTTGGAGGCTTTTGCATCTGAACTCTTCATACATTCTTACAAAGAAAATTCTTACATGAAGCCCCTTTAATATGAGATCATAAAAGCTGCATGCTTAACAATTATATTTCTTTAATAATAATTATAATTTTATTTAATACAAAGGTGCTAAACACACACATGCGCACATTCTTATAGTTAAGATATATAATCTTAACTATAAGAATACAAATTATGAAGACCCCCTAACTTGAGAATTATTTTATTCTATTCCTATTTTTAAGTCTTTGCATTTAAAATAATGCATTAAATACAAGGTGAAATGTTAATTTAAAGTAAACTTCCTTAGAGGTCTTTTTATTATTTGCTTTGGCTTTTAGATTCTGTTATAACTGTTGCTTTTAATTGACCTTTCGAACCAAATTCATTTTTCTACAGTGAGATAGAGCATACTAAGCTTTGTTTAGTTGAACTTTTTCTGTCCTGTGTCAGTAAGTGTCCTGCTGGCACCTGTGACGGGTGCTCATTCTACTTCCTGTGGGAGAGCTCCAGTGCTTGTCCACGCTGCACTAATGTCGACTATCATACCATTGAAGGAGCCTGTAAGGGAGGGGTGCAGGTACTCTCTTTTACTAGTTCTTATATATATATATATATATATGTATGTGTGTGTGTGTGTTATATATGTTATATAAATGTGTTATAATAAATGTGTGTGTGTGCAGGCACCAAATGTCATAAAAAATTGGCTTAAGCAGGGAACTGCAATGTAATACTTGGTTTAAATCAAATAGTAAGAATAATAGTCTGATCCTCACTGGTGTAAGTAATAAAAGCTATTAAAATCAATAATCTGTTGTGACTACTGCATTTATTTTCAGAAATGTATCTAGGGTAAGTTGGTTTTCTTATTGTAATGTTTTTTAATGTGAATTATTCCTCACCTTAAGCCACCTGAACAAAAATTATAAACAAAATCATAGTGTTTGTGTGTGTGTGTGACAGGTGCAGTTTGAGAGATGAAGACTAGCTTGAATATGATGCTTTGAATATGACGCAAATGACTTGCTCTGTTTGTTACAAATATCCAAGGAAAAAACTAAGTACACTGCTATTCAAAAGTTTGGGGTCCGTAAGATTTTTTGTTTATGAAAGAAATGAATAATTTTATTCAGCAATTATTAAAATGTTACAAAAGATTTCTATTTCAAATAAATGCTGTTTTCTCAATTCAATTCAAATTTATTTGTACAGTATAGCACTTTTCACAATACATATTGTTTCAAAGCAGCTTTACAGAAAGTGCATTAGAAATGTACATGGGAAAATACATTTAGTTAATCATATATTCATTTAGGGCATACCATATCGCCAGCGTCAAGTCGTCTCTTCACAGGCGTTTAATAGTCTCATCGCAGGTGTTGGGTCATCTGAAGTCTCCGTGAGAGGCTGGGTACAAACTGGAGCTGACGAACGCCATTTTCCTCAGGACTAGTGTCCTGAGATAACAGCAGAAAAGCAAATGGGAAGTAATTAGCATAGCTGCGGTTCAAAATTAATTAAAATTAATGCATTCGATCTGATTCAACAAAGGAATAAAAGGTAAGCATAATGTGAATGCTTGGCTAAAGAGATGCATCTTTAACCTAGTTTTAAACTGTGACAGCGAGTCTGAGCCTCAAACCATATCAGCAAGGCTATTCCAGAGTTTTGGAACTAAATGCAAGAACGCCCTCCCTCCTTTAGTGGACTTGGATATCCTAGGAACGACCAGAAGCCTCAAATTTAGTGATCTTAAAGAACACGATGGATTGTTGGGCGATAGAAGGTCCATTAAATACACAGGAGCTAAACCAGTTAGAGCTTTATAGGTCGGTAGTAGTACTTTGTAATTGATACGAAACTTAATAGGTAACCAGTGTAGAGATGATAAAATCGGTGTTATATGATCATATTTTCTTGACCTAGTGAGAACTCTAGCAGCTGCATTTTACACTAACTGTAGCTTGTTTATTGAGGATGCAGGACAACCGGCTAATATAGCATTACAGTAATCTAGTCTCGAGGTCATGAATGCATGAATTAACTTTTCTGCATCAGAGACAGATAGAGTTATTTAGCTTAGCAATGTTTCTAAGGTGGAAAAAGGCTGTTCTTGTAACATGAAATATGATGTTCGAAAGACAAGTTGCGTTCTAGTATAACACCGAGGTCTTTTACTGTAGTGGATGAAGAAACAGGACATCCTTCTAAATTAAAGTTGTATTGTAAGAGGTTTTGTGTAGTTTTTTGGACCAATAAGTATTACCTCCGTTTTATCTGAATTTAATAGCAGGAAATTACTCGTCATCGAGCATTTTATACCTGAGACACTGTCAATTTAGATGAGTTAGTGTTTTCATCTGGTTGTGATGAAATATATAATTGAGTTTCATCAGCATAACAGTGGAAATTAATTCCATGTTTTCTTATAATATTAACAAGTGGCAGCATATATATTGAGAATAGCAGAGGGCCTAACACCGATCCTTGCGGCACTCCATAGTCTACTGACGTTATCTTCTTTTCTTTTTTTCTTCATTTAAACGGACAAAATGAAAACGGTCCGATAAGTACGATCTAAACTTGTCCCTGAACACCAGTACAGTATAGTTTTGTAGTCGATCCAAGAGTATTTTATGAACTATTGTGTTGAACGTGGCGCTAAGATCGAGTAGAACTAGTATTCTATTCATTTCAAGAAACCTATAAAGTATTCAACATGATAAGAAATGTTTCTTGAGCAGAAAATCAGCATATTAGAATGATTTCTAAAGGATCATGTGACACTAAAGACTGGAGTGATGATGCTGAAAATTCAGCTTCACCATCACGGGAATAAATTACATTTGAAAAATATTTTAAAATGCAAAACAGTTATTATAAGCATAAGCTACTTAAAAAAAAAAAAAAGTGTTATTGACCCCAAACTTTTGAACTTTTTTTGCTTTCAGAAAAATATTTCTTACTGTACCAAACCTAAGTATACTCTCTGCTGACATCTGTGATTTAAATTACAATTTTGTATAAATAGTGATGTGATTTTTATTCTAAGGACACGGTGTATATGTGGACTGAACCTCGGCTCTGTGCTGGTGGACTGACTCTCCCGCTGAAGAGAACGTCTCCATGTGAGGTGGTTGATATCTGGCTGAAGGTGGTCTCTGGGCTTGGAGTGTTATTTGCTGCTCTGCTTGTTTCTTTGACCTGTTACTTTTGGAAGAAAAACAAAAAGTATGATTTCCGTGACTATTGAAGTTTTTGGTAACACAACATTTCTCTTTAGTTATGCTAATAATGCTTATGCTGCTTTGTCTTTGTGCTCTGATAGACTGGAGTATAAATATTCCAAACTCGTGATGACGGCCAATAAGGAGTGCGAGTTGCCGGTGGCGGACAGCTGTGCCATTATGGAAGGAGAAGGGGAGGAGAATGAGGAAGAGGATGAAGTGGTTTATGCCAACAAGACTTCTCTTTTGGCTAAGCTAAAAGCTATCACTACCAAGGTTAGCGAAACCAAAGTAAGTGTAAATGCTTTTCTTAAAATGAGTTTCACAGTTTCAGAAGGGCTGCACGATTTTGGAAAAAATAAATATTGTAATTTTGTTTCCTTTCTTTTGAAAATAACATTTAAAATATGATTTAAAAATCCAGATTTTCCGTGCTTATTTGCAAGGCTGCACAATTAGGCTATTATCTTTTGTATATCAATATGGCTATATAAGAATATGAAATATAGCTGCAAGCAGCAGTTATTGGGGGAAAGCACAAAGAACACGATAAGTAATTTACATTTAATCATTTAGCAGACTTCAATCCAAAGCGACTTACAAATGAGAGGAGCGCAATAGAAGCAGCCAAGTGAAGTAAAGTATCAATAACAAATGCAAAGTTTGGTGTCAATATAACAAAGCATTGCAGAGACACAGCCTAGGAGTTAGGTTGGCATAATGTTATCAACTTTATTTACGTCTAGCGACATGAAATCCTTAACATTTTACCGACATGGTCTCAAGATTGTGAAAAAGTAGGTTTTTAAAGTCCCTGTAAAGTCAAAATTAAGAATGTGTTCTGAGTTTCACACCACAGAAAAATGTTATTAGCCACCCAGCCAAATTTGAATCACAAAAAAGCCACCAAGTAAAATAGGCTATCAAAATCTTTTAAAAATTAGCAGTATTCTCTGCCCTCAAATGCTGGGGGCGTGTCCACTGGCTGTGCTGAAACCTTGGGAGGATGAAGGCTGAGGCGGGAGATAGTCACAACCCCGTTCACCAGTGACAGCAGATTATCAGTGAATTTTATCAGTAAGTTTATAAAACTATCCTGTGTAATATGATCACTACAGAGGCGGGTGTTGGTGGTGATCCTCTGCTCTCCATCAAGGTGGCTCTTCACGAAATGAATCCACCTCTTCTTGATATGATATGATCGTTTTTCAGAAATTTAAATAAGGACACCGGCCTGTTTTGTTAGTGATGGCATCCAAGTAATGCGTATTTCCATGACGAAAGCATAGTAACTAATAATACTGAAATTAACTTGCGATTGAGCGGCAAACTGATGCAAATGTGCTGTAGTTATATTGTTAAGGGAGAGGCCAGCCTCCGTGGCTCCAGTACGTCATCGACAGTAGGGGTGTGTCCAGGAGCTCAGGGGCTCCATCGAGCCACCGTTTTAGGCCCGCCCCAAAAATCCTTGACTCATCAGTGGTACAAAACTGTTTAACGGGATAACTCCAGAATACAGTACTTCACAGTTCACAGTCTTTGTGATTGTGTTTTAGCAATATATTTCTAACATTTAGAAAGTGTTTTAGATATTTTAATATTTATATATATATATATTTATTTTTTTTAGAATTGCCTTTACAGGGACTTTAAAGAAAATCAAAATGGCAGACTGGAAGGTTGACCAACTATGGTGAAATTATCAAGACAATAGCTAGCGAGATATAGCGAGATAAGTTAATTGTGTTGTCCTCTTCGTCGAAATTCGTTGCACGTTTTTCAAAAACTGCTTGAATTTCTATATGTTTTTGTCACCATGTTTTGAAGATGACTTGGTTAAATTAAGTTTACAAAGTAGTTATAGTTTTTTCAGAAAATTCAAAATGGTAGGAAATTTTTCATGACAGAAAAGGACGCCATATGTCGCAATCGAATCATCTTGAGACAAGAAATCAAGAGGAAATAAATTTTGTTTCTAGCCCTTACGGTTCAAAAGTTATTAGCACAAACGTAAGTGAAATTTTGGACAGTTGGTGTCACTAGAGGTATTGAGTTAGAGACTCCCTATCGGTATTGCTCTGATACTGCCATTTTTTTTTTTTCAATACCCAGATCGGGTATTGGCCATCTGAGACCAATCAAAATCCGATATTATGCGCATACGCGTTTCGCATAAGCTCATAAACGCTGTATTGGAGCCTTTTAATATTACAATACTTTTGAGCAATAAAAGTTTATTGATGGCCTTTCTTGTTCAGTCATATCTATCATATGTTGCTGCTTCATTAAAAAGCTGTGCTTAAAATTTAAGAAGTGTCTTTTAAATTTTATAGTATACCGTTTTTCGGAAATGTCAGTCACACTACATAATCATTGGTCTTCTGCCATCAGTCTGAAGGTCTGGTTACACGAGACTGAATGAAGAAGTCAGCCTGACTCCTGTTTATTTTGAATGTCTACCAAGCTAGTGAAGCTATTGGTTTTATTTATAGTTCCTGCACTGGTCCACAGTTATTTAATCAATAATTCACAACATTTTTGTCTTTATATTGGTTTAATTTAAGAATTAAGAATAAGTCTCTTCCTGCGACTCTTCTCTCATCAGATTTGTGAAGCCTTAACAGTTAACATGTAAGCTAACAATCTTTCCTTAGTTTCTAGTGTCACTCTGTCTCTTTAATACACAAAAATACTAAAAAGATAATAGCTAATTCTGAAATGTATACGCACAAAGCAGAATTGCAAAAATAATGACTGTTATTTATTTTGTTTGAGCTTTCCTGTGGCTCGAACAGTAGTCCTTGCCACTAGGAAGGCCAAGGTCATGGGTTCAATTGCCAGGGAAAGCAAGAACTGATGACATGCATACCTTGAATGTTTTTCATAAAAGCATCTACAAATGCGTAAATGTATTTAGTGACATCTACTGGTCATTCATAGAAGTGTTTTTAGAAAATGTGCTTCAAGGTCTTAACAATTCTCTCTTGCACGGACTGCAGTTTCTTATAGCCTTTCAGTTGAAATAACCTCAGCTCAACCCTCAATCCCTGTACTTTTTTTCTTCTCCTTGCTTTGCTTTTCTTTCTTTGTGTTTCCCTCTAGCAGCGACTGCATTCAGAAATTTTAGCTAAGAGTTTGCTTGAGGGTGGGTGTGTATACTGTATGCCTTGATGTTTAACTCGGGGCAGTTGAAGGAGCCGCTGAGGGACTTCTAGCAACATCTGTAAGATTAAAGATTGTTGAGCTGCATTGGCATATGCGGTGTGTCACACTGTGTTCACAGCCAATTAGAAGGGAGTTTGAGAGGAAGAGAGTTGTATTCAAGCGTCACTCTTCAGAATTTCCATTGTCACTTAAACTTGAGCGTTTTCTCCGGGAAGATGCCGTAAGAGCTCCCGTGGGATTGTGCTCAGATTTCCTGCGGTATATGGAGTCAGTTTTGGTCCTGCAATTTTCAGGGAAGTTAATTAAGAGAATCCAAATTGAGGGGAATTAATCAATCATGTTCCCAGTGACTGGTTTGCTTTAGATAAACCCTGCTGAATAATAATTAGAAAATGCTGGTCTCCCAGCCTGGTTTTAGAGGAGGCAACCAGCTTAAACACCAGCTTGGCCAGTTAGACAAAACCGCTTAAACCAGCTATATTATTAAAAAAAATGGCAGTTAGTATCTGGTGTGGCCAGCAGCTGCTTTAAAGGGGAAATGAAGCGGTGAATCAAGTTTACATGATTTACAAGATGGATTTCCAATATAATCAACAATTATATAAGGAACATTACAAATGTAAACATTTAGAAGAAAAAAAGAAAAAAAAACTTTGTATCTTTCGCCGCCAGGGCGCCGCCATTGTGCAGGTGACGTCACGGGGTTGGTTGGCTCAAGTTTAACAGGCTCTGGGCATTGAAAATCGTGACATCAAACTGTGTTTACACCAGTGTTTTGACCGTGAACGACTAATGTTAGGTACAGATATTAGACAAAAAGACGACGTCTCATGTTATATGTTGACAAACTGCACATGGAAACATTGTTCGCGATGTCTGCCGTCAGATATTCCCGTCTCGTCAACACCATGTAAGTTACGTTGCTGTGTAGAACAGTAAGTGGTGGTTTGGGGCGGAGAGCGGGTTTGCAACGCTAACTTACCAGGTGTCAGTGTGGCTGTTGTCCTGCGATGCCCTCCGTGTCAGAGTCCATCTGTTGTCAAGAGGTTGATCTTGAGCATGTGTTGCGTGGTCAATTCTGCATCATCGGCGCGCACGTTTACCATGCTGTGCCGGGAGTTAGACGTGTGGAAGCGGCGATGTTTTCCCTGAAGGATGTCAGAGCGGAGACACTTTTTCCTAGTATATGTAGGCTGTAGCTAACGTTACTAGCACTACCAGTGCGAAAATATGGACGTTTCATTTCCCCTTTAACAAATACGTGCTAACTTACATGTTATTGACGAGACGGGAATATCTGACGGCAGACATCGCAAACAATGGTTCTATGTGCAGTTTGTCAACGTATAACATGAGACGTCGTCTTTTTGTCTAATATCTGTACCTAACATTAGTCGTTCGTGGTCAAAACACTGGTATAAACACAGTTTGATGTCGCGATTTTCAATGCCCAGAGCCTGTTAAACTTGAGCCAACCCAACCCCGTGACGTCAACTGCACAATGGCGGCGCCCTGGCGGTGAAAGATACAAAGTTTTTTCTTTTTTTCTTCTAATTGTTTACATTTGTAATGTTCCTTATATAATTGTTGATTATATTGGAAATCCATCTTGTAAATCATGTAAACTTGATTCACTGCTTCATTTCCCCTTTAAGTTTTACAGAACATCTCATCCTCATGGACTGAGCATGGCATTTGGGGACATATGGGCACATGTGGTCTGGCACTGTAAGGGCTATCAGCTGTCCTTCTCTGTTGCCTCTGTCTTACGCATCTTGAATTACAGACATTGTAGTTAATTGCTTTGGCCACATCTTGATGCCTCCTTTCTGCAGGACTATGGCATGTTCACACAGGGTGATCAGGCATCTTTCTTCTGTTTTTTTTCTAGAGTCAGTTGAAAGGTCTCTTTAATGTCCTGTTATTGGAACCATGACAATGTTCTTTCGCCTGTAAACTGTTAGTGTCTTAAGGACTGTTCCGCAGGTGGTGGATGTGTAATAATTGTTTATGGTTTTGTCGACAAGCATGAAAAACCGTGTAATAAACACTTTCCAATGATGACTTGCAAAATGATCTTTAAAATACAATATTCTCTCTCTCAAAAAAAAAAAATGCCACATGAACTATTTTATGCCACATGAATACTGTAGAAAAAAATAATTCAAATACATTTGTGTGCTGAATTTTTCAAATTTTTTATTTTTTTTACTTTGGTTTTAAAAATAGTGGTGAAATTTGGTGAGCAATTTTGGTTGCAAATTTTCAGCGTTTTCCCAAATTATCCCCCAATGCAATTTTTTTTTTTTTTTTTTTTTTTACAAAAATAAATTAAATATGAATATAATAAAATGGTTGTTTTAAGTGTTTTTTTTTTTCCAGAAGGGAATGTAAAAAAATAAAAAATTGCCCGCCAGCGTTTTTGATCATTTTTACAAAATTTTCATGGCCCCCATAATATTTCGTTGTATGAATATCTGAACATGCAATATATAAAAGAGAGCAGACTCTCCGCTTTAGCTTCATGCTTTTATCAACCCGTTAATGTGGTAGCGTTTCATTAAAAAAACATTTTAAAGGTGCCATCTGTCAAAAAAAATCAAATCATACTCCATATTCCATACCAGATGGGGGCAGTATACCTCCAGAAAGTGAGTTGTGCCGCAGCCACGCACGCACTCTCACGTCTTCAACACGAGTGAGTGTATATTGTTTTGCTCTCTCTCCCTCGCACATAATAATCAAATCAATTGACACGATGGTAAAAGGTTGGCAGACTGCAATTTCACGTAGAGCATTTGGAGATTTTTAGAAATTAGAGACTCAATGAACAACATCTCAACACTAAATTATAAAGGCCGTCTCATAGCCTGTCTCAAATACAAGCCGGTGTATTTCGACGATATGGGAAAATAAAAGCCTGGGCTATTATTTGAAGTTTTATGGTATTTGTTTTGTTCATATTACATTTTTATTGTTCGTTTGAATTAATTTGACAGACAACATTCGCTGATGTTGACCAAGCTAGTGCCATTCAGAACTGCCAACTCTCACGAATTCACCATGAGACACGCAATTGACACTTTTCACATGCTCTCACGCCACAGGTCAATTTTGTCATGCACAGAAAAGGACACGGAGACCAACAGACTAGACAGAGCAGGTTAGTTATGATTATAAAAAAAATCTCAGCTCTCAGATTATGTAAATTTTATTTCGCAATTCAAACAATAAATACGGTTTTGGCGCTTGTACAACATGACATGACTTTTGCGTAAACATATACGCCACTTTCGAGTCAGGTGGCGTGTTATCTCTACGCATTTTGAGCTATCCGCGTGTATGTCTACGCCATTAACGTCCGCGTCATTCCGCGTGTCTGTACACGCAGTCAAATCTCCAGTCATAAATGCCATTAACCCCAGTGACGGTTAAGTTTAGGGTTGGGGTTGAGGTAAGTCATATCTTTTTTTTACCTAGGATGGTAAGGGAACAGTCATAAATGCCATTAACCCCAGTGACGGTTAGGTTTAGGGACGGGGTTGAGGTAAGTCATATATTTATATAACGTTAAGTCAACGGCGTTCATAAACACGCTGAAAGGCGATTATGCGTCTTGATAGCACGCCAAAAATGGAAATACGAATTGGCGTGTCATACACACGCTACTTCATGAGATCAGTCTGGCTTGTAAATGTTACACGACAGATCCCTAGCGCACGTGAACCGTTCATCTCTACCAGCTTATGGTGAAAGAACACAAATACTGTTGAAAGATGCAGTATGCTACAACTTACCAAAATGTATTCCTCATACATAATATCGACCAATCATTTTTTTTCCCTGAACTGAAATGTAGCCTAGTAGTGGGCTGTACTTTCCACGCGATTGACATCAGATTCAAGTACATCTATGACACCCACAAGCTATGCGAGTTACTCGTGTATTGCAGTTTGGCTGGTGGTTATGTTGCTCGCCTGTATATCGCCTCCCATGGCTGAAACTGGTATTATGACACCTCCCGGGCCGGGGCTAGTAATTTAGCATGCTAATTCAGGTTAATATCTCTGCAGTAGTATAACTTGTAATATTTTAATGACATCATCAGCCTTATTTGTTCTCATTCTTTTGATGCGTGTAGCTCATTTTTTGGATATTTTAACCTCAATTCAAAAAGCAAAAAGCTGAGAAAATCGTGTTCATCATGGATCATCTAATTTTCATCTGGATCATCTAATTTTTGATCGTCGTTCTGAATCCGGAATAAATCGAGTCCATCAACACCCCTATTGCCTCCACAGTCCTAAAGCTCTTCCTGGTTCGACATTTCATTCTGCGACATTTATATGCTGTTTTGATTTATATGCTGATTAATGTTGATGATCACCTTTTTTTTACATTTGCATATTTTGCATGATTATACACAAGATCGCTTCTGCATCTTCTTCGCATGTTTTCAAAAGATTTGTCTAAACTCCCCCTACCGTATAATAATGGAAAGCCGGAAATTTCCGTCAATGGAGGGGGAAGCGTTTTTTCACAAATGACAGAAACTTCCGTCAATGGCAGGGGAAAGTTAAAGTGAGTATATTTGGTTGTGAAATCCTTTCGAGTTATTAAGATGTGGTTTTCTTCTTCATTTGGAATAAAGTTCACATAAATAATTCATAGTATGACCAGGAATGTGTATTCATATAGTAAAAAGGGTCAATTTTGATACGTTGGTTGACTCACGCCACACAAGTTAGCATGTTGCTAAGCTAACAACGCAGTAATCAATAGGCTTTTAAGAAAGAGATATTAGGTAAAATAATGCAATTTAACCTTTTTTATGGAAACATTTCAGTATTGAATTAAATACAACGTATATTTTTAATCCGCATTTCTCTCAGCTCAAGTGATCCGCCATCTTGAATTTTCACTCTGCTCATCGCAATGCATTCTCTGTTTGTTTTTGCCAACGACTAGATGTCTTAAAGGCAGAATAGTGTTGCTGGCTACCTTTTAGAGCAGCCTTTGCGTAGGGAGCGTGCCTATGATGCATTAAAATACTTTCTATGTAGGCAACTAAGGTTTTATGACCAGGCTTCTGTGTGAATAACAGCGTTCCTGAAATCCGTACCGAGGCAGTTGCAGGTCATTTATCTTTCTGTTTAACAGGCCTAGCTTACCGCAACTCGCTGTTTGATTTGCACACTGGTTGTCCTAGCAACGTGCAGTGTCCGTGGACGGTCCTTGGCCTTCGCAGGGCAGGCTTTTCAAAGGGAGGCGACCTTGACGAGGAGGGCGATTCTGCACTCTGTTTGTGTACATTTGTCGCGCCTGCGTTCAGTGATTTGTTCCCGTTTTGGCTGCGTTTTCAAAACCGTGTTTCTGTTTCTAGGGCAACAAGAAGAGCGACGAAGCCGTCCAACTGAAATTCTCCAATACAGAGAAGTCTGTGTGGGGATAGACGAAGAGTGAAGAGGGGTAAGGAAAAGAAAGAGATGAATGGAAGTTCCTTTCTCTTTGATATCATATGCAGTGGCCTTTAAAAAAAAAGAAATTGGGTTAAACAAGCCTGTGACGCCTCAGGAACTCGGACGGACATGCTCATTGAATATTTCTTTCAAGATGTGTCACTATGGAGTTGTGTACGTGTGTTGTTGTTTTTTTTTCCCCTATTGTAAATGTCTACCAATACCCCCCCCCCCCCCCCCTTTTTGGAGCCTCAGCCACGACTTTACATGAGTCTTGCTTGTCAGAGCGAATGTAGCCAAGGGTCAGGGTGAACACACAAATACACTCAGACATTAAGCTTCACTGACAGGCGCTTCCAATCCCAGCTAAACAGTGCTTGAAAGCCATGTAAAGTGTGTTTGTGTTCAAATAAGTGTGTGTTTTTTTTTTTTAAGTAACCTATTTGACTGTGATTGTGACATTCCAAATGAAATATGACATGAATAAAGTCTATGAATAAAGACATTACAGTAGTCATTTTTGTTCAGCTATTTTTATGATTTTTATTTTTTTGACATATCTCTGCGTCATTCTGCTTGGCTTACAGTATTAAGACAAACACAGAATATTAAGGAGAAACTGTATTCCTTCAGACTGAGGTGATGAAACTTTCACTAGATTTGCCATCTAATTAAAGAACTTAATGAACTGCCGGTGGGGTTTTATTCATTAAATTTTAAGACCCATTGACGTGAAATCTGGGTAAATGGTCTGTTGAGTCCCATATTGATTCTGAATGGTGTAAACCTACAGTTACTGTCCCACTGGGATTTAGTTGTTTTGTTTGGTCCACTGTTACTCTGAAGTGTTAGATGTTGGCAATATTATTCGCATGAATAATTTTGTGATTTTTCTCTTATTTTGTGTGCATGTTTACAAGGAAATAAACCTGTAACTGCATTCAACTGATGCCAGTTATACATTTTTTATATCATGTATAATAAATTATTGTTTGATTTTAAGCACAGAAAGCACAAAAAAACTCCAATATGGTGAAAGTATGATGGATTTCTTCAGAATTTTTTACAACTAAACCTCAGTGAGATTCTCTGATCATAGTCCGCAATGTTATTTGACTATTATTCATATTAATACTTAAAATGGGCTTTTATTTGTATATCTTTACTTATTTTGTATATTTTAGTTTAGGTTTATGAGTCATTTTAATATTTCTATTTAGCTTATATAATCAGCTTTATAGCTGTATTGAACTCTACACAGTACTTGAACCTAAAATTATGAATACTGAACTGAATTCAGCTGAAAAAATCGTTTTTTTATTTATATTTTATATATTTTCTGTTCGCATTATTGAATTGTTATTTTCCTATTACTGCAAAGCAGCTTTGAAACAATCTGTATTGTTTAAAGGTATATTAATAAAGGTGAGTTTACAGTACTTCAATTACTTTCCTGTGTTCTCAACTATAGTTTTTGTATGTTTTAATATTTTAATGTAATTCTAATGAGTTTCAATTTTTTATACATTGACTAGTTTTTATATTGTGATATCATGGCTGATTGTAGACTACATAATTTGCAGTGCTTCATGGGATGAGTAGTTCATCGCAAGTTTGGTATGATTATGCCTTGTTTGAATTATTTAAAAAATAAATGTATCTTCCAATCAAATGCTGTAATATTGTGTATTTGGTTGTCTTTGAATTATTTTGGAAATGAATGAACAACACAGCAAGGAGACTGAAACTGCAGATGAAAAGGATGAGGGCAACAAAAATAAAACGTCCATAAGCCTTTTTTTCTCAATCCAATTTTATAATATTTTGAGTTTAGTTGCTTTTGGGTGGATTCATTATTTAAAAAATAAATGAAAAATAAGCTACACAGTTGAAGGCAGATGGATAAATGGTCAGACAAGGAAAACGACAATAGATTGGTCCATACTTTATATTTTGTGCAGTATTTTCATTCTCTTCTAAAGTCAGCTGTATGATGATCAGTTTAAAATTTAAGTTGTTATACACAGAATCTTAAAGGGATACTCCACTTTTTTTGGAAATAGGCTCATTTTACAACTCCCCCAGAGTTAAACAGTTGAGTTTCACCGTTTTCAAATGTATTCAGCCGATTTTCTGATATTTAGAAGAATATCAGTAACCAGACAGTTTCTGGTCTCATTGACTTCCATAGTATATTTTTTTCCTACTATGGAAGTCAATGGGAATGATATTCTTCTAAATATCAGAAAAACGGCTGAATGGATTCGAAAACGGTGAAACTCAACTGTTTAACTCTGGGGGAGTGGTAAAATGAGCCTATTTCCAAAAAAGTGGAGTATTCCTTTAATTTCTCATTGCAATATGACATTTTACATCCAATTCAAATTGAAATCTTATCCTCACACAGTATGGTATTCCATTTTTGTTTGTTTTTAAATGTGCTCAATATGAATATGACAATCTGAGTAAATTCTGTGTTCATATAATCATGTCAGTGAGTTGTTGATCACAGAATTGTCATTTTTGGGCGAACTATGGCTTTAAGTGCTGCAGCGGTGCAGCAAACGCTTTGTACGTTCCTCATTAGTTCTCTCGCTATATCCGAATGTCACATCTCGCTTTCTTTTATTCTGACTCTCCCTCATTCCTGTGATTCGTCGTCTCCCAGGACTTCAGAAATATTGTGTTGTAGGTGGAAGAGTTCGTGTCTAACCTGGAAAAGTGCAGCGGTTCCGATATCTCCCATAAAAGCCTTGACTCTGTGCCACAGCCATTAGAATTCCACAGAGGACAGAAGAAGGGTGATGTGTACAATTCACCAAAAAAACTCCCTCACTATCTCTATCCCTCAGCCACCACTTTACCCCACGTTCTCATGCTCTCATTCATGCCGTTCTCTCTCTATTTCTCTCACCTGTCCTCTCTCTCCTCAGGCGAACTTATGGGGCTGATAAAAGGAAGGGTTTTCAAAGGCTTCAGCACTTCAGCACTTCCGATGTATTATTCTGGCCAGAAAATCCCTGGCAAAAATTGCATTCCATTTTCCCTACTCATAATCTCTTCTGCTTCATCCTCTTTAGAAAGCCAGAAGCCAGCTGATTGGATGTCAGCAGAATAATTTAGTAGAAGAGAGAACACTTTTTTTGTCAGTGAGGAAATGCTCGTCTTTGTGAGACATCTGAATCCATCACACTTGAGACAGAAAGTGTTGAGAAGGTATGTCAATGAGTGTTTGTGTATTGTGATTACGGTCACCCCACAACTCCAAAATGAGAAATAACAGAGACTTGATCATTTAGTTGATTTATTGTGATGTCATAATGTCCATTTTTATTGCACACTGCACCGTGGGTACTGTTCTATTGCTTTGTGTTCAAACCAAAAAGTTCAGTGCCTTCCTGAAGTACGTTATACCACTTTTACAGATCTGAAGGAGTTTTGTTTAGTGAGAACTCTTTTTAACCCTTACATACAACTTTGAGATCACCCCAAATTGTTCTTGATTCATCCAATGAACATGCCGTTTCAGAAAAACAGTTTGAAAAAAGTAAATGGGATTGACAAATGTACTGTTTACTAACATATTTGACTCTAAATTATCCTCTACATACAACAGAAAAAAACAAAACAATCCCATTCTCAAACTCTCAGGCTCGCTTGAAAGCAGTTCCGTGTATTTTCACAGTCCTTCATAAAGTAATACGCACACCTTCTGTATTCATTCAATACATATTTTGGCTAATTTGGCGATACTTTCAGCTTCCGATAAGAATACAGTTTTGTTTAACACAATTATTTCGATGTTCCTACCAAAGAAGTACAGAAAATATGGGGAAAAAAAATATGCAGATACCATTTGGACCTGGCCTTGAGTCTTGCCTATAACCTTAGTGACAAATTACCATAGTAAACATCAAGCCTTATTTGTATTATGTACTGTATGTATTTTGGATTTAGTTTTTATTCTAAATATATTCTATATAAAATATTTTCGCAATTAATCCCCCCCCCCCCCCACCCCAGAACACAATATAGGCTAATTTTATGTTGTGGGGTGTTTCAAAAATATTCTTGTGTTTCACAGAAGTAAGATCATACAGGTTTGCAAAGACATGAGGGTGAGTAAATGATGATCAAATCTCTTTAACAGGGGTTTTGTAGCTCTCTGATCACATGCTACACTCTTCACTAGTTACTGACTGTAGTTCTGCTCACACATCAACTGAACTTGCTTTTAAAATTCAGATGTGACTCCTGTAAGAGTTAAGTAGTCAATTTGATTGGCTAACCTGATTTAACCAAGTAGAACATGTTCCTGGATCAACATTACAATCAACCAATCAGATTTAAGGGACATATGTATGTCAGTTTAGGTTTGCAGTAAGGGTTTGTTTCTTCTACATCAGTCTTATTTACTTCTGATTTGGGGGATAACTTAGGGGGTAGGGTTAGGTTTAGGGATAAGGAAATGATTAGGACTTTTCAGATATGTTGACCCAGGAACGCGTCTTACTCGACTGGTTATAGGTTGTCTGTTTCTTTCACAACCAAACAGGACTGAATATCGTAATTTGCCGTGGTGTGTGAAGATTCGTGTCAAACATGAACATTTCTATGAAAGTGTTCTTTAAACTTTTCCACGCAGTGGCTCAGTTAGACACAGCTGGCTGATTCTGCAGTAAGACTTGAATGAAATTGCTGCAGTGGGTGAGGGAGGCTCGCTCTCGATTTGTGTTTCTGCGCAGACTGCAGTCTCGCCTCCCTCCTAAACCGTTTCTAAGCCACTCGGATGAAACCGCCACATTTGACTTTTTCCCTCTTCCCTCAAAAACATTCTTAAAGAGACTAATGCTGGAACGAGGACCCCTAGCAACTTAACGAGTGGAAAGAGGATGTGTGCAGATTTTGGGGTGGTGTAGCCTTGCCACAAAAGCACAGAGTTGCTGAGTATCATGCTGGAGTTTATGGGGCAGCAAACTGCTTTACATAACTCCATGATGTTTTTCTCCCTACATTCACTTACTTGTTAACTTTCTTTGTTTGTTTTGTAGCAAAGTATTGTAAGAATTTATATTGTAGATATTGCCTGTGTAAAAGTGACCACCACAGTACTGGTTTCCAGTGTATTGCTATGGATTTACTAAGGTGTTCTAAGTGGTTTTTTTTTTTTAGCATGTTATTGTTCTAGGGTGTTATGGGTGGTTTTTAGAATGTCATTGTGCTATGGTGTTGCTATGTGGTTGCTAATGTGTTCTAAGTGTTACTTTTAGCATGTTACTTACTATGCAGTTTCATGGGTGTTCTGGGTGTTTTTTTTAGGAAGTCATTGTGCTAGGGTGTTGCTAGGATATTGGAAGTGATTTCCAGGTGTTGCTATGCAGTTACTCAGGTGTTTTAGTATGTTACTTACGAAGTTTTTTGGAATGTGTATTGAATGTAATTGTGCAAGGGTGTTTAACGTGGTTGCCAGGGTGTTGCTATGCATTTGCTAATATGTCGAAAGTGTTTTTTTTTTTTTTTTTTTAACATGTTACTTACTATGTAGGTTCATGTGTGTTCTGGGTGGTTTGTAAAATGTCATTGTGCTAGGTTGTTGGTGATTTCCAGGGTGTTGTTATGCAGTTGCTAAGGTGTTCTAAGTCGTGTTTTATCATGTTGCTAAGCAGCTGTGTTTAACTCATGGTACTGTGCAGATGCAAGGGTGTTCTGAGTGTTTTTTTTTATCATTACTCTGCAGTTGCTAGGATATTCTGATCAGTTTCCAGGGCATTGCTATACAGTTGCTAAGGTGGTCTGATTGTTGTTTAACGTATTACTAGGGTGTTTTGGCTGGTTTCCAAGCCTTTGCTGTCTGGGTAGTCCATAACTATTTTTATTCATATAGATATGGCTTTAATTCCTACTTCAATGCTAGTCCAATGGATTGTATGTGTGTTGGAAGACTAAATCGGTCACCGATTGGCTGTTTTTCTTTTATCTGATTTTATCGCTCCTTCTGTGCATGTTTCCCTCGCGGTACTGTTAACTGACACACAAATGATTTCCTTCGCTGCAATACTAATGAATTATGAATGTTGAGAGTATAGCATTTCTAGGTTACTGTTACACATTTGTTTACTATATCTCTTCATGACGGGCTAAGAATGGATGATCCTTAGAGTACATGATACAGTTTAACACTTGCATTAGGTAACGTGATATTTTACAGAATCCCTTGAGGCCAAGTGATGGTCGCGAGCTAAAAACATTAAAACTTTTAACATTTTAGTGCTCCAAAAATCGTCAGCTTATCGAAGAACCCGAGCGTCCCTGTTTCCTCCAAACGAAACAACCGAAAAACATAGAAATGTATAAAACTTCTGAAAAGTAAAAAAAGATGTCTGTAAAAAAATGGCCCGGTTCCCCCTCACCAAAAGGCTCTGAACCTCTCGTATTAAAACTATAGGACAAATGATAAGGCACAACAAGCCGATATTGAACAACAGAATACATTTTACATTCACTGCATCACAAAGCATTTCCCACGTCAGAAACGTAACCGATAATCTATTTTTCCACTGAAAGGGTGCCGGTGCCAGACCAACATAATAATATGACATATTTCTAAAGCAATATATTAGAATGATTTTTGAAGATTCATGTGGCACTGAAGACTGGAATAATTTTGATTTGCCAGTACAAAAAGAAATTACATTCAAAACAGTTCTTTTAAATTATAATAATTGCAAATTATTGCTCTTTTTACTGTATTTTTGATCAAAATATTTGTATTTTCAAATAAATCACAGTTTATGTTTTTGTGGTTTTGAAAACAGTTTTTGGAGAGACATTAACCTATTGTTTGCCATTTGTTTGCAGTCCGAACCCCGCCCCAGCAAAGGGCGGGCTTTATACAATGATAGACAGATGACACTTACTGCGTTGCTCTGATTGGTTGTAGGTCTATTCAATTGAGTGCAGAGTTGTTGTTTTTTTCTTCCTGTTTTGGTTAAGACACGCCTCATAATAGGGCTGTAGTACTCGAGTCCGGACTCAAGACCGTTTTTCTATGGTCTCGGACTCGCAGGTATTCGGACTCGGACTTGCCTCGGCAACTGGTCTTGCCAAATATTGTTTTTGGTCTCGACCGAGTCCAGGTGTCTTTCTATTATGTTTATAATATTGAAGGAAAAAGGAAACGCTGGCCACCTAATAACCAATCACATACTAGATTATCTTCACATGTCACGCTCTGCCTCTGCATGCCTGTTAATTTTCATTGATCCACACAACAAATGAAGATTCCGCCAATTCTGCCGTCATCAAATTTGGTTTTAAAAATCACCAGGAATTTCTCAGCGCTGCGCTGAAAAAGAAACGCAAAACAAAAATTTCGGAAACCTGTGGGACAACGTCAAACTTCGTGAGACACCTGCAGAGGAATCATACATTGCGGTAAGTTAACTGCAGAGCTGGAGCTGCTTAGCCTGAACTACAGTATGTGTTAACGTTGACATTACTGTAGCTAACATAGTAAAAGATAAAGTTAATGTTCTTGGACAAAGTTATCATAACTTACGTCTGGAATTACTTGTTTCATAGGGTAAAAGAAATCAAACGATTACGGTAGGCCTATTAATGATTGATTATCGTCGTGTTTGTATTAAGTTTGTGGTTGCGCTCAGGCTTTTTATGAATGAATGCTCATGTTAACGTTAGGGTTAAGTAAACTTTGCATGAGCCGTCATAAAGTTATATGTTCGATTACGTATGGTGGTAGTAGCTACAGTAGCTGTGTGGGTGTGTGTCATATTTGCGTTAAAGGTGGTTCATTTGGGTAACGTTAATGTTATCTGACATTAGTGATGATTTCTTCAGTTTTAAATTGACTGTAGAAAATGTGTTTAGGTCAAACAGAAATATTCTCCAGGAATGCATACAGAACGAAAGTCATTTTTGTATGTGTGTTCATTTATTACTAGCCTACTAGGGTAACGTTAACTTGCTTAGAAAATGCCAAAATTAACCTACCAAGAGCTCACTACAACAGAGCGCATCTTCTCATGCTGTAACTATAGTTACCATCACAAATGGCTTAATGACATTTTTCCTTTTTTTCACAGACGAAAACGAGACGATAACTAAATGAAAACTTTTTTTTTTTCCTGTCCTGGACTCGGTCTTGACTCAGCCTCGAACCTTTTTGGACTCGGTCTTGTCTTGGACTCAAACCACGTTGGACTTGGTCTTTACTTGGACTCGACTAGTCCTGGTCTTGGACTCGACAAAGGTGGTCTTGACTATAGACCTACCTCATAAAGCCCTGTGGAGGAATATCAGGCTCACATTCTGACTAGAAAATGAGTATAATGAAATCAGGCTACCCTTTGACAGTACTGTTTCCTGGTTTGTCACAAGTCGGTTTAAGGGGCTTTTTTTTTGGCAAATCAACTTTTTTGAACAATCCAATCAAAAAGTGCAGGACAACAACAGCACCATGATGATAGAATAGAGGTAAGTGTCAACTTTGTAAGATTCACTTTACCTCATATGCTCATCTTCCAGACTTCCCATCCCTGAAGGCTACTCGTCACAGGCAGTGTAAACATATATTAGGAGACTGCATATCTGTTCTGCAACATAAACATGCATCACAGCCATCTCACCGTAATGCTTATGAGATGCAGTTAATGTAATATGTTTTCAGATGTCTTGACAGTTTACTAAAATGGTGTTGTAACCTCTGGTATCAAGCCACTGCCTGTAATGAGACGACGTGAATTTTGAGACGCGAGCGCTCACTCGATGGTTTTCCTGCTTTGGCCCTCATGACCAGCTTAATACTGTCGTCGTGTGCTGTTAAAACCATCGGTTAAGATTCTGTACAAAATGTACAACATAGAAATACATACAGTTTATATTATTACAATGAGGCCTACAAAAGAAAACGACCACAAATTGTATCCAGTATTGCAGGCGGAGCCATTTCTCTCAGTCTCTACTGTGGCCCAATCAAAACTGGTTTGAGTTTTACGTCATCACATCATGGCCGTTTACAACATACATAATAAAGCTATCAAAACAACGGTTTCCAAAATCTCTCTATAAAGGATTTTTTTGTTCTTTTGTTTCTCTACAACAATGTCAGTTAATATTTACAACGAGCCCTAAAAATAATTTAATAATAAATCATAATCATACACACTTTCTACACGTTGTAGGCAGATCTAGTTCTTGGGCAGAGCACAATGTGTGCTGATTGGCTAACAGTCGCTAAGGAGCAGGAGTTTGGAGGAGGGGGCGGGGTCACAGAGAGGAAGTGGTGGAGTCAACAATCTCTCTTCCGTTGCACACCGTCGGAACGAAGCTGGCGCTCACCGATGCTTAAGGAAGAAAGAACGAAAGGAGAATTAGACAAATGCAAAGAAGGTAAGGAAAAAGAGATGTAAACGCAGTGGGACATAATATGAAGTCATTTTATATCAAGGTAAAAGTATACAGTAGTGGCTAAAAGTGATACGCTCACAGTTTAGTTTAGTACAGAAGTTTAGATTGTAGTTATGTTTGCATGAAATTGAATCCAAAAATGTTTTATATATTACATAACCATGCAGTAACGCATGTTTTTTGATTAGCCAGTTCTTTTACATTTATTTATGTATTAGTTTCTGTTATATACTGTACATTTTAACATATGGTAATTAGTAGGTTATCACTTATCAAGGTATACCATTCCATGCATAATACAAATTTGCATATTGTGTGTGCATGCAAAAGTGATAGTATGTTTGAATGCGACTCTGCCGCTGATGGCCAACTTCAAAAAGGCACCACAAACTTTTCACAAAGTTTACCGACAACTTTTCCCCCATTTGATTCTCCTCTCATCACCTCCCTCCCCCTCTTTTCCCTCCTAGCGTGTGACTGTATGTGATCTCTGCTCTGCACTCCGCAGCGTCTTCTCTTCTTTGCTGTGTCTGTCATGTTATTTATTAGACGAATGAAATGTAAATAAAGATGAAACTGTTTACCTGATCTGTTTTTGTGCTTGTGAATAATGCATCAGAGCAGAAGCTGTTGTCTGTGCACACATGGGCTTATTACCCACCATCAGACGGCCTTTCCCTACCGCACCTTTCCCCTGTGCTCTTATACAACCGCTCGGTGTGACAATGCTGACATTAAAATCCTCAGTGTAAATTGGCATATCAAAGGGCTGTAATCACTACAAACTGCCTGTGTAAGCACTGCAGAAAGTTCAACATTGACAACCAGTTGTATTTAGAGCACAAATAAATTGCTTTGCAGCATTTTCTCAATTTATGCTGTTGTTGTTGTTTTTTTTTTTTTTTTTGTGGGTCGTGTCATCATGGTTGCATGGTTGGTTTGTTTGTGGATCTCACCATGTGACGCGTAGCTAGTGGCCGGCCCGCTTACACTGAACCGGTTCATGTTTAACCGATGACTGGTGACATTCTTCTGAGGCTGGAACATGATGATGTGGACTTTGGGGGCAAACATGCAGCCCAGCACCACAAATCCGCTCAGACTGACAGATATACACATGGTTGTAGTTTGGACCTGAAAGAGAGAGGACAAACATCATTTATTTCTCACCCATGATGCGTCATACGGTGACTCATTTATTCTGATAATCAGAAGCTATTAGTTGTGACTATCAAGAGCCCCTCGGCTAATAAAGAGGTAGAGCACAGGGGTATAATAACAGTGACATTTAGCGAAGTGCTGTGTAAATAGCATTTGATTAGAAGTAGTTGAATGTCTCCCATTAGCAACAATTTTCCTCCCAGTTTTAGATCTTTGAGTTGTTCCCCCAGTCTCCCGTCAAGGCGCACCACTGTGAGTGAAGAGGACGGATATAACACTAAACTGAACAGGGATCTCTCTCAACCCCCAGGGGAACACGACGCTGTTCCGCTTTAGGAACAATTTCACAGGGAGCTAAATGAATGGTTTCAGTTAGACCTTTATCTCAATATGAATTATCAGTGGGTTTAAATACTGCAAGTTCCCTATTCGTGTATGTTTATGTCCTAAAAATATGCAAACCGATTAGCTGTTCTATTAGTCTTGCTCATATTTTCTGCAGTGTTATCAGCATGAGCCATCTACAAAGCTGTCCTTATTCTGTTGTGTTGTACTCTGTTGATTGGTGGATCTGATCATGTGGCTACATGCATTTGCGCTGGGTTTCTGTATCTTTCTGCATTTCCACAGGCATCAGCGTTGTGGCCGAGTAGTCTCTGAGGGCAACGTCTCTTGAGCAAAGAGCGTCTCTTCGCACTTCATTGACTGCGGCCTAGTAAGACCCATTTTTGTCCTGCTCACTGCAAGAAATCCTCCTTGCGTCAGCAAGCCATCTACGTCTGGTAATGCTGTTTGGGTACTTCAAGTTTCTACTGGATTCACTCGGTGTGGTGAATGACAAGCTCAGTTATAGACCCGCTCAGACAGTCACACTGAATCACTCTATGTTATATATTTGTTGCGTCAACGAGCTATTGAGAAGTTGTCTGATGAGGCTACGTGTTTGCTGAGGATTTTAATTTGTCAACAGATTTCTATCTGACAGATCTGCTTGCTTGATGTAATTCCTAATACACGTAACAGCTATCTGAACAGCAGGCATCTTGCGGTCCCACAAGCACGGATACAAGACAACATTGTCTGTTTTGCATGTTAATGGATTTTTTTTCTGGTTCCGCTTTTCAGCTCAGATCAGTTTGATTGATTCTCACCAAATTAGATTAAATCCAGCTTTGTTCAGTTAGCTTCAGGTACTTTAATTTGATTTGAGAAGAGTTTTTCTGCTTATGTCAGACAGGACTGGGCAAAGTACAGTTATGTTAAGAAGTGGTTATATTTAAATTCATGAGTTTGATGATATTTTGGCCAGACTCCAAAGGAGAGTTGAATTAATTTATAATTGTACAGTAACATACTGTATATGGTTGTAATTAAGTGAAAAATTGAAGAACGAACCTTCATAATTGGGGCAGAAGGTCCCAAATGGCATTTCGTTGATGGGGTTTTTATGAATATAATTATCTTTAACATTATTAGTTATTTAATTACAATTAGATTTGGCATATGCTATAGAAGGAATTTTTCAAAATGTATTTTGTTTCATAGAAGAAAATAAGGCCCTGTCCCAAATGGCACACTTCATATACACTTTCGGTCTTGTGAACTTACAATGGCTGCCGCATACATGTGTCCGTTGAGTCCATGAGACCCTTTTGTCGTTTTAGGTTTCAGAAGGGTTCTCACGAGTGCCCCTTTTGCGGTCGATATGCGCCCTCGATGCACTTTTGCCGAATCCACACTGATTTGAGTTCTGCAGCAGACTTCTTCCCAACAGTCAAAGCACCATTAAATCACGAAAGTACAGACTCAGAGGAATACATCTAGTGTTTAAAGTGCTATTTGGGACAGGGCCTAAGTCATACAAGTTTGACACAATTTAAGTAAAGAGTGACCGAATTAAACATTTTCAACATGACATCATGACTTTTGCGTAAACATACACACCACTTTCGAGTCAAGTGGCGTGTTATCTATACGCATTTTGAGCGATCTGCGTGTATGTCTACGCTGTTAAATGTCCGAGCGAAACTTGGGGAGCGATATTTTTTTTCCTAGGATGGTAGGGGAAGACTCATAAATCGTATTAACCCCAGTGACGGGTTGGTTTAGGGACGGGGTTGGTCATATATTTATATATACAGTAATGTAACGTTAAGTCAACGGCGTTCATAAACACGCTGAAAAGTGATTATGCGTGTGAGCACGCCAAAAATGGAAATACGAATTGGCGTGTCATACATACGCCGTTTCATGAGATTAGTCTGAAATTTTTGGTGTCTTACCATTTAAAAGTCACACTTATTGGAATTATGTGAATTTCCAACGCATTCTCATCCTTTAGCGTCATATAGAACGCTATATGACAAAACGGCGCTATACTACGCACATGGCACCCGTTATCGTTAATATAACATGCGCTGTGAGGGCTAAGTTTAGGTGTAGGGTAGGGTCTGCGTGTCATATTCACGCTAAAGCATTTATGACGTCTTGGGTTCGCGTGTTGTTTTTACGATAAAGGGTGCCATGTGCATAGTATAGCGCCGTTTTGTCATATAGCATTTTTTGTGACGCTAAAGGATGAGAACGGGCTGGAATTTCTTTCAATTTTATTTAATTTGAATTGTACAGAATGTTAGTCTCAGACATACCCTGTAGTCACTGGAGGTGACGTAGAAGATGGGTAGAAAGGCCAGCCAGATGATGCAGGTGGTGTACATGGTGAATCCGATGAACTTGGCCTCATTGAAGTTCTCCGGACATTTGCGGGTCTTGAAGGCATAGACCGTGCAGAGGACCACCAGAACCACATTGTAGCTTAGCGAGAGCAGCATGCTAGAGTCCCGTACGTTACACTTCAAAATGACAGTCTGACGTTTTTCCGGCGTGGTGAACCGCCGCGTACCGGGAACTTCCAGCAGTAGCCAGACGGACACTAACAAGAGCTGCACTGAGATCAGCGACAGACAGATGAACACCTGTGAGCTGGGACTGATGAAGCGTGGTCGCTGAGCCCCGCCCTCCTTCACACCGCTGAAAATGCGAGCGATTCGATTGGTCTTCGTGAGCAAGGCGGAGTAGCACACTGCGAACGAGGTACCGAGGCCTAACCGCCGCAGTGTGCACACGATAGGTGACGGTTTCGCAATGAATATGAAAGTCATGACGTACGACATAAAGACACCAAGCAGCAGGATGTAACATAGCTCGCGACCGGACGCTTTGACCAGCGGCGTGTCGTTGTGCCGAATGAAAACGATGAAGACCATTATGGTACAGATGAAGCCAACGCATGCAATTGAGATGGGCCCGATGGCCCAAGCATCCTCCCACATGATGTAGTCCTCAGGAAGGTCGTAGCATCCGATCAGATCAGGACGGGGCCACTGGCCGGGTGCGCAAGGCATGCATGTGAACTCGTCTGGCAGGTATTCATAGGGCTCGCAGGGAGTGCAAATCCAGCAGCAATATTCACCCGCTTGCATCTTCTTCATCTCATTAGGAGCGCAAGGGTCGCTGCACTGAGACGTGGGTACGTCCGCTCCTCTCGGCCAGCCGATCAAGCCCTCGTTTAGGGAAAGAATCTCGGCCCACTCTCCGATCTGGACATAAGTGAACTTGTCACTGCCTGGCACTCTCTGGTAGTTGAAGATGTTGTAGCGACCCATTCCGTCACCATATGCGTCAAATTTGACTTGATTCTCCAAGCCGACAGGGGAAAATGGAGCTAGAGAGAGAATGAGAAAGAGGGGGAGAAGTTATTTCACACATATTAAGTGGCATGAAACACATTAACTCAAGAACAGATAGTTCCCTTTATGACTGTCTTTGGTTATTTTCAGTAAGTACGTAAACGGCTGCAGGCTCATGAAGCAGGCGAAGAAAAGTATCATCGAATCTCTAAACAAAATGACAACACAATGCCATCCGACTTCAAGCTGAGAACATATCAAGGGTTCGAGGAGGAATCGGGCTGTTTTCTGTCAGGGTTTATGTGCTAGGTATTGGTTTTATCGCTCTCATGAAGTCTCCCACACACCTCTGTAGTGTAGCTCGGGGCTCTGGGAGGAAGCGTCCTTGGTCAGCACATTGCAAAATAAGACATGGGCAAATGAGCACAGAGGAGCTGATGCTTCTGTCTCGATTTTTGGCCTCAGGGAAAATGATATATTGTGAACCGAAAGAGAAGACAAGAAGAAAATGTCCCTCAAGGGATGATGGTGAAACTGTCACTATTGATTGTACAAGTGATTATTTTTCTATAGTGACAAGAAAAAAAGTCTATGCATCCATCTATGTATCTATCTATGTGTCTATCTATGTATCTATCTATCTATCTATCTATCTATCTATCTATCTATCTATCTATCTATCTATCTATCTATCTATCTATCTATCTATCTATCTGTGGTTTTATCTATCATTCAATCTGTTGTTCTGTTTGTCTATTGTTCTACGTGTATCTATCAATCTATTGTTCTGTCCATCTAAAAAAATAATAGCAATACCATGTTATTTATTTACTTTTTTTCTCATTTTAATTACATGTAAACACACAAATAGTTGCCTACAGCTACACCTGGTGCAGTGTGTTTTCTCTGCATGGTGTAATTGCTCAGAGGGTCTCTGGAAGCTTTCTGATGGATGATGATTCATCAGATAAGGAAAACAGGTTAGAAGTTATGAACCCCATCATTCACAAAGATAAAGCCAATATCAACTGCAACACCCATGCACTCACAGACCCCCCCCCCCCCACCCCCACCCCAACACACACAAATGCAGCTGTGGTGCAATGAAATCCACAAACATCTTGCTGTATTCGAGAACTTCATCGTGCGCTGGATCAAATTAACCTTCTGTGGCCCATAGTTCATTCATTTCTTCGTTGCTCATCTGTTCATTCCACGATTTGATGGCAGGCGACTGACCTCGATAATGTGTAATCATCCGTCATTGGCGGCAGATGCCGAGCACACCCCTGTATTAAATAATCAACATATGGTAACAGGATAGCTATAATATAATTACCCGTTACAAACACTAATTGCAGTTAATTATCTTGCGCTGTGCTTCCAAGAATATGGACACCATTTGTGGAACAAATACATTTGATATAGGATTCATAGAGACAGTCTGAATCTATCTATCTATCTATCTATATATCTATATCTATCTATCTATCTATCTATCTATCTATCTATCTATCTATCTATCTATCTATCTATCTATCTATCTATCTATCTATCTATCTATCTCTATATCTATATCTATCTATCTATCTATCTGTCTGTCTGTCTGTCTGTCTGTCTGTCTGTGTCTGACTGCCTGCCTGCCTGCCTTGCCTGTCTGTCGGTCGAAAAGAATTAGAGTTTTTTTTATTGTACATCTTGAGCTTTTGATGCCGTGTCTCAGTTTTAAATAAAGTTTAAAAGCTATAGAGAGCCACCCCCCCCCCCCCCCCCAAAAAAAATAAAAAAATAAAAAAATAAAACAAAAAAACAGTAGGGTATAAATTTCTGATCCATCATATTGTTTATCTGCAACAACATTAAATAACTATGGCTCATCAATGTTGATCACAATATATCTGTGCATACCTGACAGATGTTTGCATGTTTTGTCATGGGATGCTTTTGACACAGATGCATTAAATCCACAAATCAGGCTTGTAGTCTGATGGTCTCTTAAAATATCTAAATTGATCTGAACAGATTGCACAAGACCGCCAAGAGCAGTTTAACCTGAGATTCTGTATTATTGCTCGACACAAATCACTCAGACTGCTCATGGGGCGTAAGGACATAAACTGACTGAGGATGAACATGAATTTATAATCTCTTTCACCGTAGGGAATTCACAAATTTGTTTACAGTTGGTTTGACACATTAAAATGGTAATCGGATTCCCATTTTCCACAAGTTGGTATGATTCTTTAGGGTCTTCATGTAAAATTTATTACATACCTTGGTTAAAATTTCTTGTAAAAGAAACACCCTTTTTACCTACTCAAAAACAGCTCTTCACACCGACTAGTTTTAGTGCATGCCTCTTTAAATGATAATGAGCAACTGCTAACCCCACACCTTTCTCCCCACACCAATATTCTTCCATTAAAATATTATCTCGTAATTTGGCAGCAGGTATGTTAGGCTGTTGTAACTTTAAGAACTGATGCATTTTGACCATTTTGACAGTTTGCCTGTTTAAGCACGAACATAAAAACAACGAAAAATGACTCAATTAAGTACTAATAGGCAGCTTTATCTACGTGCACTTTGGTTGTGAGCACAAAATCTGCTGAAGTTCACCAGTGGCGTGAATTAGTGGGTGTTAATTTCAAGACCTGTTAATAATGCCATCAAAAATACAAAATACTGTATTTAAATATTTTCCCCCACACAGAATTTAGTAGGCCTATTTTATTTTGATACATTTTAACTGAGGATTTTGTATTGTTATTTTACAAAATCCCATGCCCATCTCTGATTGTTCAACAGAAATGTGCTGCTAGCTTCTTTTTCTTTCGTTGTAGCAACTTGTGCTGTCTTTTTCTGTCTCTCAGGTAATATACGCATGCCAGTTATTTTTTAAGCTCCATGGTAACGTTATTTTCCGTTCTGACAGAGACACAGAAAACTGGCAATGTGACATCACCACTGAGCATGATCCGCTTGACTCTCAGGTAACACGACATGTCAGTTTGGCATCTGAGACGTTTCCAAAATTCAGGGTTTAAAAACAACATATCTCTGCCATGCATACCTATGCAACTGACAGTCGCCATTCAGACACAGCATCCCTGGCGAGGACACAGACGCACATCCGCGGAGCTGAGTTTGACAGTTTGAAGAGCTTCTTCACAGAGAAAGAGAGAGCAGAAATAAATGATAAAGAGGTGTGTTGTGAGTTGATAGCAGTTGTGGAAGACTACAGTTATTTTACTCGAGTTGCACATTTAAGGATTTGTGACTAGCTTGACTAAATGAAGAAAATGACTTGAACCAATGACTCAGGACTCTGACTTGTAAATGACTCGGTGTTATGAAAATAAAATATTTTGCAAAATGATAGTCACAGAACCAGAACCGCTCATCAGAGTTTACAATGTGCACAAACTATGCATATGAAGAGTTCAGATGCAAAAGCCTCTAAATGCCATTTGAAATTTTCATCTTTAATGTTGATTTTTATCAAACTTGTATATTTAAGTTCAGTAATTTCACTTAAATAACAATTAATAGGTAATTATCATTGCCATTTAAGTGAAATCACTGAACTTAAATATACAAGTTTGATAAAAATCATCATTAAAGAAGAAAATTTCAAATGGCATTTAGAGGCTTTTGCGTCTGAACTCTTCATATATAACTAAATATCACTAGTTCAAGTTATACAAAACTGCTGGAGTTACGGATTGCTTTCATGCTACCTTTATGTCATTTTTTGACCTGGAATGTGTTGAACCTGATTGACTTTTATGTATGATTTTAGATGATAGAAGATGTATGATAGAGGACTTTTTAATAATTTATGCTATTATTCTCACCAAGACAGTATTTTTAAAATAAAAATACAGTAAAAACTGTAAAATTGTAACCAATTAGAATTTAAAATATTTTCTGTTTTACTACATTTAAAATGTGAGTCATTCCTGTGATGGCATTTATAAAAAAATAAAAAATATATAAATAAAAAATATAAAATTATATATATATATATATATATATATATATGTGTGTGTTTATATATATATATATATATATATATATATATACACACACATATATATGTGTGTTTATATATATATATATATATATATATATATATATATATATATATATATATATATATATAAACAAGTCTGTGCCTTTTGTACTGTGACTTTTGATAATTTTAATATTCTGGATTTATTTACACCATGTGTACTTTCTGAATTTTCCTTAATCTGAAGGGTTAACATAAAATATTTCTGTGATATATACTGCTTCCTTGTTACAGATATCTACAACTGATATTATCAGTTTTAGATGTATAGATACATCTAAATATGCACTATGTACTGTATATGTAAATATATTTTTTTCTCAGATATTTATAATTCATAAATCATAAAGTTAATTTCCAGGAGGGAAATAAGTAATAAGGCACTTTTTTGTACCGTAACATTACTCTGACTTGACATTTATGTGAACTGCAGACTCAAGACTTGCTTATGGTTTAGTCATAAACACATCCACAACTTTTTCCAGCTATATACTGTAAATGTACAGCAGTTTGAACAACATGTTGTGAATAGAGAGATGCTATGCATGCTTTCACATCACTGTTTATATGACAATAAATCTTCCATAGAACAACAAATACACAAGCTCTTCTTTCTATGGTGCCTGTTCAGTGTGTGTGTGTGTGTGTGTGTGTCTGTGTTAATGGTGGGTGGATGAGCGATGGCTTTGTTTCATAGTGTATTATGTTGTTGTTGTTGTTGTGTGTGTGTGTGTGTTAAGAATGTAAGCAAGGTAAAAACTCTTCTGTATCTTCTCAGTGTCAAATGATTTTGCTGCTCTGAACATACACCATTGCTAAAATAATAATCTATTGTCATGAGGCATGATAAATATTTACAACAGATCTGTGAATTTGAGAGGCGGCTAATTAGTTGTAAGTGATCTAGTGGCTACAGATGGGGGTGATGGTTAAATCTCAGCATACAATGTGTGTGTGTGT